TTTGATACTATTTCGTCAAAATTTCATCAAGCCATAACGTGATCCGTAACCCGCGGGGCGCCATCACCCCGCTTCAGATGTCGGACGGCTTTCACTGTCTTATCATACAGCAGAAAAATAGCATGCAGGGCATGTTTGTAGTGCAAAAAATGGCTAGCAGAAAAACCTGTCATGGGCCAGCCCATCGAATGCTGTTTAGATAGAATGCGCTACGTAGATCATTTTGTGTATATGTTTTCGCATTACAGGTTGGATCGATGCCCTGCCTGCTTTTTTCAATGGGATATGTCTGCTCTACTACAACAACGGGCGGACGGACCGGCTGGGCTACGTCGGCCGTTTAGTCTACTGGCTGATCGTGGGGAAAGCGGTACCCCAAAGCCGCGCCCCAGTGGTGAACCGGGTGGAGCATCATGGTGAGGAAGCGAACGTATCTGCGAAGCACCAGCAGACGGCTTGTTCCCACTACATTAAGTGGTCGCAGCCGGAAACTTGCCTCTATTGGGACGGGGTCTGTCTTGACGACCGGGAAGAATGGAACGATATCCACTGCAAGAATTTTTGTCTGGCTCTGGAATAAATTTGTGTTGCTGATAGACACTTGTATTGCAGAGTGGCGGCATGTGCGGCATGACAGCTGCATCAGAAAAGTTGCGTAGCTTCTTGCAAATTCATCCGGAAATGGGATAAAGGTAGCAAATAACTCCCTTCCAGTACGACAAAAAAGCTGCGCACATCTCTTATCCGTGCATTACAGATCTTGTTGTCCTTCAAATTTAGCATCACAGATCCAGACCTGGGCATATTTGCAATGCACAAACGAGGACTGGGCGATCGTCGACGGCCCGGGGTACGCGGACTTCCAGGAACTAACGCAGCTTTCCTCCTTATCCAGTGTAGAAGCGCCGCCCACGCCCCTTATTTCTCATGCAAACCCGTAAACCCAAGCTGTTTTCTCTTTATCATGCGCAGCCCCATCTCGTAAAGCAATTTCTCATGCTATCGGGGGCTCTTCATGGAAAAATGAGGATGATGTGGTCCATTTCTTTTGCGGCTGCACTAGCTAAACCTGATCAACAAGAACACATTACTGCCCTAGACTTGTCATGCGCAACATCCAAAACTTGTTGACATCTGTGTAGCAAAATATTACTTCCCATTGTCTTGACTCCAGGGCACAGAGAGACGTTTTTCCACAGGATGCCCCTCTCACCTGATTCTCGTGGAGTCCAACAAGCTATGAAAGTGCACAACTCCCCCTCCCCCTCATTTGTCATGCGAAACGACAAATCCACCCTTTGCCTGTTAGTACTGTTTGCATGACAGATTCCGGAATCCGAAACAGCACTACAATCCCTTAGGAATTTGTCATGCAAAAGCTGCATCTTTGCCAGCGCTTGTGTTGCTGTTCATGCAACACAACTGAGGGGGAGGGGGAGTTGTGCACTGTCATACAAGCTTACGGTCCGCTACCACGAGGTCGATCCATACTTGGTGAGGTGCATGAAGAGCCAGCTGATGATATCCTGAGTAAAAACGTCCCCACACCAGAGTTGTAATGCAGATTTGCAAAGACGGGAAGACTTGTAATGCGCATCCCCATGAGAGCCGTTTCCAATCGTGTATTGGAATTTGTGATGCTGTGAACAGGGTGAGCAGATGAATCTGTGATGCGGCTGCACTTGCAAACCTGCACTACACTGCGGGGTGCAACTTGTCATGCGTGACTCCCAAAACTCCTAGGCTTGTGTTGCAAAATCCCCATCCTGACTCTGGTGTGGGTACGTTTTTCCTCAGGATAGATGGAGGGCAGCGAGGGAGAAAAGGCAGATGGTACTATCACCGCCGAACGAGACCACGCGATAACGCGTTCCTGTGTGAAGTATCAAATGAACGCAAATTTCGTGTCTGGGTCTGGAACGCCAACACTGCGGGAGTTTGCCGTGCAGCTTTTTTAAAGCGAGACCCCAAGGTGCTGTCATCTGGAATAAAACACCTAGGTAGCATCTTCTTCTCAGGTTTTTTACGCAGGATGCTTTGTCAGGCCTATTTTGCATATTAGATATGTATCCCTTCATCTTCTCGACAACAAGTGCAGAAGTGCATGTTGGTGCTCAACAGCAACATGCAAGAGAAATTATGTCCGTGCCAACTTCCCGCCGGGCTCGCGTCACGAGCTTGCATCCTTCCAGACAACTCATAAGACAGTGTTTGCAATGCATAAGAAGAAGTGGATAAAAACCAGTGCGACGAACACGACGGAAGACGTGGGTAAAAACCGTGCGGGTGAGGTATCAACTGCAAATATGTCTGGGTCTGGAAGGGTGTAAACTTGTCATGCAGGTTTTCCATGACCCATGAGGTCTGGCATGCGGGACCTAGCATGACAGAGTCTGTGAGGTCTCTGTCATGCCTATCCAGCATGAGAAACCCCCTCCCAACTTGTTCGAAAGTGGACAGCTTTTGGCAGTCATGCAACACAGATTTTTGCATGATTCGGCTTTAGCATGACAAGTTGCAATCTTCCAGCCCCAGACATTTTTGCGATTCATATGAGGAAGAAAATACCAATACTAGCCTCCATCTTCGCTGTCCGGTGCTGCCTGATCTACGTGCCGGGGGCGGTTTCAGTGTGCGCATCGCGGTGGCGACGAGCAGTCTTTTTGATCCAAGCATGATATCAAAAGGGAAAATTCCCCCACCCCATACTTAAGCTAGAAATTTGTGGTGCTGTATTTGAGTAAGTACACAAATCAGCTTTGTCATGCTAGAAGGGAAAAGATGCGGACTATAATGCTGGTTGGCGTGGTAAAGCGTTGCGTCTTCAGCATGACAGGGGGCAGCTGGAAGTGGGAAACAGCATTACAAATTGCCTACAAACGAGGCCACAGCTGTGTCTCTTGGCCTTCTAGCATTACAAACCGATTTGTGTACTCAAATACAGCATGACAAATCCCGTTTTCGATATGGGGAGGGGGGATTTTTCCTTTTGATACATGACCTCCAGTACTTATTATACCAGCGCGGGTGCGCAGCTGTCGAAGGCCGGCCCCGAAGAAGAAGAAGAAGATATCCCACGAAAAAACTGCTTCACTGTGATGATATTGCAAGATCTGCATCACAAGTTGAAGAATGCAGGCCAAGTTTTCTTTGTCATGTGTAGCAAGACAAACACACTTGCGTGCCGTTCTATGCATCACAAGTTTACAGTGAGGCAGTTTTTTCTTGCGGTAGAAGACCCAGACCTGCTAATCGACGGCCTGACCACGGCGTCGGCGGCCCTGGACGAGCCGTGCGAAGAGGGGGCCGTGATTCGAAAAGGGTTCACGTATGGGTTGCAAATAGAAGACGTGGGTCCGGAAAGATGAATATTGTGATGCTAGTACGTGCATGAAGGACAAGGATTATGAAAGACCGACTCCAGCACTCCGCCATGCAGGGGAAATTTCTGAGCGGTTTCGTCATGATCCGCATAAGCATTCGCGTTTTTTGCATGAGAGAGAGAGAGAGACATCAGCGCTACTCCGTGGCATGCACGCAGCACAAAGTCCTCGCTCAGGGGCAATATACGGACTCGGCATTGCGAGCCTGGTATTTTTATCCTTCCCGGCGACCCAAATCGATATTTGCAATGCGTGTCGCTATCAAGAGGACCAAACGAAAAATCATCTTCCACCTTACCGACGGACTCAAGCTGCGATTTGACTTCGCGATCGACCTGTATCCGACAGAAAAAAGCTGGCGGGACATATTTGTAATGCAAAAATAAATACACAAAAAAATCTGTATTGCATATCCGAAACAGAATGCTATGGGGCCACCCATGGCAAGTTTTTCTGCGTGTTTATTTTTGCATTACAAATATTCCCTGCCAGCTTTTCTCTGTGTGATAAGCTGCAAAGTTTGACCGCGGGCAAGAACAATGCCGAGTTTTACGAAATCTTTGCGGACGAGAAAAACGTGTTAAGTGCCTCCACCTCATCTCCGAGACTGACTTCCTTCTGCTTCACTTTCGACGGGGGCCCGAAGGTGGCCAGCTGCGTGGTAAACAAGAGGCTGTTATTGACTGCAAACAAAAACATGTAGTTTTGGTGGTCTCCTGAAAGTAAGTTGTTGTCATGATAATCGGCGCTATGCAGGCATGAGAAGTTGCTGAGCAGCTATAGATTCATAACTTCGTGTTGGCGGCACCATAGTTCGCAGATGTCAGAAAAATGCACCGGCTTCTTGTGGACATGCGTCACAAACTTTTGCGTCGTGCTCATGTAGTTCTTGGACGGCAGCATCTAGAACCAGGCTACAACTGCAAATTCTTACAGTGCATAGAAGTACAACCAGGCGCCCTGCGGGTGGGAGTTTTTTCCGCGGGACTTCGGGGAGATCGGTGGCGCGGATGTAGAGATCGTGAAAAGAGACGGCCTCGTACAACTCTTCGAAGTGTACGACCGGGCCTTGACTACCGCGGAGGCCATCGCGCTGGTCCGGTAACGGCCTGCTGGTGGTGGTGGTCAGGAGATGAATTCGTCTACGTGCTGACTTTTTGCTAATTCTGAATGGCATTTTTCATACTCGCGCCCCGGAAGACAACTTCTGCTGAATTTTCATCGAGGGATAGATTGCTATAAAAGAGCCGCGTAGGTGATCACAAAAGTAAAGTTGCTAAACCCGTCAGGAGACAGGCACCACGGGCGCTGTGGTAAAATGAATTTTTTGAAAGACCCACGAAATTTGAAAGGCGCTACTAGGATTATTTCCTAGGCTGGAGATGAGACGAGAGCAAAACCGTGCGCAGGCGGTTCTTTCTCGAACTGATGCACTGGCGCGTTTCTTGATCATTTTAAGTGCTTAAAAAACAACTCGCCGTACTTGATCCTCCTCATCGCGCCCCAACTGCAACTGGTGGTTATCCGTTTCGATCTTGCCTTTAACGACGGAAGTTTGGTGAGCAGGGCAGCAACCACTACGTGGCTACATACATGCGGGGATGTAAGTTGAACCAGATGATCTCATTCGAGCAGGGTCTAATGCTTTATTATGAAGATCCTAACCTGATGTGAATACAACTACCACGACATGTTTTTATCGTTGTATAATTATTTTCGCCCAGCGTGAAAGAACGATAACAAACAAAAGGATCTTTGAAACCGAAAGGCATCAAAATGGCGTTCTTTCACTCGAAACATCACGCAGTCCCCAGCAACGCCGAGGATGCCGGCAGTTCCCTGGAAGATCCGTATTGCGACAGCAGGCCGATTGTGGTGCTGGACATGGGCGCGCACATGAGCCGCATCGGGTACGCCGGCAGCGCAGATCCGCTGTTCGTGCTGCCGACGGTAGTTTCCAACCACATCCACGCCCAGAAGTTCGCGTCGACCAGCTCCCGGTCGTACCACGACCTAAAATATGAATTGCAAATATGTCTGGGTCTGGAAACTTGTGATGGTGGTTGGCCAAAGAGGAGCACGCCTCAATTGGCTGCCAAGCATGACAGGTTTCGGAGATGCTGCGGCTTTGTCTATTCTGCATGACAAACTGGGCTTCTGCATGACAGAAAAGTGGCGCTTTTGGGTGATCTGCATGACAAACTTGAGAATCATGCTAGCAGAGCATGACAAACCTTGCATCTTTGCAGACCCAGACATTTTTGCATTTCATATAAAATACGACATCGGCCAGAACGCGTACGAAGCCCGGTTCTCTCCGTATGACCTCCTCAAACGTTACAATTTCAAACGTTACAATAGAATCTGGAATTTGTGTTGCATGATGAGCATGACAGATTCGCACAGCGTTCCACCTTTTGCAATACAAACTTCGCCAGATTCTAGTGCGGGTTGGAGTTCCAGAACTTGTCATGCGCAATCCTGTGGGAATAGGGTAGATCATGCACTTCTTGCATGACAGATTTCCATATTCTATTGTAACGTTTGAAATTGTAACAGCTGAGCAGGTTATACTCCGCAGTACTTTTGCACCCACCCGGTGGGCAGCACTGGCGTGACGGACTGGGACTGTGTGGAGCAGTTCTGGCACCAGACACTGTTCAAGTACCTGCGCTGCACGCCTGAGACGACGGAGATTCTCTTTTGCGAGCCGCCGTTCTTCGGAAAATCCTTTAAGCAAAACGCAACGGAGGTGTTCATGGAGGTGTTCAACTGTGCCGCAATCACCTTCATTCCGGCGCCCATACTCGCGTCCCACGCGGCCCAGCTGTGCGAACTGAACAGTGCTGGGAGCAGCAGCGGCAGTAGTTGTGCCGGGGGTAGAAATAAAAATTTCACGGCGGTGGAGCAGAACTCACTCCCCCTTGCAGCCGCAAATAATAGCGTTGACCACCACGACGAAAATTCGTCTGCTGTGGTTGGGTTTAGCGGAGCAGGGTCGTTTTCATCTTCTTCGTCGTCTTCCCAAAAACTACTTTCTGGCGGAGGGAGAAGCACGGCCAGTCTGGTGGTCGACGTGGGGTACAAGTGCACGCGGGTTATCCCGGTGCTGGAAAACCGGCCCCTGCACACCACCTCCGAATATGGCTTGCAAATATGTCTGGGTCATCTGGAAGAATACAAACTTGTGATGCGCATTTCAGAACACACAAAAAGCTCTCATGCATAGGTAGCAAAGGCTGCCCACTTTCTGCGCCCAAAATCGGCGATTTGTCATGCGGATTCGGCACTGCGGAAGCTTCTCGAAGCCTGTATGTTAGAGCTTCCATACCAGACCTTGCGTGTCATGCAAAAGCAGGCAGCATGACTCTTCCAGACCCAGGCACTTTTGCATTTGGTACCGAAGTGCTGCCCTACGGCGGCCACCACGTCACGGAGCAGATCTACGAAGCGCTGCTGGAGCGGAGGGAGTATCCTGTGCAAAAGCATCGTACTCATATTGGGGTTATGCATTACAAATCCTTTTCTTGAGGTAGATCAGCATTACAAATTTTATTTCCCATGCTGGGGAAATTTGTAATGCATTTATACGAGTACGACTACGATACTTTTGCACTGCATAGGGAGCAGCACGTGCCGCCGAATGTCCGCCTGGACGCGGCGGAGAAAATCAAGTTGAGCAATTGCTACGTGGCCAAAGACCCACTGGAGGAGATGAACAAGTACTTCGCCGAGCCGGGTTCCCTTCCCTACGGAGGAGCAAACGCCTACGAGGAGGACCAAAGTAGAGGCCCGAAAATAACAAGTTCCTCTTCCCGGCAAGCGGCCCACCAGCACAACCAGCGCAAGATCAAGACCGTCCGAGGGAATGCGCAGGGCATCACGCGGAGCGGGGGCGCGAGCAAGAGCGGCGGGTCCGCAGCCGCGCACTCGAGCAATAACCCGGAATGGGCGTGCGATGTGGGGTATGGGTCTGTGAAATGTTACGTGACGCCATGACATGGATGGCTCTTTTCCGGTTGAAGGAATTCCAGCGCCCTTTTGTAACTGACCCTCAGTAAGCATCTTGCTAACCAAGGGCTTGTTGATGACCGATGCACACAAGCTTGCAGGTGTACAGTATTCTTTTCATGCATCTGTCTACAGGACGTAGGTGATCTTCATTGTGGCAGTGTGCTTATCTCAGACCACTTTCATACCTCTCCCGAGCGGTTCCTCAGCACCGAGCTCTTCTTCTCTCCGGACATCTGCCTGAAGAACAAGCAGCAAACCCGGCGCACGCTGCCCGAATGCATCGTAGACGTCGTGAAGAACTGTCCAATCGACTACCGACGACAGCTGTACGGCAACATCGTGTATGGACGGGAAATGTGAAGATCTGGGTCCGGAAGCTTGTGATGCTAGATGAGTGTGGCACTTTGTTTTTCAAACTGCAGCCAAGCATGACAAGTTTTCTCACGTTGTCTCAATACGCTTATCACGACGCACGAAAAGCTGCGTTTTGGGAATGTCAACAAAAGTGGCCCTTTCGCTGGCTACGCGGAAGTATAATGCAAGACACGCAACACAAGCTGCACTGTTCCAGACCAAGGCAAATTTGCGATGCATATCATCCTTTGCGGCGGGACTTCGGTGATCAAGCATTTTCCGGACCGGCTGGCCCGCGACGTCTCTGACTTGGCGAACAGACACAGTCACGCGGCGGCGACACAGATCAAAGCGAGTTGTGCGCACTTCAACCAGAAGGACAACCTACGAAAACACGCTATCCTGTGTAAAAACGTCCCCACCCCAGAGTTGTCACGCAAATCTGCACGCCGAAAAGGAAAATGTTTCTCATGCGCAGCTCCATGAGAAGCATTTTCCCATGCTCTCTGGGACTTTGTCATGATCAGACCAGGATTAGGAGCTAGATTTGTGATGTGGCTTCCCTAGCCACAGACCACTACACTACTGACCCAAACTTGTCATGCGCAACAGCCAAAACTTCTGGATCTGTGTTGCAAAATTCCCATCTTGACTCTGGGGTGGGGACGTTTTTCCTCAAGATACACGCCGTGTGGTTTGGCGGGTCCATGTTTGCCTCGAAACCGGCGACGCTATCAAATGTAAAAATCTCTGGGTCTGGAAGATTCTGAGACTTGTCATGCATGTGTTGCATTGGCCATGATGTCTATGATGCATGCCCTAGCATCACAGATTTTCTGAGGGCTTCGCGATGCCTATTCCGCATGACAAATGCCCTCTCCGCGTAGCAGAGATTGCGTTCCCTTTGCTGCTCATGCAATACAGATCTTTTATTTTGGAATCCAAACTCAGCATCACAAGTTGCATTCTTCCAGACCCAGACATTTTTGCATTTGATAGACGCGCGGGTTTTACGAAAGCGCGAAGTTGACGCGGGACGTGTATGCGGACCGGGGGAACGGAGTTGTTTAGTTCCTGGCACTAGTGCCGCTGCCCGGAGTCGACCGTACATAGACTGCAATGAGTCGTGAATAGCTCGTTGGCAAGCAAGATGATAAAAGTATCATTTCGATTTGGAGGAAGGTGATTCAGTCCTTTATTTGTCGTTGATGATGCACGGTGATGATGTAAGTACAAGTAGCGCCGTCAGTACAAAGATGTACAGTTGAATTTTGCCGGTGGATAGAAATTGAGCACGCGTTTCCGCCCAAATAGCAAGGGTGGCAGACAACGCTGAAAGCATCTAATTAATTTGGCCGCTCAGTCAGCTTTAAACCTTCGGTTGAATCTGTATTCTTTTCGTCTTGCTGACTGAAGACTGAACTGGTTGTTAACGGATTCAATGGAATACAAGTGTAGCATCAAATACAAGAGTAGCACAGCGCAGTCTTACGATCGCTCCGACTTCGTGTACTTATTTGTCCGTGACCTATCGCATCTTTTTCTACCCCCTTAGGGATTGAAGCTGAGTGGTGAAGTAGGTACAGCCCACGAAAGTGGGAGTAAAGGATGCGGTTTTGTTTTCCGAAACTCGTCGCAGCCGGCCTCGTGGTCGTGCGGTCTGACTCTGCGTCCATGCCGGACGCTGCGGCCGCGGAATTTGAAATAACGGGAAAGTCGGGGGGGGGGGGAGAGCCCCAAGAAAGCTGCCGCAGCTGGGATTCCGCTGTCTTTCCTGGAGACCGCAAAGAAGAAGAAGGATGGCGCTGACGCTTTGGTACTGTAGTTATTTATTTTTGATTAGTTGGAACATGGTAGAGATGATAGAAGCTTCCTAGTAGTTCGCGTGATGTAGCGAAGCGTTGCTCTAGTTGCAATCGTGACGTATCCAATACAAAGGGTGAACAACGTATGATGGTCTACACACAGGGGTCTGCGATTTGCCGTGCGAAGCACGCAGTCAGCGTCCAAGTAGTGAAAAAGATTGTGAACGACACCTCGCTGGCCGGTGTTGAGCATCTCTTCGCCATGCGATACGAAATCGACACCGAGCTGTTTTTCCGCTTCGGTGCGGACAGCAATGGCGACGGGAAAGTCACCTGCGCCGAACGGAAAGCGTCTTGCTCCCGCTGGCGCCCCGCGTTACCAAGCAACAAGACCGCGCAGTACGTGGGCGAGGGCTCGCTTCTCCAGAAATCAGAGTCAGACGATGAAAGCGGGAAATCAACAGACGAGGAAAGCGAGAAGGCGGCGGGGCGGCGGTGGTTCTCTTGGGGCGAGGACGAATCCTGGGGGAACTCCGTCTGGAGATACTTGTGTTGCAGGGAAGCCTGCAGCAATGGTGACTCGGGAACCGAGCAGGTGATCGAATCGGGGGACGGCACCACGTTGAGCGACATCGGATCGGTGTCGGAGATCCAGGGGGGCTGCGAAGGCTGTGGGGCCTGCTGTGGTTCCTTCTGCGATTGCGATTAAATAAGTATTCAAAGCGCACCCGTGGGCGTTGCGCAATGTACGATGGATGCGTCGCCTGCTGCTGCCCTTCTTTGATTTCATTGGGTGTAAAGTTGATTCCTCGTTTTTTTTTTCCGCGCACGGCGCCAGGCTTGATTGGTTATTTCGTGTGTTAGTGCTTAACTATGAATGATGAGTGTCTCCAGGTACGCAATTATAGCATTTTTGATAACTCCTGCGCGATACAGCGAAAGTGTTTTTTCTGAGCTCCTTACTTGGGGACGAAGCAATGCGAAGCAGGCGCACCCAAATAATCGACACGAGGGGCAATTGGCAGTGGTGGCAGAAGTTTTTACAAGAATTTAGCCTCCTTGAAGTGGTGGCAGGAGGCACAAGCCTCCTTGTGGACAATGCGTTTATTTAGTGGTGTTCGATGCAACCTAGAATCAGCTTTAGAGTGCAACACTGAAGAACCAGGTGTAGCAATGAGATCCCCTGAGATTCGTCGACCGTTCTGCTGCCGTGCGATCTTGTTTTCTGTTCCTGAAGGAAAAGCGAAGAGATCCTGAGAAATGAAAGTGCCTCAGGTGTTTGAGAAACGACATTAAAGGAGCGCTATCTGAATAGCCGATCCGCGCAAATTCCTTCCACGATCTCAGGCAGTTTTGATCAACATTCACCGCGCCTTCTGTAGATCTGCACGGCTGACAAAGAAGGAAGAATTCGGATCCAATTTTTTGGATCACTTCTAAATGTTGTCATCAAAGTTGAAGATCTTTACAGACCGCGGGAAAAAGCGGGAAGATCGAGTTGATCGTGGACAAAGAACTGAAACTGTGAAAATCGAAATGATATCCTCTCGCGTGGTGAAATACAACCACTACTACCTCCCCTACCTCATTGCTCTTGCTCCGACCCTTCTAAACTTTACTGCAACACCACCCCAGGGACCAGTAAAATCACCAGAATTTAGGATCACTACACCATCCTAAAAGGACACCCATCGATTCAAAAAAGATGGCCACCGTGAAGAACGTCTCCAAGAAGCGAAAGTTCGTCAACGACGGAGTTTTCTACTCCGAGTTGAACGAATTCTTGACCCGCGTGTTGGGCGAGGATGGCTACGCTGGTATTGCTGCTGTTTTCACGCATGACAAACTGCATTATAGGATTTAGGAAATTTTTGATTTTCAGAAAAAGTATGAGGCTTGTGTGCTTTTTGTCTAATTTGAAAACCGTAACAAAACAGGTGTCGAGATCCGTGTGACCCCGATCCGCACGGAGATCATCGTCCGCGCCACGCGCACCCGCGAGGTCCTCGGTGAGAAGGGCCGCCGCATCCGCGAGCTGACCTCCCTGGTGCAGAAGCGTTTCAACTTCCGTGAGAACAGCGTCGAGCTGTTCGCGGAACAGGTCAAGAACCGTGGCTGCTGCGCCATGGCCCAGGCCGAGTCTCTCCGCTACAAGCTGCTCGGTATTGATATTATTTTCAGCACATTCCTGTTTGTCTTGAATGAGAATCCGTATCCGATGAAGATCAAGTGATTTGATGCTGTTTGGAAACTACATGGTGGAGAGGAAGTGACTGAAACATTCTGCTCTGAAAGTACGAAATGGATATTCTTTCTGAATGTAGAAAACCCAGTCTTCGATGCGGCAAGAAGACGCAAAAACAAAAATCTATCGACACATTTTCAAATCACACTACAGGTGGTCTCCCGGTCCGCCGCGCGTGCTACGGTGTGCTGAACTTTGTGATGCGCAATGGCGCCACCGGGTGCGAGGTCATCGTGTCCGGAAAGTTGCGTGCCCAGCGCGCCAAGGTCATGAAGTTCCGTGACGGCTACCTGATCTCCACCGGTGACCCGAAGAACCACTACATCCAAGAGAGTGTGCGCCACGTGCTGATGCGTCAGGGTGTCTTGGGCGTCAAGGTATATATAACATATGGCTTGTTTGATAGTGGGTGTTAATACTGTTGCATCAGAAATTTCCTTGTGTTTGGTTTGATTGAAATGTTCGTGTTGACATGTACACTTGCGCACGAAGAACAACCTTGACACTTCTCTACCGCCTTCTTCTGATGCACATTATCCAAACCAACCTCAGGTCCGCATCATGCTTGGGTACGATCCGGAGGGTGAGCGTGGTACGTCCCACCTCATGCCGGATAAGATCATCATCCACGAGCCGAAGGAGGCCCCGCTGCCGCAGACGAACTTCATCCAGGACGCCCCGATCGAGGAGCCGGTCGTCGAGGAGCCGGCGGCGGCCCCGGTCGCCCAGGAGTACCAGAGCTACAACAACGCCGGTGCCCAGGACGAGAACTGGTAAATTTACGAGGGAAATGGAAGGCACAGACGGGTTTTATCGTCTTCTCCCAGCGGGCTTGGGCGGCGCTTTCGACGGTGTGTGGACGGGTTGGAGACGTGGATCTGAGAGGTTGAGATGAATTTCCATCTCATTATCATCTCTAGTTCTACTCAAGGTTGTAATCTGAAAGCGACTTGTCGTTGTGGTTGATGATAAATCTCCTGTCAGACGTGCCTTTTTTTGAGTCGATGATGTCCTTGTAGTGATCCGTGATTCGAAGGAAACAAAAGCCCTTGTGCCGCACCTTTTACAGGGGTTGCGTGCAAGGTCAGTTGCTGTGGGCTTGTTTGCTCTCGCTGGCGCTACGCCGGTAAGTGTTGAACAAACTGTGTGGCTGTTTGGAGATAACGTTAACCTGAAAAGGGAGAGACACGTCGTGAGAGAGATGAAATTAGCGAGAGTCGTATATGAGAGCATCAAATAAAAACGGACGAGCGCGTCTTCAAATTTGCGTCATACTTATTAGCGACAGCCTCGCCCTGTAATCTTCGTCGACGAGAGAGAACACGCGTTTTGAAAAAAAGATTCGGAAAGCCCCCGCGTGCTTCAATTTGTGTACACAGAGAAGGTTAGGCATCTCGCCGGTGTAGTAGTTTATGAAAAGACAAAACTGTCGTGGCACCTTCCGTGGAGTAAAATCAATTGTTTTCCAGTTTTAGAATTCTCAACACAATGGATTACGACGGCAAAACCCAGTTCATCCAATCGGAACTCGCGACGGCGATGGCATCGAGGAGGAAATTTCTCCAGCATCTTTTCGCGTCCGTGGTAGTCGTCGGTGCCGCTGCTTGGATCGGCGGCTTGGAGTACGCGGTGAGAACGTTGCTGGCGGTGTGACAAAGCCAACAGTAAACTTTTGGTTGTTTGTTCTGCAAACGGCGTACCAAACCGCTGATCTGCTGCGCCGAGATTCTCGCCGTGCAAAGGTTAATATTGATAATTTTCCCCAGAAGAGACGACGACAGCCTACGTGTCACACGACCTCCTTGGGAACAAGCCATTCACCATGTCGGCGTTCGATCTTGGGCACGTTGGAAATAAGAATACGGAGAAATTCGCGACCGCGAGCAAGAAGCCTGGCGGGGGTAAACCCGTGGAACTGTCCCAGCAAAAAGTCAATCTGATCCTGGAATATTTCCGCAAGAACCGGCGTCCGCTGAATGTCGTGGCGCTCGTGGAGAATCTGAACGGGGCGCTGACGAAAAAGGAGGTGGAGGCACTGTTGCTGCACGAACAGGTCGCACCGTTCCTCGTCCGGCGGGAGATCGGGGCCCGGAGCAGTGCGTACCTGTACCGGGAAGCAGACTTGCCGGTGGAGGAAGGGGTGAAGGCGGAATTTTGCAGAAAAAACGGTGGTGTTGATCACGTTTCTCCTGCTGGCGCGGTGGAAAACTTTTCCCTTCTCCTGGCGAAGAAGTCCGCCGAGGTGAAGCAGCGGGTCAGCCGGCTGAAAGCAGAAATCAAGGCGGAAAAGTAGTGCAATGAAAACTGTAAAGTGCGGCTCCACCAGATCTTTCAACTGTTTGTATTCTCTCGACGTTCAGCACACGGAGCCCTTTTGTAGTGCATGAAGGTGGGAGCAATCTGGTGCGTTTCGTTTCAGAAAAATAGTGACCCAGTTGCCCCTCTTTAGTTTAACATATCAGACGTCAAGTATACTGTGGTGCTGTGTGCAGCATAGACACTTTCCCTAGAAATTCGGCATGCAGCTACATGCAATCTTTCCAACAAACACCTGCACAATCTGGTTGTCGGGGCGCTTTTCAAGATGATAAAAAGGACAAACAGGCTAAGGAGAAGGAAGCTGCGAAGCTGAAGACCCAGTACGGAGCAGCGGTGAGGGAACGGGAGGAGCTGGTATACCTACTTAGGAGTGGTTTTCTTCTCAAGTTTCGATCTGATTCGCATTCGCCTCAACTGCGTTTGTCGTGTTGCGGATACCAGAGAGGACTGTCTTGACTGCGCCTGTGCCTACACAACTCACGACCTCCACGAAACTCAGATCACTAGATATTTCGGATCATTTATTACGCAGTTTTGTTCGGGTCATCTCTACCAGCAGGTCCGGGTAATTTTGTGATGCAAAATAATGTCAAATAAAACACAAAAGACCGCGACGAAGAGTACGTTGGAGGCGCGGGCCCAGCTGCGCCAAGAGATGAACTACGATCCGGCGCCGTTTTGTATGAATTGCAAAAGTATCGAACTCGTATACTAAGTGCCAGACTTGCATGAAAAAACTGCTTCCTTGGGCAATTCAGCATGGCAAATTCCAATTGGCATCTTGAGAAAAGTTGTGATGCGACTCCTACTAGTGCGATGCTTTTGCAATGCATATTCTGGAAGCTGGTCCAAAAGTGGGTGCAGCGAAAAAAAACCTGCTTCTCCTTGGTGGACGCGGCGGTTGGGGAGAACGGGAACTATCCTGTGTAAAAACGTCCCCAGCCCATACTTGTCATGCAGTTTTGCATCTACAGAAACGTCTGTCATGCACAGCCGCACGAGAGGACTTCGTGGTAGTGTTTTGGAATTGGTAATGCTGTAAACAGGATAAGCAGATGGATTTGTAATGCGCCTGTCCGTGCTCACCTCCACGACGCTACAGATGGAAACTTGTCAACCTGCATATCTCCCTAAGCTGGGAGATTTTTGTATGCGGATTTGCCGGTGGGGCGAAGACGTTTTTCCCGAGAATAGGAACCGGGTGGAGTTTATGGAATCAATTGGGTGTGACATGGACAAGGAGGGTCTAAAGCCGGACGACTACCAGTGGTTTGTTTCCACCTGCGGCGTACCGAGGGACTGAGAGTCATTCCGCGGTTCGGAATTCGATCGGCGCGTGTAGAATTTTGGAAGAAGTTGCAGAACTGCATTGTAAAATTGCGAACAGGTCGTGGTTGTAATTATTGATACGCGAACGCTGAGCTGCAAACGAACATTTCTCGATTTGAAGACGTGGCAAGAACTTTTCTTTGCGCTGTGCTCGTGAAGGATTTAGATAGTAGAAACGCTAGTCGAAAACAAGTCAGCCAACAATCTACGATCGGTCAGAGTTGTAGTGCGTGTACTGACGAGCTTTTGATTTTGTTTCTTCACGACAGCTTTCTCTTACCTTTTGACCAGAACTTCTGAGATGGTGCTGGTGCTCTGCTGCACAGGTTCCCAGTAATTTTGATTTACCTCCACACTGTCACTCCCAGCAATAATGAATCATCAACTTGATGAAGGTGTGCTTTACAATCCTAAAATCGTGCCCAGACAGGGAAATGCCACAACCACTAGTCGATGAGGACTTGTTCATCGCAAAAAGTAAGATTTTGCTACTCGAAAAAACATCATTCCGGAAGAAGCATAGGCAGAAAGTACTATTTCTGCTAGCCTGCATGATGTTCTCATCTCTCGAAGGTGGATGTTTTACATCAAAAGGCACTGCCACGGCATGCACCAGGGAGAAGAGGACAATCAAAATAAATGCAGCGGCGCTTCTGGAGGCCGTGCGGGAAGGAAAGCCCAGCTCGACATGTGCAAAGCAAGCCAACAACGCTAATAATGATTTCGCGAGCAATTGCTGCAGACCACAACTGTAAGATTTTTTACGGGTTTTTGGCCGCGTTAATATTCCCTTGTCACGACCCGTGTAAAAAGCGTCGAAAAGCAACATGGATTTTTTGAAAGCGCTGACCTTCAGCCGCGAGGGCTGTTTTGAGCCTGAGCTGGCGAAGGCCGACCTGTGCTTCACACTGCACGAAATTCGCGGCGTGAAGCTGGACTCCGGGGAGATTTTGTGCTGCTCTGCCCAGGTGGTGCCAACGCGGACGAATCTGGCAACCACTACGCAACATCAAAGCACGAGGACTTCTGGCAGAAGGGAACACAGCACTACGACAGGCAGCTATCAAGTAAACTACGACTACACCAACGCAGAAACCGACCACGACCACGGGGAGCTGCACCAAGCAGCTGGCACGAAAGTGCTGTGCAATGTGTCCGAGCAGTGCCTGCTCAAGACGGTGCCGCTGGACGCCACGCTGTTCCTGCACGTTTGGGCTGGAAATTCGATCCGAGAGGTCGAGGAGATGGCGTTCGCCGGTGGTGGAGCGGCAGGAGCAGGAGCGGGTTCGTCTTCGTCGTCCGCTAGTACCGCCGCGGGCGCTTCGAGCGGCGGTTTCAGTCCCGCGACGCGCAACCTGAATTCCGCGGGTGGAGGACTTCCACCCCCAACGGTCGGGCGGCCGAACCCGGGCGGCTTCGCGGTGGCGAAGAACGCGGTGCCGGGCAAATCAGCGAGAAGTGGTTCCCAAGCGCGCTTCATCGGGGAGGTGCGGATCCCGATGGCAGCACTGGCCAGGCCGCAGGAGCGCGGCGCAAATATATCCTGAGTAAAAACGTACCCACACCAGAGTCAAGATGGGGATTTTGCAACACAAACCTAGGAGTTTTGGGAGTCACGCATGACAAGTTTCAGTCCGTAAGGTAGTGCAAGTTAGCAAGGAAAGCCGCATCACAAATCGACCTGCTGATCCTGTTCACAGCATCACAAATTCCAAAACACGATTGGAAATGGCTCTCATGGGGATGCGCATCACAAATGTCTTTGTCATTGCAAATCTGCATTAGGTACGTTTTTACTCAGGACAAAATACCGCCGAAATTCTCTACTACGCGTGGCTGCAGTTGGATACCATGGCGGATTACGCAAGGGGACAAGAACCACTTATTACCCTCATTTGCCAACAAGAATGAAACGCAAAATCGTATCTGGCTCACCTTGTGGCCGTCGCTGTACTACGGCAGGTGTTGGAATGAGTAGCTCAAAGAAGTGCTCCTGCAGGACAGGCCAGGCGTGGGTATTTGTCATGCAGGTCCTTGAACTTCTACGGTGTAGAAGTTTTTGGGATCATGGAGTTGTTTGTATTGCTACACAGACTTTGCGGCTTGATGAGGGGGAGGAAGGTGTTGTCCACTGTCATACGGACACGGTGCCCAACATCGGCGGGAACAGTGACCAGGATATTTTTCAGCAGGCACTGTACGCAGGACCGCGGAACGCAGCCATGCCAAAAATCTGCGTGTCACTTTGCAAGGACGGCGAAAGGAACAAATTTCCGCTGCGGAAAGAGGTTCGTATACTATTTTCTGCATACGGGTTGATTTTTTGCTTTCTCTTCCAGGGGGCATACGCATAGGCACACAAATAACTTTACTCGAAGTATTCTAAGTGTGCAAGATGAAGATTTAGTCCATATATTCAAATCTGAAAACACAAACACTGAAAACGTCGCATGAAATTCGAAAAAGAAAATACAGGAAGAGGACGCTGGTTTCCGTAGCCGCACGTGGCAAGCGTTGTTGAAGTCCCACCAGCAGCATCTCACTCTGGTCCACGCTCTTGACGTGTTGGATAGTTCGTCCGGCGAGCAGAGTATGTGGATTGAATAAAACTAACGCTCTCGTCACCCCAAAGTCACTCAAGATGGGAAAAATTGTGCAAGACATCAAGTCCAGAACAGCTTTTGGCACTCCCACATGGGACTTGCAGCGTACTGTCGTACTACAATCCAGCTAGTCCAGACGCATCGCAAATCCGCCTTATTTTTCTCCAGACATTTTTCGCCGTGCAGGACGTCAGAATAAACACCACTAGAAAAGAAATGCCTCTCAACATAATTTTTGAGAGCCGGCGCATGAACAGAAACCACATCCTTAGCTGCACGCAAATTATTTGCATATCATGACATCAAGGCTGGGGCCCTCGTGAAGACGTTTTATTTACTCAGGATACGAAAGAGGGAAAAGTTAGCCGAAGAGCTGGACCGAGCGAGCCACAAAGTTTCCCTCTTGTCCAATATTGTGGAGGAGCAGAAGCGCGAAATGAAGCTGTTGCAAAGCAAAATGGCGGATACCATATCAAATGTAAAAGTGTCTGGGTCTGGAAGAATGCAACTTGTGATGCTGCATTTGGATTCCAAAAAAATCTGTATTGCATGAGTACCAAAGGGAATACAATTTTTGCTACGCTGAGAAGGCATTTGTCATGCGGAATAGGGGCCCCGACTCATGTTGCATGTTGTAGCTGCCCTGCGCCGCGGCCCTTTCGTTGCGCCTTCTATCACCACTCCAGTCTCGAAAGGCCTACTTCTGTATGACAAGCGCTTTAGCTGCAGCGCTAGTGGCTATCCTTAACCTTATGCCATCTTAACTTACGACTTTACTTTACTTTGTTTTGATGTTTCCTTTATGATGATGATGATGATGATGATGCTTAAGCTATGGCTGATTGTTTTATTTTTCATTAAGAGGCCTTCGCGCCACCCGGACGTCCTGCCGGTAGACCACCAATGTCATGCGGAATAGGCATCAAGAGGCCCTCAGAAAATCTGTATTGCTAGGGTATGCATCACAGACATCATGGCTCATGCAAAACGCGCATGACAAGCGTCAGAATCTTCCAGACCCAGACATTTTTGCATTTGATATACCATGCAGAGCCACGATTTGAAGGAACAGGAGCTGCACGCCCGGGCGCTTACCGCGGAAAGTATTCTGTGCAAAAGTATCGTACTCGTATTGCAGTCATGCATTACAAATCTTGTTCTTAAGGTAAATCAGCAGCACAAATTTCATTTCTCATGCTGAGGAAATTCGTAATGCATTTGTACGAGTGCGATACTTTTGCATTTCATAGAAAGGGGGCAGGAGCAACTGCAGGGGGAGCTGGACGTAAGGGAGGAAGTTTTTCATCATGTAGTAGTTCAAAAATCTACAGAAGTTTCCTGTAAGTAATCCTTAGCTAAAATTTTCATTTCCCACTCTCTGCATTAAGTGAAAAGCGCCAGAAGCACTACGTACCAGTTGAAAATATGGTGCACCAGCGAATTGCGAAAGGGAAAGCCACAACTACTTCTTACTTTATGCAAACGTTACTAAACAGCAAACCCTGTCGAGCCTCCACACGAACAAGGAAGAGGAGGTGAAGCGGCTAAAGTTGTTGAGCCAAAACCTTTATGTATTGCAAAAATGTAGTCTGGGTCTGGAAGAATGCAGGAGTTTGTCATGCAGATTTTGCATGACCCATAGGGTCTGTGATGCCTGCCCTAGCATCGCAGAGATTCTGCGAGGGCTTTCTGATGCTCCTACCGCATGAGAAATGCCCTCTCCGCATAGCAAAAATCGGACCTCTTTTGCTGTTCATGCAAGACAGATTCATTGTAGAATCCAAATTAATGCAGCATCACAAGTTCCATCCTTCCAGACCCAGACATATTTGCATTTCATAACCTCCAGATGCAGCTGGACCAGTCGAAAGAGGACGAAAAATCCACGTTGCGAAAGTTCAACTCCAAAATTGAGGACTCCAACAAGATGATTATGGCCCTGAAAGACGAAAAGGAAGAAGCGGTCCGGCGGATCGAGACACTGCAGCTGGATTGGAAAAGCGAAAAGGTAGAAATAGCGAAGGAGAGCGAGCAGTTGAAGGCTGATAAAGCAGAACTGGAGAATTTGTTGGCCGAGAGGCAAAGGGAGTTCGAGAAAACGCACAAGGAGCAGCGGGACCGGATCACCGCGCTGTCCGCCGCGAAAGCGGAATTGCTGAAGATGATGGAACAAATTTACGACACTGCGCCGGAGCAGAATGGGGGCGTGGTTGCCACCTTGGACCGGACGAGCCTGGACGCATTCCACGCGAAGTGGAGCTGACGGTCGGTTTGTTCTTCGATGCGGTGTATGCATTTTTGCAAAAAAGTATGATGTTATCATGTTCATACCAACAGCGGGCAGCTTTTGCCGTTCTTCGTCCTGGAGAATTTCATCTTGCGAAATCATCTTCCACATGTCGCATCTTACAAACATAAGCTCCCCGCTTTCCTCCAGACCCAGGTCGATGTTTGCAATGCATACCGTGTTTCTACTTCTTGCTATTTCTATTGGAAGATCATTCTGACTTTCCTCGCTGCAAATTGCAAGATAAGTACTTAGTACCAGGAACAAGAACGCGATGTTGAAAGATGTAAAAGTAAGTAAAAACGTGGTTAATACGATTAGAAAAGTACTACGCTTGAATTCCGTTTCGAAGGTTTCAAAGTCAAGCAATGATAAGTATCTATTCATCCTCGCTGGTAGGACACACTACAGCAGGGTATTGTGGTAGACCACGTTTTCGACCGTGTTGCGCACGTGACGTCGAGAGGTCACTGTTCTAAATGGTCGTCGGTGGCAGAATTTATTGCTGCGCCAGTGCTTCATCTCTTCGCAAATAGCTACTAATTGCACTAGTGCATCATGTCTTCCAAAGAAAATAAGTAGTAAGCTCTCTATGGAGTGTAGCTAAGGCAGAAGATCATGATAAACTCCGTGCGGCACTAGCTGCCTTCCAGTCACGCTCCTGTAGATGATCAAGGCATCGATCATGGTTTTGTTGTCCTCGCCAGGATCTTCTAGCCTCTGATGGTTCATTTTTTGATCGGTTTAACAATACCACGTAGGTTTTATTTACAACTCGTCGTGACGAAGATGGAGTCAGTTGTTTCTATTTTGAGATTCTTCGTTGCTGTTAGTTTCCACATAGCATCAGGTCGTGTAATACTAGCAGTAGTCGGTTAGAAGGTCGTGTCCGGCGTGAAATTTTTTTTTTGATGTTTTTCATCTGCGACTTAATATTTTCTGGTCTCGATCCTCGCTTACGTTTTGCGGATCCGTGCTGTCTCGAACTCGAACTCTAATATGCGGCTGAAGATCCACCGGTTTTATTTCCCTTCTACTACTTAGCCCAGAGATTCATAAATGCGGAGATAAGTTGTACAAGAACTTATTCCGGCGTTCACACTTTTTAATTTACTGATAGACCACCTGCTCCCCGCGAAGGCAGAAGGGCTGCAGAAGCAATGAATTTAGTGTGTGTATGGCGGTGCTTATGGCGGTGCTGCCATGTAATTCACTTAGGACTTGGTGATTTTTGAATTGAGCTGCCAATTCCATTGAGAAAGCCTCTTGATTCAAACTCCTCCCGCTGGTATTTATTTGGGACGCAGCCGCAACTTGATAAGCATTGAAGAAAGTGTAAATTTCAGTAAAAATTTTATGCACGCAGCTATGCCGTCCTCGCCCCTCTCCCCCCGGCAGCCGGGCCGCGGGTTTTACTCCGATAACGGTTTTAGTTCGGACGGGGCGGCGCCGCTGAACCTCGAAAAGGAAGATCTGTGTGCGGGGATCTACGACAATGATTCGGTGGGCGACCTGGGCTCACCAGCGCATGAAGTAGGTCTGCGGTTACTACGGAAGAATACTGTTGCCAGTGGAGCGACGTGTCCTCATGATGCACAACCTCCGCCGCGTGGTTTAATATTTCACGGTGCGGTGGGTAGTTCTGGATCGAGTGGGCGGGGAGAAGTTTTACCATCGCCGATGAACATAATTCCAGTGCCGAATCAAGTTAGTGGTCCACCCGTTTTTACAGCAGCAGCTGCGCTAGGTCGTGATAGAGGTACCTCACTTGCAGTTTCGAACAGCTCCGGGGACATCAATATAATTCCAAAGAGCTACATCAATGTGCAGACGAAGAAAGTTTTGGCGACCTCCACACCGAGAACTGAAGGCCCAACGATTTTTTTGGATGCTGCAAATAGACCCGGGGACAGCACGACGACAGTGAGAACCGCGAAGACCGCGGATTATACGAACGATCTCCACGATGGGAGTTTTTCCCAGGACCGGCGACATATTGGAAAACTTACAGAACGGGATGACGGTGCGAAGAAAAATGCGGAAAAGATTATCTCCTCCGGCAAACAAGAACCTCGAAAAGCCGGAGCAGCAGAGGTGTTGCGTGTTGAAGCCGGGCCGACGGCATCTTCGAAGCCCAAGCCGAAGTATCGCGGGAGAACCCGCCACGCCCCGTTGCAAGGAGGGGTTATCACGGTGCACAGTTGGAGGTCCCCCCCGTTCTCATTGCATCTCATGCATACAATGCCACTTCCTTTTCTCTTGATATCGCTACATGAAGAGAGTTATTTTTTCGCCTTCGTCCGGAAGTAGTAAGCAGACCAAACAGCGCTACTACTAGAACCGGTTGTCAATGTGTGACGCAAGAAAATGTAATAGCTGCATATCTTTGCATGAGCTTACTATGCTGCTGTGGATGTTCTTGCCAACATGTAATACATGAGGGGGGCGAGGATTCATTTGTGCACTCGGATAGGAGCGGACAGTGGTTTCGAAAATGACGACCACACGGTAGTTCTTCCTCCCAACACGACCAGTTGTTTCGAAAAGGAGACATCAACCGTAGAAGTCCCCCCCCGCCCCACCTACCCAACGGTTTTTGCGGCCGGTAGAAAGCGGGGTCCTGGCCGCCGCGCGGGGACTTCTCGAGAAACAGTTGCGAGGCCCGCGACGAGCTGGGACGGCCGTCGTTCCTCTTGCTACAACCCCGGAGCGCCGCGTAGTACTATCATTTGTAAAAACGTCCCCACCCCAGAGTCAAGATGGGGATTTTGCAACACAAACCTTAAAGTTTTGGGAGCCACGCATGACAAGTTGCAGGCTGTGATATAATGCAGTTTAGCAAGAGAAGCCCCATAAGAAATCCAGCTCCTTATCCTGTTCACAGCATTACAAGTTCCAAAACACGATGGGAAATGCCTCTCATGGGGATGCGCATTACAAATGCTCTTGTGCTTGCAGATCTGCATGACAACTCTGGGCTGGGGATGTTTTTGCACAGGATAAGTACTAGCGGAGGTTCTTGTACCACTAGTACATTTATTTCGCGGCCGGGGCACGAGCGGGTGGTCGCAGTGGAAGAGCAGCAGGAGGAGGAGCTGATGTCTCGCCGGGGGGCAGGATCTTCGTCTTCATCATCTTCCTTCAACGGCAGGGACGACGGGCCAGTTGTCTTGCCACCTGAAGAAAAGACGAACCTCAGTCAAGAAGAACGTAGGACCTCCGCGGGAGATCGTGAAGATACGTGTGTCATCGAAACCGCCGCGGGACGAGGCGTACCACTGCAACCGTCACCAGCGTCAACCGCGGCGTTAGAGGGTGCGCAGCAGCAGGAGCTTTGTAGAAGAACCGCGAGAAGAACAACTACATCGTCGATATTAATTAGTACACGACCGGCTACAACAACTACACAAAACAGTCCGGTAACCACCACCACGACTGCCGCTGCGAGCAGTAGCCAGGACGACAACACGACACGGGTGGAAGGGGGACGAAGTGGTCGGAAACAAGCTGTGGCCGCTGAACTGTCGCCGGCGAGGACCACTTTGGAAGTAGATGCGGGTGGCGCACCGACGGTCGGGGCTGTGGTGCCGGCGGACCAAATTCCCGTGGCCATGAGTCCGGAAGAAGATGAAAAACTCTTGTCGGGGCCTATAGATGTCGGAGAGACTATGACTACCACCGCGCCCACGATACGAGCCCCATTTCTGTCGCCAAAGTGCGAGCAGCATGCAGGGGACCATGTTGCGCCACAGCACGCTGGATCAACCACTGCTAAAAGTATCGAATGTGATGAAAATACAGATCCTAGAGCGAATGTGAGTGGTGCTGGAGCAGGGACTAATATGTCGAAACAAGAACACAAGTTCATGACGAAGCACGAGCTTCACGCGACGCCAAACACCCCTACGCATAACAACCTTTGTTCCACCACCTGTATGGCAGCGTCAGGTTCGAAATCAACAAAGTTCAAATGATTTGTCATGCATATGATATCCTCGATGACAGTGGATGTGGGACCCGCAGTTTCCAGTCGGCGCTTGACAAGTTTTGGCATTACTAGCATAATTTCACGCAAAGCAAATCGTTTCAACATTTAGGCGATTTCAAACCTGCTACTCCCATAAGCTCCGAAAAAGAGTTCAACGCGGTGCAACGCTGCAGGGATCGGCTATTGGAGCATAGTGGGTACGACATTTACCTGTCTCGGAACGTATCAAATGTAAAAATGTCTGGGTCTGGAAGAATCCAACTTGTGATGCTGCATTTGGATTCCAAAAAAATCTGTATTGCATGGGTACCAAAGGGAGTGTAATTTTTGCTACGCGGAGAGGGCATCTGTCATGCGGAATAGGCATCAAGAAGCTCTCAAAAAATCCGTTATGCTAGGGCATGCATCACAGACATCAGGGCTCATCCAAAACGTGCATGACAAGTGTCAGAATCTTCCAGACCCAGACATTTTTACATTTGATAGAACGGCTCCATGAACGAAGCTTCCTCCGCCTCCGAGGGCATGATGAGCTGCTACGCTGAGCAAAAACGTCCTCGTGCTGATTTGCAGTCACGGGAAGACTGGTAATGCGTATCCGCATGAGAGCGAGGCATAATTTCGTTTCTCAATCTTCATCTTGTATGCTTCGCAAACAGGATAAGAAGATGGCTTTGTGATGCGGCTACAAGACAGCGAGAAATTTGTCATGCGTATTAACTCTCAAAACTGCTGGACTTGAGTTGCCAAGATCCCTACTCGACTATGAGGTGTGCGCCCCGTTTTTTCTCAGGATAGCTGCTGTCCGGAAAACAGTCGGCTTCCGACTGATCAGTGGTCGCGGCAGCTCGCTTATCAACCGCAAATATCCCTGGATGTCTGGAAGAATGTCATCCCGGCATTCCATAGTCTTAGCCCGCGAGGTGTGCAACGCAGGAGGACCTAGCATGATGACAGATTCCGTGAGGTCTCTCTGATCATGCTCATCCCGCGTGAGAAACAACCTCCTCTCAACTTGATTAAACGTGCCCAGGTTGATTTTTGTGTGACCGAGGACAGGGCGCGTCACAAGTTTCCGAACTCTGTCTTCCAGGAGATCCAGACATATAATTTGCACTGCATATGGCCAAGATCCACGCAAAAATGTCGTCGTCCTCCACGGGCCGAGCTGGCTCGTCAACTAGCCAACCTTCCGCACATATCCTGTGTAAAGACGTCCCCACCCCAGAGTCAAGTTGGGAATTCTGCAACACAGGTCCAGAAGTTTTGGGAGTCACGCATGACAAGTTTTTCTCTGTACTGTAATGCGGGTTAGCAAGGACAACCGCATCACAAATCCATCCTGGTATCCTGTTTACAGCATCACAAATTGCATAACACGATTGAAAATGCCTCTCATGGGGATGCGCATTACAAGTTTTCCTGTGATTGTAATTCTGCATGACAACTCTGGGTTCGGGATGTTTTTGCGCAGGATAGCACAACCCTTGTCTCGAAATTTCTCGGCGGACGGCCAAAACACGAGCAGCAGCAGCGGCACCAGCGGGGGGCAAGCGTATATCAAGAACATGGAGGTAGTTGCTGGTGGTGGGCGGTCCTCTTCCAGTTCATCTGGTATTGGGGAAGGGTCCTCTTCAATCAAGGCCTCATCTCTGACCAACATCGTGCCAGCTGCAAATAACCACGGGGGTACAGGTACAGTACCTGCCAAAGGTGCTGCTGGTGCAAGAGCGACGAATGGAAGGAGCACGATCGTCGGAAATAATAGCAGTATTAAACTTGCACCAGATCATGATCATGCGAGGACACAGCAGGAACAAGCAGCTGTTGATTTGCAAGAACCGTTGCCGCACCAGGGCTTCTTGCTCACAAGGACCTGCAGTAAAAATAATTCGACGTCGCCCGATGATGATCTCGAGCAGCTCCTGGAGAAAAACAAAAGCAAAAAGGCAGACCATGATCACGAGCCGCATAACGACGAAGATTCATCGCATCATGAACACCTCGCCGGCGGCCAGATGACGCCGCCGGGTCCGAGTCTTTCCAAGCCACTGGACGACCCGGGTCTTTCCGAGCGGACGAAGTTTTCGGAGGTGGTAGGTCAAGATCCTGCGGCAGCCAACCAGGAGCGACGGCGGGCGGCGGGAGGTCGAGTGGATCGCAGAAAGATGAATATGCCAGCGGCTAGTAGTGGCTCAACCACTTTGGCGGTTATCCGGGAAAATAAATCCGCCGAGCTGGTGATGCCTTCGACAACTACATCGTTTTCGGGAAACACAGGAACAGGCGCAAGGCCGCCCACACGAGGACTCCACGAGGACGAGAAACACCATGCCCATGATGCAACGTGTCTACAACTTCACCGTGGGGACAGTGGCGGATTTCGAAATTACGGAAAAATTATGACCACATGGGGCAGAGAGGAAGAAATCCAGCTAGGACTGCCGACGTCGAGCAGCGGGACTGTGTTTATTGAAGATACTGCTGTTCCTCGTCCGCCGCAGGAAAGTTATTCTGTCCAGTGTGAAAACCAAAACAGTGCAACTGGAGCGAATAATCATGATTATCCGGAAAATAAAATAAAACAGCTCAGCGGAGAAAGAGCGCAACTACCGGGTGACGAGCCTCCTCCTGGTGGAAGTAAGTCGTCTACTGTATCACAATGAAAAATGCCCCCTCCCCATATCAAAACGGAAATCTGTGATGCAGATTTGTGGTCACAAATCAGCTTTGTGATGCTAGAAGGCAAAAGATGCGGACTGTAGTGCTGCCTAGCGTGGGAAAGCCTTGCAGCTCCAAGATGACAGGAGGCAACTGGAAGGGGGAAACAGCATGACAGATTACCTGCAATTTAGGCCGCAGCTTCGTCTCTTGGCCTTCTAGCAATACAAGTCGACTTGTGTACTCAAATACAGCATCACAAATTCGCGCACTCCGTTTCCGTTATGGGGTGGGGACTTTTTTCACTTTGATATACTGCACCACCTCGTCCAGGCGGTTTTCAAAAAACCTCCAAGACTTCTACGACCCGCTCAAACGTTACAATCTCAAACGTTACAATAGAATTTGGGTTTTGTATATGCATGATGAGCATGAGAGACTAGGACAGCATTCCACTTTCTGCAATACAAATTTCGCCAAATTGTTGTGCGGATTGGGAGTCCAGAACTTGTCATGCGCATTCCTGTGGGAGCCGGGTAGATCTTGCACTTCTTGCAACACAAATTCCAGACTCTAGTGTAGCGTCTGAGATTGTAACACCTGAGCAGGTTATAACTTCTACGACCGCGTCTGTGCAACTCGACCGCGTGGCGAGCAACCTCCACATCCCCAGCCTTTCCCGCGCCAGCAAAGCGCGCGAGTTGGCCGAAACCATAGCCACGCCGCAGCACCACAAGGAGGCGCTTTTGAGAAGTAGTTATCTTCCGATATCCTGTGTAAAAACGTCCCCACCCCATAGTCAAGATGGGGATTTTGCAACACAAACCTAGAAGTTTTGGGAATCACGCATCACAAGTTCCAGTCCGTAGTGTAGTGCAGGCTAGCAAGGACGCACGCATGACAAATCCATCTGCTTATCCTGGTTACAGCATTACAAATGCCAAAACACGACTAGAAACGCCTCTCATGGAGATACGCATCACAAATGTTCTTGTCATTGCAAATCTGCATCACAACTCTGGGGTGGGAACGTTTTTACAAATGGTATCCGAGGTTTGATGTTCATGGTGCTGTGGTGAATTACGCAAGTTGCCGCAGTTCCGACGAAAGGACCACTGTAGTATCCGATGCTGCGAAGGTGGAAGTAGGGGGAAGGACATGCAAGAAACCGCGGAAAAATGTTGAAACCATTTTAAACGCGAACAACAAAAACAATAATGAGCAGAGTATTGGTTTCTTTAATACAACTGCTAACACGACAACAAGAGCTTCCACAACAACAGCCTGGAGGCAGGCGTCCAACCAGCGGCGGATGAAGAAGCGGCAAAGATTATTAAAATGAAAAGAGCACCAGCTTCCGCTTTCCACACAGAAAGTAAATAATTTTTTTTCTTGCAAGAAACGAATGCGATGCATATTATCATGCGGCTGGTGATCGATCGCTCATAGTGTGGCGCCGTTCAGCAACTACACAGACTTGCGCTAATCCGGCTGGGAATTATAAACAAGTTGTTGAAATAAAGCTGGGTGCCGGCATCAAGTGTTTACTTATTCCAGTAGGATGAACTTTTGCAAAAATCAGTATCAGAACACTTCCACACTCGCCGATTGATCGTGGGGGCGCTTTTCGTTGTGATAGAGTTCTGGCTACTGTGCGGACAATGATATCCGGGTTTCATCGAAGAGGAGCAAGAAAAGCGGCAGTCTCCTACTTTCTATGCCGGAAACGACAGCAGGGGCGGCGGAGGCAGCCACGGGGGTGGAGGAAGGAGCTGCATCTGTGGAGATGAAGGATGATGGACGAACCACTACAGGCTCTTGTCCAGGAACTGCTACAGCCGAAACTCTCAAAATGGAACACGACCTGAGCTGCAACAATGTAGTTGAAGACCAACGGCGCCCAGCGCCGGTCGGACGAAACCGAGTCTCGTCGTCCCTTTGTAGAGCTCCCGTCTCCCCCACGACACTAGCTGGAAAAATGGCTGGTCCTGCTTGTTCCTCCTCCAAGCCCGGAGGTTGTCCAACATCCAAGGCGAAGCGACGTCGACGGCGGAGCAACAAATGGATGCAACGAAGGCAGCAGCGACGCGAGTTCTTGGAAAACTTTCGAGAAAATGATAAGACCGGGTGTTTTGCATCTCCCAAGCCGCCTGAAGATCATGCCGGATCATCAGCGGGTGCGGCGACCCTGGGTGACACAACCAGCCGTGTGGACAGGAGTTCATCTAGCGCTACCGCTATGCCGGACCGCGCGGCGGGGGCGCAGATGTCTTCCTCCAGTAGCTCGCGCGCAGCGGGTGGCCATCTTCATCATCATCATCATCAAGGGTGCGCAACTTCTACTTCCACTGCTGGTACAAGGTGGAATGTGAAAAAAATCTATGCGAAAATAAACGGCAAAAGACACAAAGCAGCACTCCGATACTCGCCACCTTCCATGCTGCCAGCGAAGCAGATAACTACAGGGACAGCCACTGCGTCGGGCGGAGAAGAGGGACAACTGAAGATAAAGCGACAAAAAGGCGGACTGGTTTATGACAAGATTCTCAAACGTAATGTAAGTACCTGTTATCGATGACTTTTCATGCAATAGAACCACGATAAAGATAATTTTAATTTATCGACCAAGCTGCTTCGCATGACCAATTCCCGAAGCGCTAAACAGCATGAAAAGCCGCAACAAATCTGTAATGCAAGACACGCAAACTCTAGCTCGCCGCTTTCACTGCTGCGCCTCATGCGTCGCAAAAACATGGACTGTCACGCTTGAGAGCTCCATATAGTTCCCCGAAAGAAGGTCAGCACGGGGGCCGCGGCGCGCAAAGCGCTGGATTTTGTGTACGGTGGTGGAATTATTACTTCCAGTAGAACGGATCATGTGGAAGATACAACATCAACTGCGAGAAAGAACATTAGACAAGCAGACGATAAGGAAGCACTGTTTTCGCAAAGCCGAAATGGTATTAAACCTCCACACGTCCACGACCTCGACAATCGGTATTCCGGATCAACAACACGCGACGATTGCTTACTGCTCGAGGCCGCAAATAAAACCCACCCGCAAAAACCGAGCGCCTTTTCGCACGCGAGGGTAACAAACAAAAATGACGACCGCGGGGAAGATCAAGAAGAACAGGAGACTACTATCGCGGACGATGAAACCACAAGTCTGTTGCGACATCATGCAGTTGATTCGTTCTTGCCCGCCCCGCCAAATGTTGAAAGTCTATTTCCAGTACCCGAGCAGGAGCTTGATGATGAAAGAATGAACGAGAGGAGCTCGTCCTTAAAACTTCCCAGCGTCAACTTGCGTACCGCGACCAGAGACGGACCGCAGGCCCGTTGCGGGCAGCAACGGCAGGAGCACCAGCAGAGCGTTTCATCATCTTCCCAGCAGCACTTTCTCCCGCAACAGCTCATACTGAGCGACTCCGACACTAATTTTCAGTCTTCTTGCGGGGGCAGCAAGAAAAAGCACTTGCAGGAGCACGACGACTGCCATTATGCTTCTGGTTATGCTGTGCAGCGCAACGCTTATAAAGTCGTGCACACGACCATCAAGGCAGCGTCCGGTGCGACCTCGGAGGCCGGGTTCTGCACGGCCTTGTCCTCCTGCGAATCAACCGCCGGCGGAGGGGATTCCGGTGCCGTTCCGCGGTCTAGCACGACGACTTGTGGTGGGGGCTCAGCTGCACCAGGAGCTCCGAGTACAACCGGTGGGGCCGCCGACCACGGCGGCGAAGACGTTTTTGGCCTGTTTAGTGCAACAACCCAGCAGACCGCGGGTGCTGATGGCCCCTATAGAAGTTGTACTTGGCAGCGACTGAATTCGGACCCCGCGTCGCAGCTAAACACCAAGTCCGCCCTCATCTTCCAGCCCAATCTTTCCGCCCGAAAATTCCACGACAGCAGCGAAAGCGAGCCGTCGGTCTCTGACAGTCAGTGCAGTGGCGGAACCCACGAAACGGCCAGCAGTTGGGACGACAAGATTGTACCTCCAAAAGGGTCGTTGCTCAACACCTATGGAATTCTCACACATTACAGTGATTATATAATTGCGGTGGTTCTTACATGAATTTGTATAGGCAAAACTAGTAAAAGCGAACGCAGCGAGCGGATTTCCATGTTAAGTACTACGGATTGTCGTGCTAATATTTATACCGCGATGAGAACTACTTGTCATGCGAGGCAACTCGAAGATCGGATGGGGCGGGCTGATGGTGATTTTTTTACCTGCGAAAATCATCGTGCATTAGCTGACATCAAAGTAGCGTTTGAAAGTCCCATAGAACCGTTGCCCAATTTCGCGTAAACCGTAGGCCGAGCGGTGCCATCGAGTCAAACTGTAACGCTACGAGGCATCAAGGGCGCTCTACGCCGAGTAGACGAAACGGAAGGTATTAATTTGAATTAGCTATATGCTTTTAGATTTTTTTGCCTTACGATTTTTCACTCGCGTGTTTTTTTTCCCGTTGCTTTTAATCTACTGATAGCGTCGTACCATGGTCTTGATAACTTCAAGCTGCTAGTATGATTGATTTCTCAAATGGTCGTTCGTTCCCGCCTGAATTTCATGTCGAAAGAGACATCTGGAAAAACTGCGCAGCACCGACCCGCGTTTATTTCCGCACAGACCGCGCCGGCGCAGTACCCCCGTTGGTTTTGCACGCTCGTTGCTATTATGGGGGCACGTCGATTCCTAACAAATGAAAAGCGCCGCGCCACAGCAGAGGTGGGGAATAAGTAGTTCTGACACAAAGTAGGACTAGTGGTCTCCGAATGGAAAGCTTTTGTCGTGCGTGCAAGTGCTGGGGCTCGAATTCGGTTGTGCTCCGAAACATCCACGGCCTACACGTGGAAATAAGCCGCTTCAACACGACGAGCTCTGCCTCTGCGGCTGCTAGGCCTCTATTTTTACTTAGCGCTAGAACTACCGAAAGTTGTGCTAATCTTCTGCGTGGACGACCATGTCGTCGTGTGTTGCTGGACCACTACGTCGAAGCCACGCGAAACAGATATAATTTCCGTGTGGAAGTCGAAGTAGAATAAAAACTTTGCATCGCAAGCACTTGTTGCTCACCTTTCTGGGGGTAGGGGCACTTTATTTCGTCCTGATAACTCGCCCCGCAATTTCCCCACCCGCAGGACCACGACGACCGGAAGGCAGAGTGGCCTTTTGTTGAAGAAAGGCAACAAAAGTGGAGAAAAAATGTTATTTGGCGAACTACAGAAAACGAGCGACAGTACCACCACCAGCGGGGATGTCCTCGATCTACATCACGACTCGAGCCATAATTATCCGGGTACAACTATACGGCGCGGCAGGGACCAGCACGGGAAGATCCAGTTGCCGTGGTTCGATAGGTGGACTACAAAAGCAAGATCAAAAGACCGTTCCTGGTGGAGCTGCTGCCGGGGCTTTTTTTCGGATATTATTTTCACGAAGAAAGAAAGTGAAACAGCGAGGACATCTCATCGTACTTCCTATCAAATGTAAGAATGTCTGGGTCTGGAAGAGTGCGAGATTTGTGATGCAGGTTTTCCATGACCCATGAGGTCTGGAATGCGAGACCCAGCATGACAGATTCTTTGGGGTCTCTATCATGCCTTTCCTGCATGAGAAACTCCCTCTCAACTTGGTCAAAAGCGGACGGCTTTTGGCACTCACGCAACACAGATTTTTGCATCATTTAGATTTAGCATGACAAGTTCTAATCTTCCAGACCCAGACATTTTTGCAGTTGATACTTCGCGGCATAGTACAACACTGAGCAATCGAACCGAATTGGATCTGAAAAAGGAGTATCCTGTGCAAAAGTATCGTACTCGTAGTAATTGCAATCATGCATGACAAATCTTGTTTTTTAGCGAAATCAGCATTACAAATTCCATTTCTCCTTCTGGAAAAATTTGTATTGCGGTTTATACTAGTACGACACTTTTGCAATGCATAAGGAGCTCGAAAAACGAAAAGCCTGGGACAAGAAGCTCCTGGTAATCGTCTGCGTCTCGTCGGCGCTCGCCGTCGGTGCGGTGATTGCGGTCTGCTGTATCAACTGCAAAAATGTCTGGAACTGGAAACTTGTAATGCTGCGTTGGGAATAGTGAATGCCCTGTAATGCACGGGCAAGCATGAGAAATCAAATATCGGCGCTTCTTTGTGTTGCGTTTTTCGCATGACAAACCGCTGCATGACAGGCAAAGTGGTCTCGTCTTGGACACGCATCACAAACTTTTTCGGCATGCCAGACAAGCATGACAAACCTTGCATCCTTCCAGACCCAGACATTTTTGCATTTGATATGCTGGAATCTACTGCAAAAGAACAGTTGTGCATAGCAAATTATATGTCTGGGCAGCTATCTCCTGGAAGAAAAATGGAAGTGGTCGTTTGTCATGCTCGCTAGCAGCATGACGCTCAAGTCCAAGTGAGTCTGTCACGTTCCTTCTGCAGTAAAACTACGCCCTATTTATTTTCTGTAGTGCAGAAACGCAGTTTTTGTTTTTCTTTTTTGCCATGCCAAAAAATAGGCAACTACACCTAGCAAGCCAAAAGCTTGCCATGCTTGGCCGTGAAAATAAATTCCGGCTTGTGTTGTCCTCTAGCCCGCATCTTTACAAGGTAGGTTCCAGGCGTGGAGGTCCAGGGATACGTATTTGCAGTGGATAAAAGCAGTAACGACCACAATGCGGACAACAACTACACCAACCTAAACATGTCCCCCTTCCGCAATTTTAAGCGACACCTCGAAACGCACATCTGCGCCTATCCGGAGATCTGCCGGGCGTGGGAACAGTCCGGGCAGCAGGGCGCCGCGGGCACGTTTCAACTCGCGGCAGAGGCGTTCCAGAAGGCACCCTACGAAAACTGGAAGCAGAAAAAAGGGTAATGTGATACAAAAATCTGCACTATGATTATGTGGCGGTCTTGGAGTTGGAATCAGCAGTCACTTGATGATTTGTCCATAAATTTGCGAGTAAGGTCGTCGTTTTCTGTTTTTTGAAGAACGGCCTGCTGTGTGAGGAAGTACTCAAGTTGTATAAGTAAGTAAGTAGACCTTGTTCATGGATAAAAACAATACACACGACCACTTGCAGGAAAAAGGAAACTGTCGACCTGTTTTTCCTACACGAAATCGATCGGCACGTGACGCCGCTCGAGTACCGTTGGTATTGAAATGAAAAACTCCCCCTCCCCACATTGAAAAAGTATGTTTCCGAAAATTTGTGTTGCTGATTTGAGGTCACAAATCACATTTGTCTTGGAAGAAGACAAGGGCAGAAGCTTCCGCCCCATTATGGAAGCGATTTGTCACGCTGTTGGGCCTACGGGGGAGCCGTTTGGCATGCTGAACAACTAGAGCCATACGCCCCTACCTAGCCTGGGGATCTGGCCGCAATCCCTTCCTGCAATACAAAACTGATTTGTGTACTCAAGTCCAGCATCAGAAACCTCGTTTTGATATGGGGAGGGGGGATTTTTCCTTTTGATAGTTGGCTCGGGCAAGCCACCGGGTACACGTCGAAGCGGTTCACCTTCCGGAACGCAATTGCTTTCACGAGCAACCAGCAGTGGGTCCAATCCGCGGACGCGCTGTTTCTCGCCTCCGTGCGGTTTCTGCAGCAGAACACAGCGCGGGTGCAGGCGCAACTGGCGCCGGACGTCGGGGCGCCGACGACCGTTCTGGGGACTCCTGCCACCGGCGGGGGCGGTTGTACTACCTCGGGTGCAGCGCCAGCGGGAGGGACAGCACCCGCGCTAGGTGCAAAGGATAGAAGCACAAGAACTCCGTCGCAGCTGGTGCACCAGCTGCCGGCCACGGGAGATGAACAGCAGGAGGAGCAGCAGCCACCAGTTTCTCGCAGGCCGCTGCTGACCCGCAAGTTGTACAAGCGGACACTGATTGTCGGGTGTATTCCCTTCCGCTTCCACAAGGCCACGAGACAGGTGCGGATCGCCTTTGTCCGTGCGAAGCACACGCACGCCCCGGAACTACCGAAGGGCAAGGTGACGGAGCAGGTGCTGCAGTTGCTGTCCCAGCACGAAAAACTGCACCAGGACGACTTTGAGCTCGTCGCCGATGATTACCCAAAGCTGAAAGACGAGGCTCTGCGGGAGCTCGCGGAAGAAACCGGCTTGCGGCAGGACGTGGGCGATTTCAGTAGTGCAGACGACGCGAACGAGGGAAAGATAGACCTGAAGGACGAGCCAAAGTATCGATGTTAATTTTGTTCTTTTCAATGTTCGCACATATAAACATAATTTTAGTATAAGGAAAAGAAAACCGGAGGCAAGCGCATTGTTCCTGGCACAGAAGCGACAGAATATCAAAACTGTGGAAGTGTACAGTTTGATGCTTCGCAAAAACTACTGCACAACATAACGAACGTACCAAGGTATTACCCCTCCGGAAAAGAGGAGGATGCTGGTCCTAACAACGGAAGTAAAGTGATGCAGGTGGTAAAGCGCTCGATCTTCTACCCGGTCGAGGTAAACAGTGTGCACGAACATAACTGGTCCGTCACGGACTTTTCCGGCGGTTTCTACCGTGAGCTGGGGAAAAACCTGAAACACGTTTTCGGTCGCGCAGACCTGCTGTTGGAGGAGATTGAACAGAATGAGGCGTTTCACTCCGCGCAAGACTTGCGACAGCTCCGCGCACAGTGGAGCGCGGAGATGAAGAAGGCCGCCAACGCGTATCGCAGGCAGGTCGCGTATCAAAGTGAAAAATCCCCCCTCCCCATATCAAAATAAGTAGAAATCTGTGATGCGGGATTTGTGTACAGAAATCGAGCTTGTGTTGCAGTAGAGGACTGCACGCAGATCCGGAGCCTAGGCGGGAGCCTTTTGCTGTAGGCGCCTAGTATGACAGACGTCCCCTCTGTAGGCCCTACCGCATTACAAATCGCCTGCGTAGCGTGTCAGACTCTCTGGATTTGCCCTCTTGCAAGACAGACAGGATTGGTGGTCACAAATCTGCATGGCAAATCTTCAGAAGGATGCGCTTTCAATATGGGGAGGGGGGATTTTTCCCGGCGATGTCGCGTGGGTTGACCTCAAGGACTTACCGGAGATCGTGACCACCCTGGCGAAAACCAAAGCAGCGGGAGGCGTAGCCGGCGGGGGGAACAATAGCGGCCGCGGGGTCGACGATCCCCTGCTTGGAAATCGCCAACAGGAGAAGGATGCTGCTGGACCGTCTTCAAACCTAAACAGTGTCAAGACGGTGCGGCACAACTCTTCGCCCAGAAATCTGAAGGCCATCCTCGAGTTCCTACCGTATTTGGAAAGAAGGTTCGCGAACAGCAATTGGGACATAGACATGGTGGATTTGAGACAGAAGCTGCAAGCCGCCTACGAAACCCTTGTCGACTACTATTACAATGAAAAATGCCCCCACCCCCGAACTTGGGAGCATTTGTATTGCAAACCTTTCCAAATGAAACATTCGCCCTCTTGCATCTATCAGCATCACAGGTTTTCAATCGTTAATAGCAAAAATTTGTATTGCAAAAGACCCCAGCAAGAGCGGCGCTTGTCATGCAAGCGATGCGATACAGGCCTACATTCTGCATCAGAAAGATTCATACTCCTTTCATGCATGACAAAGAGTTTTCATTTGGAAATTTCGCATCACAAATTTTTGCAATTTAGGGGTGGGGGGTACTTTTCACTGTAATAACTACGATGACCGGGAAAAGAACCGGAAGGACGACCCGGACGAGGATCCTGGCGCGGCGATCAATTTGGACCACCGGGAGCTGCAGGCTCAATTCTTTCATCGTGTGCTGGACCAGCAAAGCGGGCGTGCATTGCCACGTCGTGGGCACGTAGTCAACGAGCATGCACCAGCAGTGCCTGCCGCCCGGCAAGAACTACATTCAGCTTCGTTCCTTCACCAGAGAGATGGGCCCCTTCTCTCGCCTCGAAGCGAGTCAGTGTATCCCAGGGGAGTAAAAAGCTGGCGGGTCATACGAGTTTTTATGAATGCAAAAATAAGTAAGTACTTGCGGGAAAAACATGTATACAGATTTGTTTTTGGATCTATCCAACAGGAGTTCTTTTTCGTGCAATGACCTGCCAGAAGCCTTTTTCTGTGGGACACAACAGTACCCGGGAAGATAATGCTGATGAACCGAGTGCTGAACAATAGTGAAGTTCCTCAAGCTCTTGTGGACGATGAAGATATGCCGCAGGGTACTACCGATCCTGGGATGAATCATCCCGAGAATAGCAACGTCCCACCCGGAGGTAGCAGAGAGCACGACCAGAACCAAAACTATCAAAACGCAAATAGGTCGTGGTCAACATCTAGGCTACTGGATGAATAAACCTGTGATGGTGCTGTTGGTGGGGAGTGTTTGGAGAGGATGACTTCTTTAAAAAATTTCTGTACGAGCTAATTCGATAAAAGAGAAAGTCTTGTCGTACGGATGTCAGATACCTCTCTATTTTGCATGTTGACAAGAAAGAACAAGTAGGAACAGGAAGCTGCGCTTTTGCATTTTCTGGTCAACAACTTCTACATGCAGTACAGATTCATTATTTTCAGGTTGCGTACAAATGAGATATCCAGCCGCAGCACCAACACCTTACAACTTTATTCCTGACCCAGATGACACAACATTTGTACATGCATAAGAACCTCCTCCCAGAACAACCAGATCCAAAACCGACTCCGAAAATAACGGCAAGTAGGATTGTATCTCCTGGCAGCAGCACGCCGCGCGAGCTTTCGCAGCAGCGAAGTGGACCCGACGCCGGTTGGGGGCAGCAACAGACCGAAGGTGATGTTGAACAACGTGTATCTAGAAGTACTGATGTACCTCAGGCATCTGGCGGCCCACCCAGAGGACGTGAACGAGCCGGGGTGGAAGGTGAAGTGCAAGAAGGAAAAGTAGAACCGCAGAGAACTTCACTAACAACGACAGAAACGACAGCCCGCGGCCCTGGATTGATATTCCAGAAACCACAACCCGCGGCCCGGGAATAGTATTCCCCCCACCTGCTACTTTTCCCGCCACAAGAGCCGCTTCAACAAACCTGCAACCGGGCGGACGCGGAGGGACCTCCACGGGAACTGATTCTGATTTATTTACTCCACCTCCGAACTCCGGGCAGGAGTTGACCCGGTCGCACGAACGACGACGGCCCGAATCCACTATGACACCCTGGGGGCTCCCGCCGCCCGGGTTTCGAGAAAGTACTTGGTCGTCGGGCCGGGTGGGGGCGGGGGGCCAGTTTTTACAGCGCGTTCATCATTCGCCACAGCGGAGGACCGTTTATGAAAACGGAGAACAGTTGGCAGAACAAACACATGAGACGGGAAGTGAAGACTTGCGCTATGTGTGAAGGATGTTTCAACAATCCGCCCATGCGGTCGTACTGCTAGTTCACAGGCAACACCAACTGTAGCTATCATCAATGACTAGTACTAAAAGATTTTTGTGAAACATTAAAAACAAGAGCAGTTTTATTTTTCTCATGGATGTTTATTGCCAAAGTTATCTTCAGCCCGATCGAATCGGAGATGCTCCCGAATATTGAACACCTAATGATAAAAAATATGTTCTTGGGACTGCATAAGTGCCCTGAACTGATGAAAATGTAGATAGCAAGAAAGAAACAGGTCGTAGGCTGTGCATATTACAAATTGACTATATTTATCGCAGTTAATAGGTGATGAAGATGATGTAATTGTATTATGATGACGCTATGCATTCTCCGGACGAGTATGACCTCATGCATTCTCCGGACGAGTATGACGCTATGCATTCTCCTCGACTTCTAATTTTCTTTCACGGAATTGATGTGCTACCCACGACCCCGGACACAGCACGCTTTTATAATTCCAATGGCCTGCCATTTCAAATGGATTTTAAAGAATCTTAGTGTATTCGAGGAAAATGTACTTTGTTTCCGAGGTCGCGAAATTATGCAAGTCGTCGCTGTGCATTTCAAATTCAATAACTTAGTAAAAACACCCAATGAAGAGCCTGACAAAAGTTGCAGAGCCGCCTTATTTATGTACTCAATTCACCTGAAAAATTTAAAGAAAGCTTTGTAATGGAAAGATTTTGTCACGTTTACTTCGGATCGATCCGAGTTTTAGTACTAGCATACATCAGACTAGTGCTACGCATAATAGGTATTGGCATTGGCAATTAATAGCTCAATCTGTACGACTTGTACTAGCGAGATCATTCTGATAGGAGTATCGAAAAATTATAATTTCTATTTGAGTGGCTCTGCCTCATGCTGTCCCACAGCAATGAATTTGCAGCAAAAGCCCGGGAGGACACGCGCACTGTATCGGACGTCGACGAGAAATTTCTATTCCCCAGCTGTAATAAAGTACTACTTTTTTTATCTCCTTTATCTCTTATCAGCATCAACAATAAACTTATCAGATGTTGACTGAAGCGACCGCGACGTTGCTATCATTTTTTATTTTTCCAGAATCGCACACAGTCACAGCGATCCAGACTTTGACTTTTTCCGCCGCAATATTCCGTCGGTGCGCAGCTCTTGGCTGCATCAATTTCGTCGACTGAGCAGGATAAAAAATCCACACGTCGAGTTGCAGCTTCGCAGAACAAAAGCTGAAGAAAATAGCTGCTGTTATTTGATTCTAGCCCCCGACAAAAGGCGCGTTCCTGGATCGGATAAGTAAGTATGTTGTAAGCAGGGCGGATTTAAAGTAAGTTCTAAAAATGCTCCTGAAATAGTAAATGGAAGCACTTAAGATTAAGAGTCTTTGGATTCTGAAAGAAACAAGATCCGTTGCCGTTCCAATAGATCAAACCACAGCATAAATGGATCAAGACACGACGAAAGCCAACGAAGTTGAAAAATCCATTCTTCCGCATCGATCATGAGGCCGTGCGAGGAAGGGCCCAATCCAAAACAAGTTTCTTTGGTGCAACTTCAAGAAGTAGATTTGATCGCGATCAGAAAGTAGAAAGGAACGCCGGTAGTTCCAGCATCTTTAAAGTACTCAAAAGAACAGCGGATCTGTTCCCTATTTTCCCTTCCGCTAGCCGGAAATGGAACGCGCTCGTTGAAGAAGATCACGAACCGCCTGACGGGATCGAGGATCAAAATTGGACATGGAGGTTTGATGGTTCCAGCTCTTCCAGTGGTTCTCGCATCGCCACCAGGATCAGGATAAATACATTGTTTGATGTGTAGTTGAATCAGTCGTGCGATGAATGGAACATCAACCCCTGTGTAAGTAAAAAGTTCTTGTGCAGGAGGAGCTCTGTGTTGTTACTCCGTTCTATTTTTCCTACCACGGCAGCCCCAACCGCCAACGGAAGTAGGAAGAAAGTAGAAGTGCCACAGCTGCGAGGGGAATTGCATCCATACAACTACATATTGCTTTTGTACTAAATCTATGTACAACGACATTCATAGTTGCTCATTCTGTTTTTGTTCCAGTGTGAAAAAAGAACGGAAAGTAGAATAGAACTAAACCCAGAACAATTTATAAACTCAGCCCTCGAAAAAAATGAAGCGCGACAAGAGGGAGAACAAGACGATCCAGGGCGGCAAAAACAACGCCACCCACGGCGGCGATGAAAGAAACCAACCCGAAGCGAAGCGGCAGAAGCACGAGAAACCTTCCGCAGTGCAGATGTACAGCGGGAAACAGGGCGGACGGGACTGGACGCTGTCGGTCGCGCTGCCCGCCTCCATCGTCGCCAACGCGCAGAGCCACGAGCTGCGGTCCTACCTGGTCGCGCAGATCGCCCGGGCGCTGACCATATCAACTGCAATAGTGTCTGGGTCTGGAAGCATGCAACTTGTGATGCTGCATTTGGATTCCAAAAAAATTTGTATTGCATGAGCAGCGAAGGGAATGCATTTTTTGCTACGCGGAGAGGGCGTTTGTCATGCGGAGTAGGCATCAAGAAGCCCGCAAAAAATCTGTCGTGCTAGGGCATGCATTACAGACATCATGGCTCATGCAAAACGTCCATAACAAGTGTCAGAATCTTCCAGACATCCAGGGATATTTGCAATTGATAGACCATCTACGGGGTGGACGAGGTGGTATTGTATGAGGATCAGCAGGAATTGGTGAACCAGGGCGACGTATGGATTGCAAAAGTGTCTGGGTCTGGAAGAGTGGAACTTGTAATGCTGTCTGCGGATTCTAAAAATATCTGTGTTGCGTGAGCAGTAAGAGGAGTCAGTTCTTGGCACGCGGAGAGGGCATTTGTCATGCGTAATAAGCATCAAGAAGCTCTCAAAAAATCTGTGATGCTAGCACCAGCATCACAGACTTGATGGGTCATGCAAAATGTGCATGACAAGCCCCGACTCTTCCAGACCCAGACATATTTGCATTTGATACGACGGCGGAGAGATGGGCGGCACGAATAACACGTTTTCATCGTCTTGGGACAACACATCAAACACATGGAACTATGACACGAACTCGTGGGCCGGCGCGGGCGGCGCAACAGCAAAACCAAAGAAAGGTCGCGACACAACTACAAGCGCTGAAGATGCAGGAGCTGCAGCAGCCGGCGAAGCAGATGCTGAAGAGAAGGGCAAAAATGGAGAAGAAGAGGCGGAGAAAAAGCATTCCTGGGCGCTGAATTTTTTCGCGCGGAACCTGCAGTACCTCGAGACCCCACAGTACCTGCGGAAAATCCTGTTCGGAATGCACCCAGATTTGAAATTCGCGGGGTTGCAGAACCCCCTGGACGCGCCGCACCACTTGCGGAAGGGGGAACAGATCAAGTACCGGGAGGGGGTGATTCTGGAGGAGCGGCACTTCCCGTACGCGAAACCCAGCGCCGACGGCGTGTTTGTGTGCTGCGGCCTGGACTACCCCGTCTGGTGCGAGGAGGGGCACGGGGCGACGGCCGGCGTCCGGGTCACCGTGAAGCTGCTCCAGGACGTGACCTACAAGGACGGCTTATCCTGAGTAAAAACGTCCCCACACCAGAGTCAAGATGGGAAAGCGGCTAGACAAATCAACCAGCTTTCGTTGTTTCGCATGACAAGTCTGTCCCCGGAGTGTGATCCTGTGTAGCTAGTTTCGGAGCATCACAGATCAAGCATATCATGCCGATTCTAGCATCACAAATCCCAAACCACGACTAGAAAATGGCTTTCATTGGGCCCCGCATGAGAAACTTTTTTGGCGTGCAGATTTGCATGACAGCTCTTGGGTGGGGACGTTTTTACTCAGAATACGGCTCGGTTGCGGGAGAGATTGTGTCGCCCTCCACCCCGCGCACCGAGGACGGGTTGTACTGGGGCTACCAGACCCGCGTGTGCCACAGCTTGCAGGAAGTGTTCGACCACACTCCCTTGGTCGTGGAAGAAACAACTTCTGGCTCCGGCGGAGACCACCCGGAGGCCGCCGGAAAGGAGGTCTCGAAACGACGACAGGCCTTGAATCTGTCGTTCGACAGCTACCGGCACTACGATCTGGTGTTGGGCACGTCCGAGCGGGGGCGAGCGATCAACGACGAATTTGCGTCCGCAAAGAAGATATGCATTGCAAATATCCCTGGATGTCTGGAAGAGTACAGCTTGTCGTGCTAAATCTGAATCATGCATCAAAAATCTGTGTTGCGTGATTACGAATAAAGCTGTCCGCTTTTGAGCAAGCCGAGAGGCAGTTTCTCATGCGGAAAAAGCATGGTAAAGATCTCACAGAATCTGTGACGCCAGGGCATGCATCACAGACCTCGCGCGTCATGCAAAACGTGCATGACAAACGTTGCACTTATCTAGAACCACACATATTTGCAATGCATAGAAGAAGCTGCAATTCCGCCACTGCCTGGTGCTCTTCGGCTCGTTGGGCGGCTTGGAAGCGGTCATGAAAGACGACTTGTTCACGAAAATTGAGTATCCTGTGCAAAAGTATCGTACTCGTATTGCAATGACGCATTACAAATCTCTTTCTAAAGGTAGATCCGCATTACAAATTAAATTGCTCATGCTGAGGAAATTTGTAATGCATAATTTATACGAGTACGATATTTTTGCAGTTCATATTGAGAAGGAGTACCAAATTGCCCACCCGGCGAAACGCGGGGAGAACAAGAAGAATCACGTGTGCGGGAATCCCCGGATGATCTGTATCAATCGCGTAGTAAAAACGTCCTCCCCAGCACAAATTTTGCAAGAAAAAACTGTTTCACTGTGAACTTGTGATGCAGAGAACGAAACACCAAAGCGTTTGTCTCGCTACACCTGCAACACAATGGATTTTTAAGTGTGTTTTCCCTTGGGAAGCGCGCATGGCAAATTTTCGGTGTCAGGTGTAGCAAACTTGTGACGCAGATTCTGCAAAATCATCACAGTGAAACAGTTTTTTCGTGGGATAACAAACGCCCCACAGTCAATCCTTGAGAAGTCGAAATGTAGAAGTGTGCAACACAATCACAAAGAACTACCAGAAGTTTATTTTTGGGAGCCAAAACGCATGACAAGTTCCTTTCTGCAGGTGCAGCGTAGCCAGGAGAGCCGCATCGCAAAGCCATCAGCTGGCACTGTTTTATAAATACGGCATCTCGACGTCAAAATCAGAAACATCACGAAAAGAAAGCCTCTCGTAAGGAGGATAGATACCTACGCATGACAAGTCTCTTTTTGTAGGTTGATGCAAAAATTCTGCATGACAACGCTGGTGAGGTGGGGGCGTTTTTACGCCGGATAACCTGCCACCACTACTTGAACACCTGTCCCTTTCAAACTTCGCGAACGATCCGAGCAGAGGAGGCACTGTTGATCACGTTAGCAAACTACGCATCGCAAATATCGATTTGGGTCTCCTGCGAAAACAAGTTGTCAGACACTTGTCATGCAATTTTTGCATAATTTGGTGCAAGATGAAATGTGGATGCACGACACAAAGCATGATAACAAATCCTCCGGCGGAGGCCTGTTCATCATACCCAGTGGTCCCCACGGGAAGCACCTCCCCGGGGGAAGCACCTCCCTCTCGTAGAGGAGGTAACCGCTGCGCATCTTTCTTTTAGGCAATGCAAATTGATTTTGCCTGTCCTCCTTCGAAGAAAACAATCCACATCTTAATTTCGTAAAATAGTTATTTTTCCGGACCCAGATCGATATTTGCATTGGATACAACTTTAGACCGCTTCTTGGACAAGTGATTTTGTTTCGTCTGTTGGCGGAACCTCTCCATTGGGGATGACGGAAGCCGTGCAAAAATACTTACCACAGCATCAGTTCTCGGCTGGTCGCGCCCGAAATCGGACGAAAAACGTCTTTAGTAAAATGCTGTTGCACAGTTTGATGGACAAAAACTTCTCGCAAAATGACCAAGAAGTTCTTGTGCTGGGCCTCGCGTGGCGTTCCGAGACAAAAGGATGTTCTGCTCCCGGGCTAGCGCACGTGTCTGTCTTTCGGCGGGTGGGGTGCTCTGTTCTCATCGTGGAAACGCCAGGGCTCATCTTTTTTTTTTTGTGCTTTTCCAAAGTTCGAGATCATGATGAAGCGAAGAGAAGCTGCTCCGAAAACTCATTTTTATCGGTTTTTTTAATCCCCGCTCTCCTGTGATACTGGTTCTCTGATAAATACCTAAAATTTACTGTTCGTATTTTCGAGAAAAGAAAAACCTCGTGTTCGGAAGTGACTGAAGGTCGGTTTTTTTATTTTCATATTCAAGCGAAGAAATTCGAATTCCAATTTCGGTTGAAACAGAAAAACAAAAGTCACAGCCTGAGGGCTTCGTGTTCGTGATCATAATTTTTATGCCAGAGCACTGAAGGTTTTCGAAAAGAAAAAGACATGCAGATTGTGTGAGTGAGTAGTAGTAACAGGAAAAATAATACACTTTGACGATGTAATGCCCTTACGGTTGTTGTAAGTATGTTGAAAAGCTTTCCACCAACGACTTATTTCCATCCCATCACGCAGGGCGATGTAAAAAAGCGACCCCTTGTAGGAATTTTTCGTAAAGAAGTAGAAAACAAGTAGGCATAGTATGCCGGAAATGGAAGTTAGTACCAAGGAATAAACTTGAAATAAGCCGAGGACTTCCCTCGAAGACGACCACCCCGCCAAGTTGTGAAGCTAAAGTGTACAACAACCCAGGTTACTCAGCAGAGCAATTTTTTCCCGACCACCAGGATAGGTGCTTACAACAGAACTCCTGATTATAGATTGTCATTTCCAGCACATCAGCATCGTTTCTCGTTTTCTGTGGAACATCAAAACTACCCCAGCAGAATCAATCATGAGCGCCGTCGTCGGCACAAGCGTCCAGGCAGCGGCGCGACGAGTCCTCGGGCGACACGGCGCTGCGACATCGTCTCTGGTGACAGTTGGAACTGCGGGGACAAGCAGCTCTTCGTCCAGTAGTAGAGTCCGTCCTCAAGAACACGTCGCAGCCTGGTCGGCTATTGAAAACTTTTTTTCCAGAAACTACAACCCTAGAAGTTGTAGTACAACTAGTACCGCGACTAGTTGTACAAGAACCTCCTCCTCGGCCGTGGTCCACCAGCAAGAATGTTGTTCGACTGTCGTCCCCGCAGCGACAGGCCCAGTTTCGCGGCTTTATTTCACCCCACCTACTAGAACTGGCACGACGACGAGAACCGCGACGACAAGGGCTTCGAGTTCTCGCAGCTTCGCCTCGAGTTCTAGCGAGGACCCCTGCTCCTTTGTTAATGTAGTTCCCCCAGTTGTATTAGCTGCTGCTCAGGAAGCTCATCCTATACATGAAGCTCATAATAGAACACTAGTTCGGCAGGAGCTCCTTCAGTGCGCGCTTTCTTGGGAACGAGACAGGTTAAAAACTAGGAGGGGGGTGATGAGTAGCGGCAGCAGACCCTTCTCAACAACAACGAGCACAACAACACCCCTTGCTGCGGGAGCTCCTCCGGCCGCGGCTCCATCACCTTCAGGTAGAAGTTCCGCGGGGCCCGCGCTCGGCGGCGGCGGTTCGTCGTCTACTTCCATGAAGAAAAAGCAGATTATGACGGTCACAGACAAGGCCAGCGAGCGGATCGGCGAGTTGATGGAACTCGACGCCACCTGCAAGGGCATTCGGATCTCCCTGCGACAGCGAGGCTGCAGCGGCATGAGCTACGTCATGGACTTTCAAAAAGTACTTGTATATTCATGGTGATCTTTTTAAACCTGATGCACGACGGATGGATCAGGAGGCTGATGTGTTTCTGTTTTAGTATTACGCTGATGAAACTACAGGGAATTTCCGAACTTGCGAACCTGTACTAGAGATATGATTTTTACTAGCTGCTGGCGCGTGCGCGGCGCTGCGGGACGGCAATAATTCAAGTTGAAGTAGAATCCGAACAAGTGCAGATGAAAATGCATTACACAATTCATGACAAATTCCATCCTGAACAATAAAGAAGTACACGACACCACAGGACGCCCCTGGGAAGTTTGACGAGGTGATCGACTTCAGTGACGCTCTCGGCCGCGCCGGGCGGGTGGTGGTGGACGGAAAGGCGGTGCTTTTTTTGGTCGGAACGGAGATGGACTACGTGGAGGTCGAAATGGGGTCGGAATTTGTCTTCAACAATCCCATATCAAATGCAAAAATGTCTGGGTCTGGAAGATTGGAACTTGTGATGCATGTTGCGCATCATACAAAAATCTGTGTTGCGTGACTTGCAAAAGGTGCCCATTTCTGGCCATGCTGAGTGGGCATTTCTCATGCAGAACAGGCATCACAGAGGGGCTACAGGTCCTGTGATGCTAGGCCCTGCATTCCAGACTTAGTGCAGGTTAGAGAAACTGCATGAGAAATATCGGAATCTTCCAGACCCAGACATTTTTGCATTTGATATCCCAACCAAAAGTCCAGTTGCGGCTGCGGGCAGAGCTTCAATGTGTAGGAGTAGACCTAGACCTACGTGCAGCAGCAGTAGCACGACGAAGACGACTGACTGCTGGGGCCGGACGTTGAGGACAAAGTTGTGTACAACGTTAGTAGTGCGAGCAGGAGGACTCAGCTCCACCCCTTCCGTCGCCCCCGATTACTTACCCGCGGTCGCCGACTTTTATTTACCCGCGGGCTTCGTGTAAGCAAGTAAGTAAGTAAGTAAGTACCTAGTTGTCTTCGGGCAGCGCAGCTACTCAGCCTACTGGAGTTTCATCACCCAAGATGGACCGACATCGCACGACATCGGGAGCACCACGGGAAGGCCGCGTCGCGTGCGTCGTGGGGCGCTTTTCTCCTGCGGGGACAGAGATCCTCGGTTGAGGAGGTGGTGAAGTAGAGAAAATCGGGTGAGCAGGCGACGGCACTGCACGTGTGTCAGCAGAAGTGTCGGAAGTCCTACACGCTCGGGGTCCAGTACCTCCCTGAAAATGATTTTAGTATCTTGATGCCCCCTTCAGTTCTTCACCCCGCCCACGACGGACCTGCTGGATGGTCACAGCGAGCACGATGTTGACCCTATAAACGTAGGAACAGCGATCGCGATTATATTCATGTTGTAGTAGACTGTCTGGTGGTGTGGGCTAGTAGTGCTGCGACAGAAGATGAACAAACGACAAGGATTTAAATTGAATTCTCTTCACCTAATACGGTCACACGAGGACGATACGACGCCGACAGTTCACACAGGACAATACGACTTTCGTTTTGCTTCGCAAAACGAAAAGCGCAGCGATTGATTGCCGTATCGCCTGACCGGTGGCGGAGTTCATAACGTTCCCCAGTTGTACGGTGGAAGAGGATAAATCTATCGCGATCTAAAGACTATGCTGTTCGCTCGTCTCGCTCTTTTAGCTGCCGTGAGTGTCGAGTGTGAGATGTCGCGTAGTCGGAACTGTCCCCTGCACGGAGTGAAATTGTGTCCGTAAAAACATGAGGATGATCGTAATTTTGTGTAAAACGATAGTCACAACAAGACCTTGTTTGCCATCGTTGAAGCCTGCTCCTGAGGGCTTCCGAGAGTCAAAATGTCAAAATCCTTTGTGCGATTTGAACACGACGTTTTCGATAAAATGAAAATTCCAGATCGAGCATCGACGACGTGATCGTGTCGTTAGATTTCTTTGTTATTTTGTATCGTAACTGTGTTTATTATTACGCGAAGAGTTGTGACGACTAAGTGCGACTATGGACACACGATTTTGCCAAACAGGTCGCGCAAGTCCCCCAAGAGCATCATCAATCGTGAAAATTTAGGTTTTTATGTGCGTAACCCTTGGTTGGAGGAAAGCGTAAAGTGACGTCACCCTTGGTCGTTGTAAGAAAACGTAAATTGACGTCACCCTTGGTTGGAGGAAGAGCAAATTAGTATCCTCTCGGACAGTACGACCACGCCCAGCCCTTCGCTCCTGCAACAGAACGACTGCGACGTGCAGCCTATGTGGTTCCGCAGGTGGCCGTGGCACGAGCGGCTGGTTACTGCTTAGTAGGGAGACAACATGAACATAATCTCCACCGCTGCAGCTAATAATATTCCACCCGAGGATGGTCCTCTGTGTGGTCTTCTCGGCGAGGAGGTCGACACATCTCCTTCTCCTTTTTAGTAGGAAGACAACTACACGGCACACTTCTGTGTCTCCTTAGTAGCCGACACATCTTCGCGGCGTTACTTAGTAGGAAGACAACTACATCAACACCTCCTTCTCCACCGGTGCAGCTAATCTGGTAACCAAAGCGTGCGCGGTAGGCTTCGCGCTGATTGGGGCGGTTCGCACGCATTTGGTTACCAATATCGCCCTCCGGGCGCGACCTCAATATTCCACCCGAGGATGGTCCTCTGTGTCTTCTCGGCGAGGAGGTCGACGGCAACGTTCTTTCCCCGCACTGCCGGGGGCACCAGCTGCACCGCAGTCGTTGTTGCACGGCGCTTCTGTAGTTCACTCCTTCTTTTCTTGTTCCTCGGAACTACGCAGAAGGTGCTACTGTTTACCAGAGCGACCACTACTTTCCGGGACGAAGGAAGTACAAGTAGCCGAAGCGACGCGCAGGCCGGCAAGAAAACGACAACCACCACGAGGACACACGACGAACACGAAGAGCAGAAGCTGCCAAGAACTCGTGGGCGGCCCACAACAGCCCCGGTGGCCGATGACTTTTTTGACGATGATGTTCGTGCAGGCGACGAGAAAAACGTGAAAACTCGTGCGCGTGCAAGTTCTTACACAACTTATCTGCACGGAGATGCCGTCTTCGACATCGAAGAATATGCATTGCAAATATGTCTGGGTCTGGAACAATGATGCGAACTTGTCATGCGCATTTCAAATCGCACGAAGAATCTGTCATGCGCGGACAGCAAAAGTGGCCGACTTTGATGTGTCACCGAAATAAGAGGGGAAGGATCAGGCATTGAGATACCTTCTCAAGACCTGTAATGCCAGGGCCTCCAACATGCGGACATTTTGTGTCACGGGAAAACAGCATGACAAACTTCTACGGTCTTCCAGACCCACACATATTTGCATTTGATAAAGAAAGCAGGACACCCATCAAGCATGCCGCTACGCCAGCAGCGTCCGGGCGCGCCGCTCTTGAAGTTGGAGCAGCAGGTACTGGAGGCATAGAAGATGCTTATCAAAGGCAAAAATGTCTGGGTCTGGAAACTTGTGATGCAAGGAAGGGAATATTCAATATTGAGCACACTGTAATGCGCAGCACCCCAGCATGACAAGTTTTTCCGTGGTTCAGAGTTGCGTACCCCGCATGAGAAGCTGCGTTTTTGCATGACAGACAAGAGGACCTCTTCGCGGGCACGCAATACAGAGTTTAGAGTCATGCCAGACTAGCATGACAAATCTCGCAATCTCCCAGACCCAGACATATTTGCAGTTCATAATGCTCCAGGAAGAACAACCTCCGCCGTGGACGAGGAAGGGGAAGATGAGATTCTCGAAAAGCGTGCTGATGAAGGTGCCGACGTCCTCACGTCTGAGCACCCGGAACATGATGCGCAGCAAGAAGCGAAGCCGGAGATGATGAAGCAAGAGCGGTCTGCTCTACTTGAGGGCGAACGTGTAGTTGTTAAAAACACCCAGCATCACCATCCGAATCTCCGGGGCGGTAGACCTGCAAGTAGTGGTAGCAGCTTAGCAACATCGTCAAGGGCGGAGGTCACATCAAGTTCTATGGTAGCGCTACAAGAGGTAGTAGTGCGGCAGATTGATGAAGAAAAATCTTCTTTCCTGAATTCAACGGCGTCATCAAAATCGTCGGCAGAAGGTGAAAAAAGCGATGAACTTTTTAAGTCGTCGGACTTTGTGCAAAAGACTGCTGGATCCGTCGTGAACACCCGCTTGAGCAGCTCCGGAGAGACGACCAAGATGAAAGCAAAAGAAAAAGAACAGCTACTACACCAAGAAAAACAACAGCAGCGTACAACGGTGCAAGTCGGAGACCTGCTAGGATGTGTGTGCAGTGCGGGAGGACCTTCGTTCTCTTTGCCCGAGGCCTTCCTCCGCCATAATCCGTGGGCGCGTGTTGAACCGGTTTGCAAGCCGCCGGCCTTCTGCCCCATATTTGGGCGACCCTACTACGTCCCGTGGAACGCTCCAGTCTCCCTCGTGGACCAGTTTGGCAAAAGCGCAGGGTTATTGAAAGCCGCGAAAGATAACAATGGCCTGTTCACGTCGCTCAACAGTCTACTATCACGATATCTCCTCGGACTAGAAGAAGAACCCCCGAGAACGGGCGGCCGCTCGCCTGGTGGTGTTGAAGCCGCCGCACAATCATCCCCGAGAAATAAAGTAGCAACTACCTGGCGACAACGCGCGCAGGCGCTGGTCGAGGCCGCGCAGTCTCGAATCTTCTCGACTCCTACAGATGTCGTGGACGGACATGTGGAGCAGTTATTTCGAGAGCTTGATGCGGAGTTCGACGCGGAAGTATCAAATGCAAAAATGTCTGGGTCTGGAAGGATGCAAGGTTTGTCATGCACGGTTTGCATGACTCCTGATGTCTGCGATGCATGCCCTAGCATCACAGATCTTGTGAGGGCTTTCTGATGGTGCCTATACCGTATGAGAAATGCCCTCTCGCCGGGGCCAAAACCAGACCTCTTTTGCTGTTCATGCAATACAGATTTTTGGATAATGCAGACGCAGCATGACAAGTTGCATTCTTCCAGACCCAGACATTTTTACAGTTGATAGGAAGAGGGGTTAGACGATGGACTCGACGTGGTTGACCCGAGGCTGCTTGAAAACCCCCCGCCCGGAGCTTTGGTCAGCCCGGTTGCCGCGGTCTTTGACTTGGACGAGGTGGATTCCGACGGGAGGGGAACGGGGCTGCGTGGCCGCTGGGACTCGCCGACCAACGCGGACCCGTTTCTGCTCCGCTTCACTCCAGACCTCGACGTCCCGCACTCGCACTACAGAATGTCCAGAGTCACGCAGTTCTCGGAGTTGTTCCCGCACGACGTCTACCAAGTGCAAAAATGTCTGGGTCTGGAAGAATGCAACTTGTGATGCTGCATTTGGATTCCAAGAAAATTTGTATTGCATGAGTACCAAAGGGAATGCAGTTTTTGCTACGGCGCTGAGAAGACATTTGTCATGCGGAATAGGCACCAAGAAGGCCTCAAAACATCTGTATTGCTAGGGTATGCATCACAGACATCATGGCTCATGCAAAACGTGCATGACAAGTGTCAGAATCTTCCAGACCCAGACATTTTTACAGTTGATAACGTCGCACAGCGCACCCCCAGAAGATCACCTCCCGCCGCGGAACAAGCGGACCCTGGAAAAGGAAATTTGCATTCCCGTAGAGATAATAAATCGAAGCATCGAAGCATGCTTGACGTATCATTTTCAAGTGATATTACGGCATATGGTGACGTTTTTGTGTATTTTTTATTGCAAGGAAAAATCCCCCCGTCCCATATCAAAACGAAATTTCTGATGCTGGATTTGTGTACACAGACCAGCTGCAGGAAGGCACTCTTGCGGCCAGATCCCCAGGCTAGGTAGGGGCGTATGAGTCTAGTTCTTCAGCATGGCAGACGGCTCCCCTTTAAGCCCGCCAGCGTGGCAAATCGCTTCCCTAATGGGGCGGAAGCTTCTGCCCTTGTCGTCTTCCAAGACACACTTGATTTGTGGCCTCAAATCAGGAGCACAAATTTTCGGAAACATAGGTTTTCAATATGGGGAGGGGGGATTTTCCATTTTGATACTTTTCCAGTATTATTTCCGCATGGGATTTTGCGACTTCTGCAGATCGAGCTGTCTTCGAGGCGCCGCCACGGCTTCACAACATGTGCTATCCCACGAAAAGAGTGTAGTTTCACTGTAAGGATTTTGCAAGTTGTTTTGCATGAGAAGTTTGATGTTCTACATGGCGAAGAAAATTTGCCATGCGAGGTTGTTCCTAAGGGAAATAAACACAACTATAGAATCAATTCCCTGTCTTGCATGTGTAGTAGCACGACAAACACTTCTATAGATGCATTACAAGTTTACCCTGAAGTAACAGTTTTTTCCTGCGATATGTGTGTTGAGTCGTGTATTCTGTACATGTACGAATACGTGACCGGGGGGGACGCGCCGGAAGACAAGAAAACAGATGATCCTGCCTATCAAAAAGAAAAATCCCCCTCCCCCATATCGAAAACGAAATTTGTGATGCAGTATTTGAGTACAGTCTGACTCATGATCAGTATTCTTGATCATGCTTACAGTACACAAATTGTCTTGCTGGAGAGGACTGCAGACCCATATCAAGCCTGAGGAGAGAGGCTTTGACTTAGGCGCTTAGCATGAAAAGCGTCCGTGATGTTGGCTCAACAGCATGACAAACCGGCTCCATAATGGGACGGAAGCTGCTGCCCTTGTCTTCTTGCAACACAAACGTGATTTGTGACCTCAAATCAGTAACACAAATTTTCGAAAGCCTACCTCTTCAATATGGGGAGGGGGGATTTTTCCTTGCGATACTGCCATGGTGCGCGCGCTCCTCCGGGTACATGGAGCGCTCGTGCGGTACGCCGAAGATCCTGAGTCTCCCGGCGCCGTCTCCAAAGTGGGGTTTTTTGGCGACCCAGACGCTGTGGCGGCAGTTCTACACGCTCGGGAGCCAGGAGCAGCTCCCTGAAGTTGATTTTAGGATGATCTTGGTGTCCTCTTCACCCCCACGACACGCCTGCCGGATAGTAGTCACAGCGAGCACAATGTTGAGGTTGACCCTATAACCGTGGGAACAGCGATCGCGATAGTCATGTTGTAGCAGACTGGTGGTGTGTAGCTGTACTACTGCGACACACGATGAATAAACAATTAAAAAAAAAAATGAAAAAAAACTTAAAAAAGTCCAAAAAAATCAAGATACTTGTAAAAAAAACCCACGACAAGGATTCAGATGCGCTTCAACTAATATGGTCACACGAGGACGATACCCCGCCGACACTTCGCGGATCTTTCTTATACTAACTGCATGCAAGGATGAGGGGAAAGCGCCCTTGTCACCTATACAGCTTTTCTTTGCTGTTCTTGTGCACGAGATGCAATAGAAATACTTGAATGCAAGGTCCATTTTGATGTATCTCACTGCCCGTCGTTTTCAGGCAATGGTCTTCGGTGAGTTTTTTGCTGGGATCATGGTGCAAGCGAAGCATCGTTTATTGCGCAGTAACCAGTCTCGGACTAGAGCTGTTGCTAGCATGCTCCTCAGATCAATGAGATCCATGAACTAGGTCACAGAACACCGGTAGGTGTAGGATGTAAATACAGGGGTCACACTAGTAGGATCACAGGGATCACACACAGGACACCACTAGAGTGGTGAGGATGACACCAATGGAATCATGTGAAACATGTACACAGTGCCAGAATGGCTTCTGGTCTTCGGGCCAGTAGCTGTAAGAATCAATTGCCCTGGAACTCCGTAGTACCTACTAGGTAGGTGCTTAGATAGTAACTCTGTTCTCTATCTTAGGACAGCGTGCTAGTTAGCATGCCTCGTCCCTGACGCTTGACACGTCCACAGAGTTATGAGCCCAAGGAGTTCCCCTATTGGGAACGGGTAAGCACTACAAGCCACCCCCACCTATCCCTGCATAAGAGTAGGGAATGAGCTCCCCACGAAGTTGTGAAGTTGTGAAGAAATCCCAAGGCGTTGCTTCTCAAGCTGGTAGGCTTTGACAAAAGGCAATAAAAGGCTACGCCCGGCTCTGACGACCTGGGTTTTCCCAAGGTGTCGAGCCTGGTCGCATCTTCGTCGTTAAGATGTTGATGAAGGAACCGCCCCCCTCTGCTGATAGATGAAATTCCCGTCCTTATTCGCGATGGGAGCATCGCTTTCCGTTGAATTCCATGCAGTGTCTGCATTCGGCCTTACCTGTGCTGGGAGTGTAAGCAATCGGTATAGAAATCTGAACGAATTGAATATGTGACAACCTTCCCCAGCTCGCGATGTATTTCCGAGCGGTATAGAGTGCGTTTAAGCAAGTAAAGGCAGTCGGCCTAGACTGGGGCCCAGTGGCCGCATTCCTTTGAGTCTGATCCCGGTGGCATACTTGGGATCGAAATCGATTGAGATTTTGTAGTAGGCGTAGCGGACAGAGTGGGCGTTATTTTGCCAGCGCAGCAATGGTCTTCGGTGAGTTTTTTGCTGGGATCAGGGTGCAAGCGAATCATCGTTGTTTTTACGCTGGATCGAGGGAGATATGTATCATCCTCTGTGTGGGAAACAGCGATCGTCTGTTCTGTCGTAATTGTTCTTTCGAGGAGAGAACGAGTCTTTTTTTCTTGATTGTCGTGATGTTTTTTCTTGCACATAAGCAACAAACAGGAAAGAGGACCCATTTTGCAGCGTCGGTGAGGTTTTTTGGTTTCTTTCTTGTTGTTTTAAAGATAAAAATCATCAATTTCGGTGGTTTCGATGCCACGACGTTGTATAAAAAATCGTCGTCACTCTGTTCTGGAACATTCAAATTCAGTGAATATAGGTGCAAGTCGTTTTATTTCGAAAACACGCTTGGTTTATTTGCTGCAGTCGTGGCATAGCTCTCTCCTTCGTACAGTAGCACGGAATGATCGTGGATATCTGATAGTCGTCTGTTGATTCGTTTTATTTCGCGTTTCCTCTTTGCGGTTATGGTTTCTGACAAACAAAATTTTCCACCCGTCGTGTAATTGATCCGCGTTTAGACCTCTTCTATTCGTAATACAATAGCCCACGCAGTTACTAGTCAACCTGAGTCACATATTTGCTTATGAACACCTGCGCGCCCCGCACGCGCACGCGCAAAGGGAAACTACCAGTAGTACAACTCGTTTACTGAACCCGCAGCATTTATTTGAGAAGTCCTTTGTCTACCAATCGAAGTGCAGATTTTCGAAAGACATCAAAAAGATGATGCAAGGCCTACTGAAGCCGTACAAGAACGTGGCTGCTATCCTGAGCAGAAACGTCCCTGCCCCAGAGTCAATGATTGGGTACGTAGCAATAAAAGAAATCCAGAAGCTTTCGGAGTCACGCATGACAAGTTCCTCGCTGCATTGTAGTGCAGTTGAGCAAGCGCGGCCGCATGACCACAGTGCCGTCCTCTCCTTGTCCTGTTTAGAGCAGCGCTAGTACAACTACACATGCCATCAAAAGTTACGGCTGGAAATGTCTACTTTGTCATCATGGGCGGGACGCGCATTGCAAATGTTAATGTTCCTGCAGTGCCAAATCTGCATGACAACCCAACCCTGCTGGGGTGAGAACGTTTTTGTCCAGGATAGCCGTGGAGAAGCAGCAGCGCGACGCGGCCAACAAGTCCAACGCCTCGGAACTATCAAATGTAAAAATGTCCGGGTCTGGAAGACTGCCAGGTTTGTGTTGCATATTCTGCATCAGCCACCAAGCATCACAGATTCTTAGAGGGCTTTGTGATGCCGATTCCGCATGAGAGATACCCTCCACACGTGGCACAAACTGGCCTCGTCTTGCTGGTCATGCATCACAGATTTCTTTAGAATCCACAGACAGCATCACAAGTTGGATCCTTCCAGACCCAGACATTTTTACAATCCATAGGAACCTCTCTCGGTCCAATCTGGCATCAGCTCGGATGGCACGCACTCCTCCGCCGGGGCGGCGCACCAGGGTATGACGAACGAAGATTTAAGTAATTCTGCCCGCTTCCTCCGTATTTGTACTAAATGTATGTTATCCCACAGAAAAAAGCTGGCAGGTCACATTTGTAATGCAAAAATAAATACACAAAGCAATCTGTATTGCGTATCCGAAGCAGCATGCTATGAGGCCGCCCATGGCAGATTTTTCTGTGTATTTATTTTTGCATTACAAATATGCCCTGCCGGCTTTTTTCTGTGGGATATATGTTGAAACTCAAATTATATTAACCTCGTTTCCTCAGCCTGCGAGCTGTCTGTTCCATGATCGGCATGGTGACAGAGTATCGAGAAAAACCGTACATCAACCGCAGTACGCATGGATTGCGAGAACTGTGCCCTGTTTGGAATCATGGCATCCTATGGCGTCACTGATTCAACATGCAGCTAGTGTTAGAAGATAAGGCGATGGGAATATGGTGAAAATTATACTTCTTGTTTACTCATTCTGCATCTTCACTTGCGACGAGCTCTTTTACCACTACCAAATAAGGAGGTTGTTGGACGGGTGGAATCAAGGGGTTTTTTGTGCACGCTGATACATGACAGCAGCAGTACCCAAGCGACGTCGAGCGGGGAGTTGAGTCCGCCTATCAAGAAGAGAAATCCCCCCTCGTCCCAATATCGAAAAGGCACGCCTCAGAAAATTTGCAGTGTTGATTTGGGGCCACAAGTGGCCTCTTTCTTGCAAGAAGGCAACTGCTCTACCGGCTCCGCGGTTTAGGATGCTCCTAGACCGCATTACACAGGCGGTTTGGGATGCCTACGTTAGACCTAGTACAGGGAAGGCGTCTGCCATGCTATGCGCCTACCCCAAAACATCCGCGCTAAGGCGGTCCAGTACTGCAAGTCACAGTACTGCAAGACACAGCTCCGGATTTGTGTACAATAAACCTGCATCACAGATTTCCGCTTTGATAGGGGGAGGGAGGATTGATTTTTCTTCTTGATACCGCCCACGTTGCTGCACATCCGGAAGCCGTTCTGCCAACCGGTATTACAGTGAAAAATGCCCCCACGACCCCGGAATTTGCAAAAGGTTCTCATGCATAAGGTTTTCAAATGAAGAACTTTTTATTTATGCATAAAAGGACTATGACTATGAGCCTCTCTGATGCAGCAGAATCTAGGCACGGAAGGTAGTTGCTGCATCAGAGATCCGCCTGCTCTTGGGCTCCTTTGCAAAACAAATTTCAGCTATTCAGCATGGCAAATTTGTCATGCTGATATATGCAAGACGGGGAGTGTTTCCATCGGAAGGGTTTGCAATACAAATGCTGCCAGGTAGTGCTGGGGTGTGGGCATTTTTCATTGTAATAACAGGAGCCGCGGATCAAGGACAGAAAAGAGCGGGAGAAGGCGGAACGTATCAACTACTATAGTGCTGATTTATTTGACTTCTCTGTTGGACTTGGAGTTGGTCTAGTATCGCTTGTGCTCCTTCGAACAAACCCAAAAATCCTCTTCCTGACTGTACTCGCCGGCTTGCCAAATGTTGCGCGCGGACGAACATCAATTCCCCAGGTGCTATGCCCGTCCCGGTTTCCTCCAGTCCTTCGCTGGCACACAGGACGTTTCTCGGCACCGCCTACCTGGGCTTCAACAAGAACCACACCGGCGCGCTATCGTATTTAAAAACGTCCCTAACCCATATTTGTATATGCAAATTTGCATGCTGAAAATGTTTCTCATGCGCAGCCCAATTAGAAGCATTTTCTACCTGCGTTTTGGAATTTGTTATGCGCCAACCAGCATGACCATGACATACTAGATCTGTGATGCTTCTGAGCTACCTCAAACAGCAACACACTACGAGTCCGAATTTGTCATGCAAAACAGCCAAAGCGTGTGGTGTGGATTTGTCTAGCCGATTCCCCGTCTTGACTATGGGGTGGGGACGTTTTTACATGGGATACGCGCCCAACAACCTGCACCCGGTGCAGAACGTGAAGGACAAAGAGGTCCACGTATTGAGAGGAAAAATCCCCCCTCCCCATATCGAAAAGGTCTGCTTCCGAAAATTTGTGATGCAGACTTGTGACCACAAATGCTGTCTGTCTTGCAAGAGGGCAAACTCAGAGACTCCGCCACGATATGCAGACGATTTGTAATGCTGCAAGACCTATAGGGCAGACGTCTTCCATGCTAGGCCCCTACACCAAGAGGCCCGCCCTTAGGCTTGCGATCTGCGTGCAGTCCTTTACTGCAAGACAAATGTGATTTGTGTACTCAAATACAGCAACACAAATTTCATTTTCGATATGGGGAGGGGGGATTTTTCCTCTCAATACCACGCACTGTACGAGGGCCAGGTGATGACGGAAATAGCCGTATCTTGTGTGAAAATGTTATCAAATGCAAATGTGTCTGGGTCTGGAAACTTGTGATGCTAAAAGGTGGATGATGGAAACAGATCCGAATTCAACTCAGCATGACAACTTTCTAGAACGCTTTCTCATAGGCAATCCGCATGAGAAGCTGCGCTTTTCTATGTACTTACAAAAGAGGCCGCGACCGTTGTTGGTTTATGCACTACAGATTTCCTAGGTATGGAAAGCTAGCATTACAAGTTCCAACCTTCCAGACCCAGACATATTTGCATGTGATAAATGTACCCAGCTCCCTATAGTACTCGTAGTTGTCGTCCTTGTCTACCCTGGGCGTAATTGCATTGATTTGACCATCGCAAGGCGGCGAGTAGATTCTCATGCGGCTTCTTGTGGTGGTGCCAGCAACTCAATGTAGTTCCTCTTGCAGCTCTACCAATCAGGATTGGAAAGTGGATTTGTGATCCCTCCGCTCTGACTAAGCGCGACGTGTGGCCGGAATGGCAAAACCAAAAGATTAGATGGGAATACTTCTCTTGTCTAGTTCCGGGACTTCTCGCATAATCGTGGTGACTCGGTGTGGGGACGTTTTGACACAGGATAAGCTGCCACGGTGAAGAAGCCCGACAATGTCAGCGAGAATTTATGGCTGGCGAACAATTTCGTGAAGATTCTGAAAGAGGTGCTAATGACTATTAGTTCATCCTAAAAAGTCGTGTGGTTGATGTTAAAGTTCCATTTTTTCATCCCGTGCTGTGTCAAAGAAAAAATTATTGTATGTTTGGTTTTTGATCATGTGTTGGAATCATCTTTACATGAATCTCCTCCACGCGACAGGTGTCTATGGTCTCCTCCTTCATGCTGGCCGGGTGCTGCACGGAGGCCAGCTGTCCGGTGATGCGGGCCGGCACGCACACCTACTTGTTATGCATTGCAAATATTTCTGATTCTCATGATTCTGGGTATTCGCACTCGCGGTCGCACTTACCGTTCGAAGAATTTAAGACTTGGGAAATTACTCAACTCCCATCCTGCTCCGTTGACTGCGCAATGCATGTAGTTTCGGGAATTACCTTGTTTCTTGAGGCAGAAGCACGCTTGCTCGTGCGCACTCTGCACCGCAGCAACCTTCCACGATTTCGCGTCTTCCTTGGCTGTGTAAAAATTAGAGATACCTAGACAAGTTCAACCAGAGATATTTGCAATGCATTCCTCTGGCAAGACCACCACCAGGACGGCAGCACCACGTCGGGCGTGGAGTATCCAGTGCAAAAGTATTCTGCTGGTGCTGATGGTTGCGACCATGCATAGCGAACCTAACCTTCGTCTCAGGCTAGAGCAGCATGACAAATTTTCTTGTTGATTTTTGTCATGCGATTTACACAACTAGTACGAGCACGACCACGAGTCTTTTGTGATGCATAGGGAGTTGTCCGCACCGAAATACATCAAGGCGGTTTTGGACACGGCACAGATATCAACTTGAAAAATGTCTGGGTCTGGAAGAATGCAAGTTTGTCATGCTTGTCTGGCATGACTCTTACATCTGTCATGCACATTACCAAAGAGCCCCAGTTTTCTGTCATGCAGAGACGTAGTTTGTCACGCAGAATAGGCAACACCTAGAAGCTACGAAACTTGTCATGCTGAGCCAGCAATTGTCGCCTCCTCATGATACGCCACACAGCATCACAAGTTTCCAGACCCAGACACTTTTGCATTTGATAGCAGAACATGATCAACGATTCGCGGGTGTTCCCCAGGGAGAGCGGCAGACCCTTTCCGGAGTGCTTCAAGGAACTGGTACTTCATATTCAATCATTGAATGGAAGATTACAGAGTTGCCGCGCGACGGAGATATTCATCCTAAAACCACAGCAAGATACACGACATTTTCGATTAGCCTGCTACGTAACCCGTTCCCAGTTTTGTTTAACTGCAAAAAAGAGCCACGTTCACATTTTCTGCATTACGCATAAATTTTGTTGCAGGTCGTTCCGCAGTTCCGGCGTTTCTTTCGGTGTATGCCCTGCTGCCCGGCTGTGGCCATCTCGATGCGAATGCTGGCAAATTTGTCTTGCATGAATGGAAACGAGGTGCCGAGCGACCTACTGGGGGGGATTATCTATTCCCGGTCTTGTATGACACTGCAGTTTCGAATGCGGACAGGAACTAGACAGATGCTAATTTCGGATACAAAAACGACCGAGGCGCGTGGTGCGCATTTTGCAGCGCAGCTCGGCGCAATTGAGATTACCACAATTTTCACACTTCCATACGGTGCTACTGCCACTTCTACCGCCACTATCAAAGTGCACAACTCTGGCCCGCCCTCGTTTGTCGTGCAAAAAGCCACTCCGAGTACGGTAGCGAACTACCCTGTAGCACCGCTTCGCATGACGTCGCACTAACACATTCAAAGAGAACTACAGTCTGCGCCTGGATTTGGCATGCTAACGTGCACAATTCTGATTCAGTCTGTGTATCTTTTGCTGTTTCATGAAGACTGCAATCCGTCGTGTCCGGATTTGTCATGCAAAAGCTACATTTGTAGCAGTGCTTCTGTTGCTGCTCATGCCCTATAAATGAGTAAGGAGGGGGGAATTGTGTACTCTGATAACCACCACTTCAAGCAGATGGAGGAGTTGGGCATTGAGAAGTATCCCGTGTACAAGCAAACTTGTCATGCGGAGAATTTCCATCCGCGAAAGCATTTGTGATGCGTCGGTCCCCATGAGAGGGGTTTTATACTTGCTGCGAGCAGCCGGCAGGTGATGAAGCTTTGTGATGGACAACCCAGGCTTCTTAAGTACCACCTAGGCGTCAAGATACAACAAATCGAAGGTTGTCATTATGCCAATTTCATCGCATAGGGACTTGCTGGAGTGTTGCCAAGTTTGCGTTGTTGCTCAGGATAAGCAGCGGGTGCGATTTTGCGCGGCGTTTTGCACCATGTTCTGCAAGGAGTTCAACATTTGCGCGAGCACGGAGTACGACACGATTGACACCATGATCGAGCAGTGGCTGGACGAGTTGGACAGTGAAAATCAGTATCAAATGGAAAAATGTCTGGGTCTGGAAGAATTCATGTTTGTCATGCTTGTCTGTCATGACTCTCAAATCTGTCATGCACGTTAAGTACCCAAGAGCGCCACTTTTCTGTCATGCAGAAGCGCAGTTTGTCATGCAGAATAGGCAACAGCGAGAAGCTCAGGAACTTGTCATGCTGAGCTAGCACTTGTGGCCTCCTCATGATACGCCGCCCAGCATCACAAGTTTCCAGACCCAGACACTTGTGCATTTGATAATCAGACCGGCAGTATCAGTTGTAAAACCATTCCCACCCGCCCAGAGTTGTCATGCAGATTTGCAATGACAGGCACAATTGTAATGCGTATCTCCATGCGAGGCATTTGCATTTCTAGTCGTGTAGCTGTGGCATTTGTAATGCCGTAACCAGGATAAAGTAATAGCAGATGGTGGATTTGCGATGCGCTTAGCGACCGTGCTAAGCTGCACCACACTATGGACTGCAACTTGTGATGCGTGAGTCCCAAAACTTATACGCTTGCGTTGCAAAGCCAAAATCCCTCTCTTGACTCTAGAGTGGGGACGTTAGCTTTTCCTCAGGATAGACAGCGAAAACGGTAGCTCTTCCGACGCATCTCCCTACCAGAGACCGCAGAAATTGGCGTCGCAGAACTGATCGGATACTTACGGGGAGGACGGGCAAGGAACTCCGCGCGGAGACGTCGGAAATGTCGCGGAGGAGTTAGTCGCTGCGGATACCGTATGAAGATCGAGGTTCTGTTGAAAAGATATTTCATAAAGTGATACAGGGGCATGAATAGTAATATGTTTTTTACAGTAACAGCCGTAATGTATTTTATCTTGTAACGTTGTTTGAGCACATATTAGTTTGTAGTTGATTCGCTCATGTTTGTAGTTGATTCTTGCTTGTTTCAATCGCAGGTGAATAACGTGAATGTCGACAGGAAAGGCGACTAGCAAATTGTATAATCATACTGCCATAGGAAATGGTGATAGTATTCAAGTTCAATGTGCATAGTCTGGCAGTGTTTCTCTCTTCAACCGAGAAAAGAGTAGCAAACCAATTTTTTGACGTTCTTGTATAACCATGTGGAATTCCTCAAAGAAAAGTTGTGGATGCGCACCAGCCCGCAAGGCAAGCGTGCCACGACACCAGTCCGAACGCATACAGTATTTAATGAGTTTCAATTTGGCTATGGATTTGGAAAGCCGAAGAGAGCGATAGCTTGTGTCGCCTCCGAATGTCCACTCTTGAGGACGACGTCGCGCAACGTGGCTGAAGTGCGACTGGAATAGTCATGTGATGTTCGCTCGGCGTAGTCACCCGAAGCGGAGACGAGACTGGTCGACACTCTTCAAACTTGTCGGTACTTGACGCGATCAAACACAGCTGTAGCACGATCTCGAGTTCCTGGGAGAAACTCGGTAGACTAGCTTCTACAACCCGTCGCACCGTTCTTGCACTCCTAGGGATTGAAACTATATAGTAAAGTAGGTACAGCAACTCACGAAAGTGAGAGGAGCAACAAAAGATGCGGCTTTCTTTCCCCAAACTGGTGTTCGCAACCGGCCTGGTGGGCCGGGTGCAGGCTGACTCCGCCACGATGACCGATGTTCCGTCTGGAGAGTTCGAAATTACAGGACAGATGAACGGGAAAGTGGAGGGGAAGAGTACCACCCCCCCCCCCCCCGGATGGGATGCCGCAGGCGTTTCTGGAGACCGCGCAGATGAAGAATGTGACAGATGCTATGGTAATCATATTACTTTGTTTCATCGACTCAAACAAATTACTTTGTTTCGATCATTACATAGGAAAAGCTTATTGGTTGTATGGCGGCGGTGACAGATGCATGTCAGTGCGCGTGATGTAGCAAAGGGTATTGCAAGAATCCTGAAAGAAACGTATGTATCCCATGCAAATAATGGTCCACACACAGGCATCCGCGATGTCCCGCGCCAAGGACGCAGTCAGTGTCAAAGTCGTGAAGAAGATCATTACTGACAAGGCGGTGACCGCTTTTGACCACCTCTTCGCCATGCAGTGCGAAATCACCACGGAGGTCTTCTTCCGCTGCGGCGCGGACAAGGACGGCGACGGACGGGTCTCCTGCGGTGAGCGGAAAGCGTTTTGCTCGCGCTGGAGTAGCCCGGGCGCGGAATCCTTTCTCCAGCCGGGTTTGTGGTCGTCGGGTTCGTCGTCGTCGGGTTCGTCGTCGTCGGGTTCGTCGTCGTCGGGTTCGGACGACGAGGTATTGCCGTGCACTTCGTTTCTTTTAGATTGCGAAACTAGTATGACACTACCGTCGAAATGCGTGCACACCACTGATTCGGCCGCGTTGCGAATCTGTTTGCACCCTCGCGAGAGGAAATTGAATGCGCATGGTAAGAACGCGAGCACATGAAGATACGCAGACCGATGAGTGTGTTTTTCATGAAGCCCGGCAGCGGCGGGGCCTGCAACTCGCGCCGCCCGGCTGTTTCAAGGGCCGCCCCGGGAATTTTCGTTCTACTGATTTCCGTAAACTTTACCGACAGGGCGGCGACAAGAATTCGTGTTGGGGAGGATTCTGGCCGAGCGGCGGCCTTTTTGGTTCCTGCTTCGACACTTCCTCCTGCTGCGCCGTGGACGAAAAAGAGCCGGAGTACGGGATGCCGGACTACGATCAGTTTCCAAAGAGGGTGCTGTGGCCGAACGGCCAGAGGGAACATGTGTGGGTGTACTACAGTGAGACTGGCCGTCAGTATCTGGAGGGCCAACATGCTGCGCGCGTCAACTTGCGTGCCAGGATCGTCAGTGAAGAGGATATCGCCGAGGCAAAGGAAATTATCCCCACGGACGACGGAGGGGAGATTGTCGTGCAGCCTGTGCGGAGGCCCTAATTTTCTTTTCCATGGCCGTTGGGCCTCGCCCTGCTCTCCCTTCGTGTTAAATTTCCAGGTCCCTGCTCCTCTGCGATTGCTTAACGGCTTCGGCACTATAGCGTTTCTTGTTTCATTTCGTTTCTTTTCCACTGGTGCTAGGTAGACGGACTTATGTATTCAGTAGCAGCCTGAAGTAGTGTATTTTACGTGGGATTTATTAAGTATATTAGGATAGCAGATAGTTTCTTCAATTGGGAGTTTGTGTGTTGAGGACGGAGCAACGCAGGCGCATTTTGGTGAGTAGCATGAAGGGCAAGTTTGCAGCGTAGGCGGAAGCTTATTATAGCAAGAAATCGTGCTTGTGCAGTAACAGTGCGCACAAGTACGAGTACTCTAGATGACGTGTACATGGCCGCTCGAATTCAGTTCATGATCCGCGCCAGAGTGTTCATTGAATCCACCGTGAGGCGTGCCTGGCCGTGCAGCATAGTCGGTCCATGGATTAACAAGTCTGCAAGCCATTTAGGAAAAATGCGTGAATATGCAAAGATCTGAAGAGCTTCTTTGTCAGTCGATCCTGATTTTCACGATCCGTTCTGGAATTGCAATTTATAACCTTACTACAAGAGTCTTGCAATTTTTTTACGGCAGAGCCCCCCGAGCAGATCGATCCTGCCCCACTGTCACAGCTACCCTTTTGTTCCAGGTGATTTTCTCAACGACGCACATTTTATCCCTCTGACGCACAAACCAAGATCGAAATCGTTTTGACTCGAGAATTCACAACAGTCGATCCTCACGATTTTTCGTTCCAACTCAGAAATCACAATCGAGATCCTACAGCCGTACTTCGAGTTCCAGCAAAGGTTTTGTGCGATTTTTTCCCGCTGTATTCCTCCATTTCCCCACACACCGGTCATTCCCATTCACAGATACAGGAACGAAGAGTTGTGTAAGTTTTGTGGATCACTTTCCCCTCGAGTTGTTTTGCCACGGTTTGTTCTCCTACCTCTCGGAAACAGCACGCCGTTGACATCTCCACTCAGAAACGACCGCAATATTTCAATTTGAACACAGCAACTATATAGTACACCAGTTCCTCGCTAATCAGTAATAGTCTTTCCAAGAAACAAGTTTTCCGGTTTACAAGATGCAATTGTTTTCCAAGCTGCTCGTGGCCACGGCCGCGGTCTCCCGCGCCTTGGCGAAGGATGAGGAGAAGAAGGTGGACGGCCCGGTGATCGGGATCGATTTGGGAACAACCTACTCGTGCGTCGGTATTTACAAGAACGGACGGGTCGAAATCATCCCAAACGATCAGGTATGGTTTGCTTTGCTTTCTTATTTTCACATTTGCAGCAGTTCTGTTAGCAGTTCTGTTTCTGTATGATGTAAATGTTTCCTGTCATCTTCCACTTCCCCCACAATAATTACTTCATTATCGAAAAACCCTTCAATCCTGATCTCAGGGTAACCGTATCACTCCATCCTACGTCGCCTTCACGGTCGATGACGACAGCGAGTCGAGGCTTATTGGTGAGGCCGCCAAGCAGCAGGCCACCGTGTACCCGGAACAGACCTTGTTCGACGTGAAGCGACTGATCGGTCGACGATACAAGGACAAGTCCGTCCAGAGCGACAAGAAGCTGTTGCCCTTCAACATCATCGACAAGAGCGGCAAGCCCTACATCCGGGTCAAAGTCAAGGGTAAGTACTATAGCGTCGTGGAATTTCATCTGCTGATTTGTGATGAGATGCAACTGCGTTTGATTGAGGAAGAAGATATGTTTCAACATCTTGTCGTATGTGAGGAGAAGCTGTGAACATACATTGCTACCTGTCGGCACTTCCGCCTGATGAGATGCTACATTGTAGAAACAAAAATGTAATATCATCACAAACAAATATCAGGTGAGTCCAAGGACATGGCTCCGGAGGAAGTTTCTGCTTTGGTCCTGGTGAAGATGAAGGAGACCGCTGAGAACTACCTCGGAAAGAGCGTCGGTATAGACTATAATGATTGAATTTGTCGTTTTCAGGATTGAGAACCGGATATTATACAGGAGTCAGAGGATTTCTATGTCAGGAAAACCAACGCGGTCGCTGAACCTACAGCACGACTGCATAATCCAGGATTATTCCATGGCTAGCGCATGCCAAGGTTCATCTGGATGAAGGCAGGAACATTTCTTTGTTGTCACGCCAGGAACTAGGAACATGGTAAGTAGTAGTAAGTAAAGCACCACTGTCATCTGTAAAATCCCCACACTGATAATTCCCCTCCACTATCGATGAATTATCAGGTCACGCCGTGATCACCGTGCCGGCGTACTTTTCGGACGCCCAGCGTCAGGCCACCAAGGATGCCGGTGCGATCGCGGGTCTGAACGTGCTCCGCATCATCAACGAGCCGACCGCCGCGGCCATCGCCTACGGCCTGGACAAGCAGGCCGAGAAGAACATTCTCGTGTACGACTTGGGTGGCGGTACCTTCGATGTGTCGCTCCTGACCATCGACAACGGCGTGTTCGAGGTGGTCGCCACCTCCGGTGACACCCACTTGGGTGGTGAGGACTTCGATCAGCGGCTGATGACCCACTTCATGGAAAAGTTCAAGAAGTCCACCGGTGCCGACATGTCCAAGGACAAGAAGGCCATCCAGAAGCTGCGTCGCGAGGTTGAGAAGGCCAAGCGCGCCCTGTCCAGCACGCCGTCCGTGCAGGTCCGCGTCGAGGCCCTGTTCGACGGGAAGGACTTGGACGAATCCCTCTCCCGGTCCAAGTTCGAGCAGCTCAACGCCGACTTGTTCCAGAAGACGCTGAAGCCGGTCCAGGACGTGCTGTCCGACTCCAAGATGTATAAAGATTTGATTTGTGTTGTGGTTTTGCTCTGTATTGTTCTCGATGTACTAGTAAGTTGTTTCTTCTGCTGCTCGTTGCGACGTCAAATCGGTAAGTATGCAGAATACGCGGTCGTGTGCCGGCAGTCGCCGTGTGCATGATATCCGCGAAAGAGTTTTGTAGAGAAGGAAGACAAGGTAGTAGGCTGTGATGTGGAGCCGCTGCTAGTAAGGCAAGTTGGTCTGTTTCCATGCGGAATTAACAGTGACAATCATCCCCTAACAAGCGTAACCGGAAACAACTCTCAGGTCCAAGTCCGAGATCCACGAGATTGTGTTGGTCGGTGGTTCCACCCGTATTCCGAAGGTGCAGTCGTTGATCAAGGACTTCTTCAACGGCAAGGAGCCCAACCGCGGCATCAACCCGGACGAGGCCGTCGCGTACGGTGCCGCCGTCCAGGCCGGTATCCTGTCCGGCGAGGGCGGCCAGGACCTGCTGCTCCTCGACGTGACCCCGCTGACGCTCGGCATTGAGACCGTCGGGGGCGTAATGACCAAGCTGATCTCCCGTAACACGGTGATCCCCACCAAGAAGTTATGCTGAGTAAAAACGTGCCCACCCGAGAACTGTCATGCGAATCTGCACGCCAAAAAAGTTTCTCATGCGGAGCCCAATGAAAGCCATTTTCTAGTTGTGTTTTGGAACTTGTGATGCTACAATCAGCATGGTATGCCAGATTTGTGATGCTGCTGAACTCGCGAAGCAGGATTATACTAGGAGGGCAAACCTGTCATGCGAAACAGCGAAAGCTGGTTGATTTGTCTAGCAGATTTCCCATCTTGGCACTGGTGTGGGGACGTTTTTACTCAGGATAGAAGTCCCAGATCTTCTCCACCTACCAGGACAACCAGCCGGCAGTCAACATCCAGGTGTTCGAGGGCGAGCGCCCGATGATATCAAATGTAAAAATCCCTGGATGTCTGGAAGAGTGCATGTTTCTCATGCTTGTCTGGCATGACCGTTAAATCTGTCATGCACGTTGCCCAAGAGCCGCATTTTTCTGTCATGCGTAGACGCAATTTGTCATGCAGAATAGGCAACACCTACAAGCTCAGAAATTTGTCATGCTGAGCCAGCACTTGTGCCCTCCTCATGCTACGCCACTCAGCATCACAAGTTTCCAGACATCCAGGGATTTTTACATTTGATAGATGACCAAGGACAACCACTTGTTGGGCAAGTTCGAGCTGGGCGGGATCCCGCCGGCCCCCCGCGGCCAGCCGCAGATTGAGGTGACGTTTGAGATTGACAGCAACGGTATCCTGAACGTCGGCGCCGAGGACAAGGGCACGGGGAAGTCGGAAAAGATCACCATCACAAACGACAAGGGCCGCCTGACGGAAGAGGAGATTGAGCGCATGGTCCGCGAAGCCGAGGAGTTCGCCGAGGAGGACAAGAAGGTCAAGGAGCGAATCGACGCCAAGAACGCCTTTGACTCCTACATGCACGGTTTGAAGTCCGCGGTCGAAGGCGGGGCTGATGGCAAGGGCTTGGGCGACAAGATGGACGAGGAAGATAAGGAGAAGGTATTGTTCAATATGTTGTGCGTTTCTTGCAGAATTTGAATTGAAATTCCATATCGAAAGTAAGTAGTACAATTTGTAATGCAGAATTATGACCTACTGCGAAGAAGCACAGTAACAACAACAAACGTCGGTACTAGTAGTAGTCACAAGCGATGCGTATTTTGTAATGCGGAATTCTGGGTTGTGATTAGCGCTTCTTCTCTGCAAACTACAACAATTACAACAACTCTATCAGGTCAAGGAGGCCATGGAAGACGGTACCTCTTGGATGGACAGCAACCCGGAGGCCGACGCCGAGGACATCAAGGAAAAGCACAAGGAGGTTGAGGGCATCTGCGCGCCGATCATCTCCAAGTACTACCAGGGTGGCGCTGGCGGCGGCGCGGCCGGCGGTGAGGACGATGACGATGACGAGGCGCACGATGAGTTGTAAGGGGAGAGCAAGGTCATCTATCGGATGTGACGCACGAACATCTTTTTCGGCGACAACTCGTAGCAGTACTACACATGGAATAAAACACGAAAAAAACGGCGACGCATAAAATGAACAACATTTTTGCTGGTACAGAATTTCTTTCTAGTGTACATGGTGTCACTCGGTCGTGTTTTGCTTTTGTTGTACTTGCCTATGGTTGAGAAGTTTCTGTGTCAGTCGACAATTGAGCAAAGCAGTGAATTCCTTAACATTGAAATTCTCAGGTAGAGCGCCATCATCGCTGGTTTCTACCAGAAAGAAGAAGTCACACGAAGAGATTCGTCATCACACGACCTGTAGCCGCTGCCTCGACGACATCTTCGAGGGGAAGCTACACAAGCTGGACTCACGCTTTTTCACATTCTACATCGCATCACCGCTGTTTGGAGGCTGTTAAGTTTGAATGAAGTCAACTCTTTCTATTACTGTATCTTGTTATACTGTTCTTTCCCTAGTACGATTCTGTCTCCCAGAACTAGAACAGTATATGCGTACAAAAAGACAGGTTTCATGTATAAGTTTACCGTGACTTATCTGACCACCTGTCCATGAGCAGTATCGATTAAAGTGTTTACAGAATTTCACAATAGTTTTCGATTTTTGTTGGAAGTTGGCGGTTCTAATTTCCTATCATCGGAGACAACTCAAAGCACAATGATCGAGACTCAGTAGTTTTTACGGAATTTCAACCACCCATGTAGTTTTTGCTTCATCACCCATCACAGGAAATGGTGCGCTGCAGAGCTTTCTGACCGCACAGCGATTGCTTGGTAGACTCAAAAGAAGCGAGATATATGGAACTATCACAGAGAAGCTTACGAAAAAACTACTGTCGCGAAGCATGTTCTCATTCAAGTTCGCATTCAAGAACCGCTTTTTCAATAGGAATATTCCCTCGCTGAAAATGAACTGTTGCGACGCAATCGTAGTTAGCGCTCAACGATTACTGTGCCTGGTATGATAAATCCCACAGCCTGGGACCGTCATAACGGTGCGCATATCACTTCTTGTGCTGAAAAACATAATTATCCGCTTCGTTACAATCCCATCTTCGCTGTCGGTGTTGCTGCAGTGCAGACGGCACGATTATTCAGACCCGAGTCTACTATTCAGCAGTGGTATTGTTACAATAACTTTTGTAGGCAAAAATGTACACAGAAGCGAAGAGATGGCATTGCGGACGTTTCTCGCCGCCATGTCTCAATGAATTTCTAATGACAAAATAACTTCTACTGATGCTACACTACTACGCTGTTGTAATTTGCTACGCTGCAATGAATGCCTTGCGCTGAAGACGCGATGCCGAAAGACTTTTCCCAAAGACTGTAATTTTACAATGTACCCGAAAGACAGTGCCCTGTTTAAGATTCGAAGAATAAAGCAAGAAAACAGATAAAAAAATTGAAAAAGCCGCTTGTGCTGGGGAGCGACGCTATATCGTGGAAGCACCTGCGTAGCGCCGCCGTGGGGATATAGACCTGTGTAGAAGTAGTTAGAGTGCCTGTGGTAGAGGTGCTGCCTTGTTCGGATAACTGCTTTTGCTGTCTTTTGGTGGATCTAGTTCAAGACGTGAGGTGTAAGCGCCTCCTGTTGGTCCGTTTGATGTTGCAGCTGCTTCGTTGTCCGATTCTTCCGCCTAGCGACGACAAGCTTCTTCTTAAAACCTGGCCTTTGCCGTTGTAAAAAAGTTGCCTGTTCCAGATGAGAAACCGAAGTTGTTTTTGGCTAACTGTAACTGGAGCAGATTCGTTCTCAGAATGCCGTAACATGTTATTTGTGACGTTTACCACACGACACTTCGTCTGAACTCAAAACAGAAAAAACGAGATGGTCAGCACAACCCCGCAGTTTGTTGAAGAAAATGCTGCAATACAGGGGAGTGCAGTGATGGGTCGTGGGCAAGATGAGGACTGTTCGCCGCGTAGTGTCAAGGAGACCCCTAGTACCCAGGTCAACGACGGCGTAGCGCTGGGTTTTACTACGCAAGGGAAGCTTGATGACCCAGTGGGAAATGCTGCTGTTCCATCGGAGGATTTGCGCGCTCTTGTGCGGGAGGAGGCACGAGCGCTGCTGCAGGCGGCTATTGCGCCACTCGAGCAAAGGGTCGCTGCGATGGAACGGTGTATGGAGCGGCTGCAAGGTGGTATAGGATGATATTGTATGCGTAGTTACTAGAAGGTGAACAGAGAGTCAATTTGTCGTGAAAAAAAATTATTTACTTTGCACGAAGAAGATGCTTCCTACGGAACGTAGGTTCTTACCAGCCGCGCTCTGCTCATTACCCATTTGGGCCCAACTCGCGGAGGCAGGCGAGTCCAGAACTGACAGGGATAGTGTCATCGTCCAAGGCGATAGTGTCATCTCCCAAGCCTCCTCCAAATTCCGTCGCGAGCAAGACCATGGCACCAACGGGTGGACAAGCTGTGACGCCGGGCGTCACAGCGGCTGGTTTTTTCCCGATCGCCGGTGCGGTGAGGAGTGGTGGACTTACAACACGCGGAGGAGCTGCAAGTGATATGATACTCCGCAAGGATGGTAGCGAAACTGGATCTGCAATTTCAGGTGCGCACAACAAGCCGGTGAAACTCAAGCTCAAGCTCGGTTCTCTGAACGCAACGAAGGTACAACTAGAGCATGGCTCTGGAGGAACAGCAGCGGGTCCTGCGCCGCCAGCTGCGGGGGATAACAATTTGAGTTTGCAGCCCAGGCGTGGTGGAGCAACAACCCGGCTTACAATCGCGAGTGGCGGGAAAGGAGTGGGAGTGCTGCCGGTACACCAACCAAATCTGCTGTGTAAACAGGATCATGCAACGGGGGCAAGCGTGTGCTCGCCAACTCTGGCGTCACCGAAAGTCGCGAAAACTGCTGTGCAGCCTGGTAGAACTGGTGGTGCGAAAAACGACGATGTGCTCTGTGCTGCCGGATCCAAGGGTGACAGTTCTACTACGACTTCCTCTGCGGGTCCAGAAAAGACGATGATCGCAACAAATGCGAATAATTCTGTACCCCCTGCTTCCAACCGCACTTACGACGCTTCGAACCGGAAGCCCGCGGTGCCGCGCGCTCCGCGCCGCAGCCCCGAGCGGTCGAAATGGCACCAATTTTTGACCGCATTACCGGATTCGGATTCGGAGGCGCACCGGGTCGCGCGGGCGGCACTTTTTGTGAAGTATGCCGAGCTATCCAATGAAACGTATGTAGTTTCGGTCTGGGTGAGTGCAGAAATTCATTTTCCTGATTTTCAACAAAGCCCTATGAAGACTAGAATGCAGGGCATATCATCTTCACAGATTCTGATGTACTACAGCCTGTGCCGTGTTGTCAAAAACCGCTGGAGTAAAGATTATACCATTTGAGAAGCATGGATGCCATATCATGACGAGCATGACCAAGAGTTAGCGTGTTGTGCTGGTTGCGAAAAGCAAGCTGTTGCAATCTTCTAGACCACCTACACATAGTACTTCTTCCAATGCATACGAGGGCGTGACGGAGGAAAACAACTCCGCAAAGGTTTTGGAAAAGGCCCAGGCGGACCTGCTGGTGTTTGAGCTGCTGGGGATCTTCATGGTCGCGGGCACAGCCGCCAGTTCAAAATTATCGTTATCTGTTGGAACAACTACAACAAGTGCGGGAGGAGCTCATAATCATGAAAGTGGTTCTTCATGCTCTTTAGACGCGGCCGGCAAGAGCAACGCAGTCGCTGCTGCATCAAATCGTCACTCTTCGTCCTTCGCCGCGGCTGGAGCCACCAATTCGTCTGCGACTCTTCGGAGGAATCACGATCTGGCGATGAAAACGGAGCTGCAAAAGATACTCGACCACGCGTTTTTTTGCTGTGCCAATAGTACAACAGCCTGCACGCCGACCACGAGTGGTGTGGCTACGATTTTTCCCGCAGGAGTTACTTTGGAAGAGGACCGCGCTTGTTCTCATCCGGGGCTGCAACACGAGGGTGTCGTACTCGACAATAAAAAAACGTTGGAACAAGGAGATAGCGAGTTTCCGAACATGATGTGGTCTTTCCTGCTCCGGAACCGGTTCCAGGCGTTTCTGAGGATGATCCGCATGCACTTCGAGCTCAGAATTGTGTTCAAACACAACGTGACCGCGTCGCAAGTTTCGGGAGACACCGCGATCGAAAAACGGGTGTCGGTTTTCGACGCCCAGGCGAAGCTGGAACAGTTTTTCGGGTTGCCGAAACAAACCCTGCTGGAGAACCTAGAAAAGCTGAAAACGAAGGACGGCGACTCCGTGCTTTTCCACGAAGTGTGCACTTCGGCGGTAGACCTGCGGATCGCGTGTTTTGGCATCGGAGGAAGTCATGGCGCTTTAACATCTTCCGGTCTGTTGCAGCACCAAGGTGGTGCTAATAATACCGGTTGTTCTCGAAAAACGTCGTTCGCTTCTATTGGCGGTGGCAGTGCACACGGAAATCCACATGGAGGCACGCTTATGCATTGCAAAAGTATCTATCTTGCGATACTAGTACAAAGAGCATGATCAGCACAAGAAATTTCGGCAAGAAGAAGAGGGGAATTTGTTAATGATGTTTTAGGTTATTTGGATCATGTATGGCGGCAATTTATAAGTACATACGAGTGCGAATGCGATGCTTTTGCAACGCATAACGCTAGTACAACACAGCCAGGGCGGAAGGAGTTCTTTGGGTAGCCTGAACAGCAGCTTCGCGCAAAACTACACCCGGGAACAACTGCGCCGGACAAGTGGCGCGGGAGCGGAGATTATCAAAAGGAAAAATCCCCCCTCCCCATATCGAACAGGAAATCTGTGATGCTGGATTTGCGTACACAAATCAGATCTGTCTTGCAGTAGAGGACTGTACGCAGATCGCAAGCCTAGATAGGGGCCTTTTGGTGTGGGCGCACAGCATGGCAGACGGCTGCCCTGTAGTCCTTACAGCATTACAAATCGCCTGCATAGCGTTGCAGAGAGCCTGGATTTGTTCTCTAGCAGGACAGACAGGATTTGTGGTCACAAATCAGCATCGCAAATTTTCTGAGACATACCTTTTCGATATGGGGAGGGGGGATTTTTACTGTCAATAGAGATGTTGTTGAAGCAGGGACCACCTACTTGCTCCTACCCGCGAAACTTGCAGCGCTACTGTATTTATTGGTTTCTTTCTCTACTTGTTCGTGCTGCTGAATTAGATAAAAACTTCATGACCCTAATAGTTTCGTTTTTTACAATGTCGTATACCGAGGCAGAGTAGAGCTGGACCACCAGCCTATGTGTTTTGTTGCGAGGAGCTTTCTCCGATGCATTTGCATACCTACTTGCGTTGAGAATTTCGAAAGCACTGTTGAGAATTTCGGAGGAAAGATTTCAACCTCTATCAGGCGTGGCGCCGATGTCGCGACCGTACGCGACATCGGAGGTGGACGCAAACATTCCCGCGGTGCAAAATGTGGAGGTAGTTTTAAAAAGTCCGGACGTAGTGGTTGCAACAGCTGCAGATGAAATCACGGCACAGCAGCATGAAGAAAAGACCTCTACAACGGATGAAAGAAGCAACAACGCAAAGATGAGCTGTACCGCCGCGAAGAATGACAGGACAAACGGAGAACAAAGAAATGCAGAGGAGGGTTCTGTTTTTGCGCCGCTTTCGACGCCTGACTGCACGAGGAGCCTGTCATCCGCTGGGCCGAGGAACAAGTCTGCCGCCTTGGAGCCGCGTATCAAATGCAAAAATGACTGGGTCTGGAATGTTGCCGGGTTTGTCATGCATATTTTGCATGACCTAGGAAAGGATGTCTGTAATGCACGACCTAGCACCACAGATTCTTAGAGGGTTTCCTGCTGCCTACTCCGCATGACAAATGCCCTCCCCACGTAGCAAAAAGCAGACTCCTCTTGCTAGTCATGCAATACAGATATTTTTACAATGCGGCTCAAGGAGGCACATCCGATTGAAAATAGTAGGTGAAGCAGTGACCGAAGCTTCACAACGCACTTGAAAAACAGAATATAGCAGTTTGCTTGTTTTTGTTCGCGATTGAAAAAACTGAGTTTTGAGAAAATTACGCAAAACTGAGAGAAAACGAACTCAGATCCATGTAGAATTCAAAGTTAGCATCACAAGTTCCAACCTTCCAGACCCAGACATTTTTGCAATTCATACCGCGCACCGCAGATAAGAAACTTTTGACGACCACACCGGAGCTGGGCGGCTTCGAGGACGGATGGACAAATACGAATATTCCTACAACGAAGGAAGACAAAAAACCTACCACTGGAGCTGCTGCTCTAGCAGCCTGCTTTGATGTTGTAACTACCGACAACGAGAACGGGAAGGCAGGGAATAAAGACGAGGGAGGGGATAATTCTTCTGCGCGGGTGGAAAAAGATAAAAGCAAGAAAAAAAAGGACCACGACGTCGTGAGGACCAAAAATCCGCGTGACCTGATGGACAACAAGCGGAGCGGCAGCAGAGTGTTGTCGCAAAAGTCCGCGAAGCTGGAGCAATTTTTGCAGCAGAAAAAGCAGACGGAGTACGCAAACACCTTCACGAACAGCCCGGTTCTTGTCGAACAAGAAGTGATAGAGGAGCGGAAGACCACGAACGACGTTGACGCGATGGGTTCTTTTCGTGCTCCGCTGGTCGGCGTCGGTACTAGCAGCGAGCTGAAAGAACCACGACCAGGGGCAGGAGCAGCGGCTCCTCTTGAACGGGGAAGAAATTCTACTGTTGCTGAAATCGCAGTTGCAGAAGAACAACACACAGAACAGCAAGTACCGGTTGAAAAGGAGACTGAAGAAGTTCCAGTACCGGACGATGTCAGCCAGGGCGGAGAAACAGATGGTCTGTCGGTGGGCATCAAATTGTTGCCCAGCGCGGGAACAAGAACTTCTCCTGCGGTGGATAATGCTAGTGTTGTTGGTTGTATGAAAGCATCTTCCATGTTGACCACTGCTCCGGAGGCTTGCACCGCTCCGCAAGCTTGCACCCACGTCTCGGAAGCGGATTTCGGAGCGCAGTTTCCGCAAGCTGAGCATGGTTTCAAAAACTCGCCGCCTGGGTGGACAGTCACTGCCTCATCTGAAGAGCAAGTTGCTCCTCCTGCGGGTCGTGAGATGACACAAGAAGAACCTCCACCCGAGGACGTCGAAAAGGCGAAGGGGTTCTTAACTTCTGGTTCTGCCGACGAGGACCGAAAAAATGACCAAAAAGAAGAGCTCTATTTTTCCCCTTCGCGCACTCCGAACAGCTGCCAGGATCAAAAATCAGAAAAATCTTCGGACCAAGACCCGAACTTTGCGGATCTGCGGTCGCTTATTCTCGCCGAGGGGGACCGACTCTGCGAGGACATCAGTCGGCAGGTGGAGATGGCGCTGGTGGAGAAGCATCTGTATCAAGAAGAAAAATCCCCCCTCCCCATATCAAAACGAAGTTTCTGATGCTGGATGTCCGTACACAAATCAGAGCTGTCTGGCAGTGGAGCATTGCAGGCATATGCCGCGCCTGAGTACGGAGCTTCTGACGTGGACGCTTAGCATCGCAAATGTCTATGCTGTAGCCCAAGCAGCATCACAAACCGTCCGCATAATGCGGCAGAGACCGTAGAGTTGCTTCCTTGCAAGACAAAAAAATTTGTGGTCACAAATCAGCATTACAAACTTTCTGAGAAGTACGTTTTTGATATGGGGAGGGCGGATTTTTCCCTTTGATAATCTGGTGGGTGTGACCACGTCGCCGTTGATCGAGGAAAATGAAGAGGACGACTCCGTGGTGACTGAGGAGGTAGCTGCTGCTGCTGCAGGAACTTCTATAGCGGACTGCAAGAAGAGCCATGATGAAGCTGCAGAGGCAGGGCTTCATGAGCAGAAGCAGAACCGCGACAGCACGACCCCTGGAGTTGATGGTGCTCTAGTACATGATTTATTACTTCACGAAGAGGAGGAAATGCATCGGAAGCAGGAATCAATAACAAGTATCTTCCCGCAGTCCGGGCCCTCTTCGATTTCTTCCCTAGGGACCACGGAGGAACAAGTTGGCGCACGAGAAGCTGCCCCAGCTGCGGTGGTGCCGGAACAACAACTCCAAAAGGTGGATAACGAAAACGCGATTAGTGCACCTACCACTTCCCCTGCTCTTTTGACCTCCTCGGTTGGGAAGATTTCTGGAGATGAGAAAATTGAAACCGACCACTCGGGGACGACCCTGCCGCAAGATAGTTCATCTCGTGGAGATGATACTTCTGCAGCAGAATTACAAGCACCAGAAGCTCCTGCGTCACCATCCTCGTCCTGTGTCGCGGTACAACAGAATGTAAGTTATCCTTCTGATGAAACCACGAAGGGAAATAAAAGCGGTAAAAAGAAGAGCAAAACTAAGGCCGGAAAAAAGTTTCAGCCCGTGAAAACGAACAAACAGAGCGGAACTGCATCGGGTGGAAGCGTTGGAGATGGTGCGGCCTGCGAGGGTCGGGGCGGGATTTGAAGCCCTACGAGCGGGACGGGTGCTGTTTGCATAGGAAGAAAAGACGGGGAAGATCGAGGTAGTGCTCAGGGGTCGTGGTTCACCGCCTGCGAGGACTCGTCGTGAATTCAGTACTCACATCAGTATTTAAATACACAAACCGCTACGCTAACGAAGATGAGACCTCCTTTTGCACTGTGCCATTCATTATGTGGAAGAAAAGTTTCGAAGAAGCCCTGAGTATCTTTTGTATTCGATGGAGTGTCGTGTCTGATTATTCGATCGTCTGAAATGAAAGACAGTTGACGAAAATTGGAGAAATATTTTACACGCGACCTCCCGGATATGATCATTTTGCACCCTCTTATTATGAAGCAATAGGTTTTTCCTCTGAAAGCCAAGTGGTTGTACTTCATCTTCGACGCCATAATAAAGTAAACAGAGACCACCTCCCATCTACGACTTGAGTTGCAGCCTGTTTTGATAATGTCGAAAAAAATGGAAGAGAAATCCGCAAGCGGCCGTGCTTGATATGAGGAAACGTAACTACTTATTTGTATCTTTGTTTGCAGATGATGTTCTACTTAAGTACTTTGAAGAGCAGCGTCGGCGGTACTGTCGCTAAACACCGGAGATCTCATCTTTGCGGCGAATCAATTTTAAGTGGTGGCGCGTCTTCAAGATCCCTACAACTACGTACAGCTTCCTTCCGCTTGGCGAGCGTTCGCGTTTTTATTTGCGATAAGATCCGTATCCGAGACTGGATTTTGATTTTGTCGAAGCGACTTCTTTATTTTGCGTTCAAAATTGTCAGGTCTTTCGTTTCCACCGTTGAAGCAGTATATTGTCGCGTTTCCTTTACCTTTTCGCTGGTTGTCTACTTCCAGCAGTTCACGCATTGCATATAGTTTTTCCTCGTTCTCGAAGACAGCATGATACACTGATTTTTAGTTTTCGTCATCGCGAAAGCTTTTTGAGTCCTGACTGGTCCTAAATAAGCCACGACCCAGCTGCTAGTAGTTCTTTTCGCGGCGTGCTGCACAGGTTTTTTTTTTGGAGTTATAAGCAGCGCACTTTCATCAAGTTGTCACAAGCCCAAGATGCGGAATTTTCTTCTCCACACCCTGTGCTCGGTGGGTGGCAGTACGGTTCTTGCGCGGCGAGCAAACAAACCACTGCCGACCGGTATGGGAGTGTCAGGATTGAAATCGACAGAGTTGAAATAACTTGTAATGCATAAAATCGATACCAGTTGGAAGCCCAATTTCTAAGCGGCGCATGACAAATTTCGGCACCGTCTAGATCCAGTCTGTCATGCTGCTTAGATAGGGACAGAAGGCGCCTTTTGTCATGCTACTTCGGCAGCTCTATCGCAGACCCCAAACACGCTGACAGTCGGCCTCACTTGCCATCCCTGCAAGAGAGGCACTCCATGCTTTGCAATTTATGCATGAGAAATTATTTCAACTTTGTCGATTTGAATCCTGACACCTCCATGGCCGGCCTGCAAACGCCGACGTCAAGCAGTGAAACCAGCACCACGCCAACTAGTGCCTATGAACTGCAAATATGTCTGGGTCTGGAAGGATCCGAACTTGTGATGCGTGTTTCGGATCCTACAAAGATCTGTGATGCATAAACGTGCAAAAGGTGCCCACTTCTGGCCATGCTGAGAAGGCATTTCTCATGCAGAATACGCATCAACAAGGAGCTGCAGAACCTGTGATGCTAGGCCCTGCATTCCCGACGTGGGGGAGCTTGGAAAAACTGCATGACAAATCTCGGAGTCTCCCAGACCCAGACATTTTTGCATTTGATAGTGCCACCCCGCCAACGAAAGGCGCCGGCGGGTCATCTTCCTCAAAAAGCAAAACGACCGGCGAAGGAGCAGTAGAGCAGCATCGTGATGTGCTGGAACAACTGCAGCCGGGAGTAGCAGGAACTACAGGTCGTGGGGAAGCCGCACCTGCTCCGTCAGCTTCCTCCCGAAGACACCACGTGGCGAATCCAAAGCCGATTCGCACACCGTCGCCGGATGAGCGTGGAAGAGGACGGCCGCCAGGAGGAGCGAATAGGGTCGTGAAAGAAGATCATTTTGGAGCCGCTAATTCCGCAGGAGCCCCTTTGCGGGGACCACTACACCAAGCTACGACGGCTTCGTCCACGACTTCGGGAGAGCAAACCCCGCAACAGCGCGGGAGGCAACGCGGTTCGGCGGGGAAAGGGTAAATGTAGGATAGTAGGGTTAAAGTGTGTAGAAGAAATATTCTTTCTCCGTTTATTTCATTTTTGCCTGCTAAAGCACTGCTGCTGGGGCGCGATTCTTTGCGCTTTGCTTCATAAGTTTTTAAATGCCTCAAGACCCCCCGGGGAACAAAATGTTGACGTCAAATAAACAGTTCGGCACCGCAAGCCGCATGGAACGCGACCCCAAAAGCGCGCACAAGCACGGGTGCAAGTACGTGGACCTCCAGCCCCAAAGCGGGCGGAAATAAAGGCGCAACTACGACTCGGCCTTTGCTTCAGGAACACGGCGAACCTGGTGACGCGGAGCAATGGCCGTCCCTCGGCGGAGGCTTGCCGCGGCAGCAGCATGCTGCCGGGCCCTCTGGTGGTCGGAGGTCCCCGGCCAGCAGCAGCACCACGACCAGCGCCGCAAACACGCCAGCAAACCGCGGCCGGGGAAGGACTACCGCGTGGAGTACGGCGGCGTCAGCAGGCGGAACCGGAAGGTCCTCCACCGCTTATAAAAACAACCACGACGAGCATATTGTAGCTCCGACCACCAAGGAAGAGGAGCACGCGCTGCTCGAGCAAGCGCAACGCGAGTCCCAGCGCGATTATCTGATGCAGGAGCTGAGGGACTTTAACGCCGCGATAGCCCGAGAACTCGGTGCGGGCCAACAACAGAGACAACTCCAGCAGCAAGTAGGGGGAATAGCATCAAATGTTAATAATTTGCCGACCGCTTCTTGGGCGGCCTCAAGCCCAGTAGAGCACCACAACGCGGTGCTCCTTGCGGAGCAGGTCAAAAACGCGTGGACGAGTACACCAACAATGGCCCACCAACAGCAGATGCAGCTCTCGCCGCAGAGTATTGCAACGCAGCCACCGCTGTTGCAGCCCAGTCCCCACCACGCGGGATCTTCGTTCCCGGAGCAGTTTGCCGGCATGCTGCAGTCGCCCTCGTTACAGGGGCCCGGAGGAATTACATCAACCGGTCATCTCATGGTGCCCTCTCCGGCGGCGCAGGCGCAGGATTTCCAGCAGCAGGGAGGAATCATACAGCAATCCCTTTTGCAGTACGCGGCCAACAGTGCGGAGACGACACCTCAAAATGCCGGGCGCATGATGAGTGGCGCATCTCCCGCGGGGGCTGGTGCCCAGATGCAGTTCGCACAGAGTCAGCAGCAAATGGCGGCCGCAGCAGCTGCACAACAGCTTCAGGGCCAACCGCAGCAAAGTTCTTACCAGGTGCAGACCTACGTGGCGAGCCCGGTGGCGGCGGGTAACGGGAACATTGTGCCCGTTTTTATGCCCATTGCCGCGATGGAAATGGCAGCGGGCATTTCTAGTACTACAACCATGGGAGTTGTAGACCAGCAGCAGCAGCAGGATGTGATGTACAACACGCCTCAGCTGCAGCAACAGATGGCACAACAACAACAGCCACTCGCGTCGTCGAACAATGTTAATGTGCAACAGTCCTACGAGCATTTGCAGCCTACTTCGCCGCACATGCAGCCGCAACCGGCTATAGGCCCGTACGGAACTACTAGTGGCGCACCGTCAACTCTACTGCCAATGCAGATGCAGCTACAACAACTTCCCAGCAGCAGCGCGACGAGCCACGGCGCGATGGGAACTGTGATGCAGCTGGACCAATCCTCGCCCGCGTCAAGCTCGTACGCGGGCAACACACCGATGCTTTCCATGCAGCCAGACCCGCTGTACGGCGGACCGGTGGATTTTGCGCTGAATGGGGTTGTCATGGGCAGCACCATCCACTCTGACTGTACCACGCCTTCCCTGGGACACAAATCGGGCGACAGCTGCGCACTGGGACCACCTTCCGGAGGTGGCGGGCTGGGGTCCGGTCAGGAGCTGCAGGCCAGTTCATCGGCGAAGGAGAAGACCATTCAGGATATCACTCCCCCCGTAGTGGACCTCGGCAACTACGAGACGGAGCAAGGTTTCATGCTGGGTGATCTGGAACAACCTCTGTCCCGGTCTTCTGTCCGCTCCAGCGCGGGGATGAATCTGTTGCTGCAAAACAGCGGGGTTGCGGCCGGATTCGCGCCATCTACAGCTACAACCGGTGGTGCCGGAACATCAACCTCAAAGCAGATCGCGTCCACCTCTCGGACAAGCAGCAAGCACCAGGTTTTCGATGGAACACCACCAGCAGGCAGCACTTCAGAGCTCCTGCAAGAAGTAGACCATTCCTCCGGGCAGAACAGCGGGGGGAAACAAACCTCTTCCGGCGGTTCGGTTGCCGCCGTGGACGCGCGACTCAGCCAGAATTTGACGTCCAATTTTCAGGTGGACGACGTGGTCCGCACGCTGCGGGAGAACCAGGCGGCGACGACGCAGAAGGAGCGCATGTACAACGACCGGGTAGGTACGTTAGAGGAGCAGGAGCAGGCCTTGATCCAGCAAATGCAGAAGCTGCAGCTGGAGAAGGCGGAAGCCATCGCGCAAGCGGACCGGGCGGCGGCCGTGAACGAGCGGTTTACGGACAAAATCGCCATGCTCATCGACGGCAAGCAGGACGAGGAGGATGCGCAGATCGCACGGCAGCTCGCGGAAGGAAATCACCAGCATGAGCCTGCTAGTGTGTCTGCAGCTGGCGTTGTTCCTGCAAACGAAACAAATGAGAGCACCACCCTGAATGTTAAAAATCATTCAGAAACCAGTCGAACAACAGCTGCGGCGACCGGCATAACCAGCAGTAAAGGTGATGGCAAGAATTATGCCACCGCGTCTTCTACAACTTCTGCGAGCGGAATGAAAACTAGTGTGGCAGTGGGAGCCCCCACAGCTTCTCCTTCTGCAGTCGGGGAAATAAAAGCGGCAGTAGCTCCGTCTATATCCTCCTCGTCAACATCACAGAAGAATGCACTAGCGAGAACAATCTCTGCAGCGGTTCATCCCGTTGCTCCCCAGACCGACGTGGCCTTCGATCTGTTGGTAGAGCAGGTCAAGCGCGAGGAAAAGCGCAACCCGCGCGCTGTCTCCATGTTCCCCGCATTGGGGACGGACCGTCCGATGTGCGTGCAGGGTACATACCACCACGAAATCACCGGGCTATTCGAGGAAGGCACGGTACTAAGTACATTAGCCCTACAGTAGTTTTTGTGAAAAATGATAAAGTAAGCAGTTGGATTTTAATATTCTGCATCGTTGGTGAAAGCCGCCACGACCTGCTGGTCACGAGTATAGCTGCTGCTCCCGCTGCAAATTTCACGTTGCTATTTTAAGTGTAAATTATATATGACATGACGAATGAAGTACACAACAAGACCAAGATCAAGACCCAGTAAAATAAACATATTGAAACTACAGGTTTGGGTTTTCGTGCAGCTCGCCGAACATCCGTTATTCGGGAGCGTGAATAGCAGCCGGGAACCGCAATACCATGCGAAGTATGAGGCTTGGCTCGAGGCAGGTATCCAGCAACATCAGCAGGACCTTAGTTCGAGCGTGTTGTACTGCCGCTATTTGATGTCCTATAATTTTTTCGAGCGTGTTCATAAATATAAATGTGATGCTGCCCTAGTTCGTTCTGATTCCAGTCGACAAGCACAATGTACTTACATCCATAACTGGTCTTGAAATGGTGTATCGTCCACCCGATGGACATGATCATCTATCAGCTCCGTAGTGTGAATATGTAATTACTTAAATTTGTGAGAAACAACATCAACGACACAACCCAGGCCCGAGCGCGGCGTCGCGCCGAGAGCCGCTCACCGTCGCGCAGTCCGGTGACACGCGGAAGGAGGGCGAGCTGAAATTCCGGTTCCGGTGGTTCGGCACGGAAGCGGAGGTGAAACTTTCGGAGCAGCTTATCAAATGTAAAAATGTCTGGGTCTGGAAACTTGTGATGCTGTGTGGCGTATCATGAGGAGGCCACAATTGCTGGCTCAGCATGACAAGTTTCTGAGGAGCTTCTAGGTGTTGCCTATTCTGCATGACAAACTACGTTTCTGCATGACAGAAAAGTGGGGCTCTTTGGTAATGTGCATGACAGATTTAAGAGTCATGCCAGACAAGCATGACAAACTTGCATTCTTCCAGACCCAGACATTTTTACACTTGATACAGCTCGTGTGCGCCCGAAACAACCAACTCGCCCTATCAGAAGGAAAAATCCCCCCTCCCCATATCGAAATGGAAATCTGTGATGCAGGATTTGAGGTACCAAATTGACTTGTCATGCTAGAAGGCCAAGAGCCGCAGTCGTGGTCTCGTTTGCAGGCAATTTGTCATGCTGTTTCCCACTCTCAGCTGCCTCCTGTCATGCTGAAGATGCAAGGCTCCCCCACGCCACCCAGCACTACAGTCCGCATCTTTTCCCGTGTAGCATGACAAAGCTGATTTGTGACAACAAATCTGCATCACAGATTTCAGTTTTGATATGGGGAGGGGGGATTTTTCCTTTTGATACGCCCTGGACGTGGAAGTCACTGCCGACGCGATTGGGCACAGCGAGCAGACCGCCTCGGCGAGTGGCGTAATTTTAGACTTGATCCAGGAGAAACCGGCGGAGCTGGCGCGAAAAGAGCGGAAGCGGTCTCTCTCTCGCGACGCGCGCCGAATCTCGCACCGGTCGGTACCAGCGCGGGACCGACACGGTGCGCAGAACACCGAGATTTCATCCCGCGCGTATGACAGTGCACAACTCCACCCCCTCCCCCGCATTTGTATAGCATGAGTGGCAATAAGAGCATCAGCAAGAGTGCCGGTTCTGCATGACAATTCTGCACTGGAGTGTAGTGCTATTTGGGCTAGTGCCAGAACTTGTCATGCAAACAGCGCCAAGAGGCAAGGGGTGGATTGGATATTTTGCACGACAAACTGTGATCGACGATTACCAGTTGTGTCGCTGGTCCTGTGCCAGTCGTGGGGCATGTTCGGGTGTTCCGGGCAGTGCTCAGTGCACCCCTCGGACCCCGCACCCCCCCGGGATTTAGTTGCGCAGTCTGTTAAGCATGACAAATAAGGGGGAGGGGGAGGTGTGCACTGTCATAGCGCGCGCAGACGTAACATGAGAGAGGACCGGTCCCGAGATCCGCCACCGCAAAGAGCGATGCGCCCTTCAAGGGCGGCCGATGTTGAAACCACAGCTCCGGCTGCTGCTGGCGGTACTAGTACTTCCTCGACGGCCAGGGGCCTACCGCCGCCCGCCGCGCTGCTCGCGCTCAGCACCGCGGGGGCGGCTGCCGGCACGAGGTACTTATCAATAATTAAAGTACTTACCCACAGACAGTTTCTACGGGCGATTTTTCTCAACAAGCTGAGAATGGCATATATCAGTTCATTTTTCAGACCGTTCAGAAGAAATTCAGTTCAGAAGAAATTCTTCTTGCAGAAGATAGAGGTCATGAGACTCATAGGAAAAAATGAAGAAAATTCGAAAGAGTAAATGAATACTATCGTGCAGGCCCGGCTTTTACCCACCTACCGGGACGAGCACTTCTATCACCAGCCCGCCGGCACCAGTCGGACCCGGAGCGGTATTAAACTCCTCGGACGGAGAAGAACTTCAGCCACGACGAACTACACCGGTGAAGATTATTCGGACCTTCGAAGCTACCCTGCAACTCCCCGGCAGTGCGGGCACGGAGACGTTTGAATTTACCGAAGAAGAGATGGAGAGCATGACGGTGAAAGACCTGCGCGACCGACTCTCCGCTCGGCTGCGCGGGGAAGTGGTCAGGAGGGGCAGTAGTGACAGCCACGGGGTGGAAACGAGAGTCTACTCGGACAGAATAAAGCAGTCGGCCCTGAAACGCATGCAGTTTGAGGAGGTTTCGCGGCAGTATAGCAGTAAAATAAATGCTTCGTCGAGTGTGGTAGGTGCAGGCGGGGGCAAGAATGCGAAGAATCAACACAATCATTCGCGCACCGTCGACGCAGCAAACGCCGAAGCGGCCGAGGCCTTCCTGGAGCAGTTCCACCATTATGCGCCCAGGGAGGAGGAAGAATACGACAAAGCCATTGCCGCGGGGCGCACTGACGTGCCAAAGCCAAAAATGATTCGGTATGAAAATTTTTACTTTCAAGCAAATTTTCTCGCGTCGTGTGAGAATTGATTGTGAACCTTTGAGGTTGTAGTTGATACTCTAGTATCAGTACGGATAATCTTCTGTGCTAGAAGTTGCTTCGGAAGTTGTAGTAGATAACGCTAGATTCGTGAAGAAGAAGAAGAAGAAGAGGCATATCCTGATCATCCTCTTTGGATCACGATTTATTTCTTGCTACATAAATTTAAATACACCAGGCTCGAGCTTTTGAAGGAACGATGGCAGGACAAGCTGTGGCAGTTTTTCCAGCCTGATCGACTGCACTTGCTGCACGAGAGGTTCGATATCAAATGTAAAAATGTCTGGGTCTGGAAGGTTGGAGCTTGTGATGCTAACTCTGGACTCTAAAAAAATCTGTATTGCATGATCAGCGAACAGGAGTCTAGTTTGTGCTACACGGGGCGGGCATTTTTTGTCATGCGGAATCGGCATCAGGAAGCCCTCTAAAAATCTGTGATGCTAGGTCATGCATTACAGACATCCTGGGTCATGCAAAATATGCATGACAAACCCAGCAATCTTCCAGACCCAGACATTTTTGCAGTGATAATCGATCCAAACACGCAAAAGCTGGTGAAACACGAAATCAAAAAAACCGCGGAGATATGGATTGCAAAAATGTCTGGGTCTGGAAGATTGCCAGGTTTGTCATGCAGATTCTGTATGATCCATGACGCCTGTGATGCATTATCTAGCATCACAGATTTTTAGAGGGCTTCCTAATGCCTATCCCGCATGAGAAATGCCGTCTGCGCGTAAGACAAACTGGACTCCTGTTGCTGGTCATGCAATGCAGATTTCTTTGGAATCCAAAGACAGCACTACAAGTTCCAACCTTCCAGACCCCGACATTTTTACAGTTGATAGGAGAAGCGACTGCGAGACTTCGTAGCATTTGACAAGCCACCGGTGGTGGTGAACAAAACCGATGAGGCCGCTGACGAGGGCGACGTCACCACGGAAAAGTTCTTTCTGCAAACCATTTTCGTCGATTGGGGGCGGTTTCGGCTCAAGCTCGTACCTGCCGACATGACGCCGGAGGTCCGGATATCCTGTGTAAAGTAGACGAGTGCCCACCCAAAATCTTTTTCATGCAAATGTTGTTCTGCATGTGCCTGAAGTTGTGTTTCTTCTGCGCAGGCCGGTGAGGATAGCCTTTCCCTTTTCTCATGCTAAGTATCTGGGAGCTGGTTGTCACTATGCTGCAAGAAGCGTCGGGTGAGCGATTCGAAGATGCGGCTGGTGCACTGACGCTAGCTAAACACGATGAGGCTCCTGCGATCCAAATGTTGTCCTGCGGAAGAGCCAACACATGAGGTTGTTGATTTGCATATTACAGGAAGGTCCCCATCATATTAGGTGAGTCTGGTGCAACAAAGTGGGCGACGTTTTTGCACAGGATACGCTAACCAGTTGAAAAAGCGACGCGAGAGCTTGCTCTGGGGAAAAAACTCTCACATGTCGCACTTCCAGGCCATGCGGATCCTGCAGGAATTCCCCGAGCTTTTGGTTCCCGATAGTTCATCGTCCACCGGGGTGGAAATTACGGAGGAGAAGTTGGAAGAAAAAGTGAGGGAGCTGAACACCTCGCTGGACCCAGTCACAAAGGAGCGGGACGAGAAACGAGTTTTGCTGAAAAAAGCCCTGTCTGACTGGAAAACCGTCTTGCACCCCGGCTACCAGCAGGTGTCCCGGCAGCACAGAACTCACAGAACTCCGCAAGTGCAACAACTGCTGGACGCAAAGTACCGACTGCCCAAATCGCTGCACGAGTGGCTGCTGACGACCAATCAGCAAGGGAAGAAGACCTGGAGCCAACTCGCGCTAAACAACATCTTTTCGGACATCCACGCGACGCAAAAAGTGTTCATGCGACGAGGTGGTGGAGGACAAGCACAGGGGGCGTCGTCATCTCATAATAGTAGTAATTTTCAGGGCGGTGGTGCAACTAGTAGTTCCTCGGTCGCAGGAGCTGCTGGCTCAATGGGACACCAAGCGGGTGGTCGCCGGCTGCCCACTGCAGAGCCGGACGAGGAATCCGAGCCGATGGCGACAACAGGAGGGGTTGTTGCCGCGGCGTCTGCGGCACAACAGTCCGCTCCCCCGTCGGGATCTCACAAGAGGTCCAAGTCTGCGAAGCGGCGCAGTCGGGAACAGAACGCGAAAAGGCGTTCGAAGGAACAGGTATCGCAAAACGCAGAGGAGGAAAGTAGAAGTGGAAGAAGCGCAATGTCAATTTCATCTGCTCCTTCGACTTCGAGGCAAGAGCCGGATAACAACTCGGAAGAAACCGCCACCCCGGAGGAGGTTCTTGCCATGGAAGTAGATGAACAAGATGTTGGTGCAAGAACAGACAAAAACCGGACCGGGACTGCCAATGCGCAGCAAAGGGCGTCTCGGCCGCGCGGAAGGGAACCCGTACGAGCGACAGGAGCAGCTTCGTCCCAACAGCAGCAACTTGTAGCTCCTCCCGTGGAAGTTGTAGATGATGATGCTGACGACGACGATAAAAACGACACACCACAGCAACAAGCACACGAAGAACAACTACATCAACCTCGTTCATCCGCCTTGACAGCAGTAGACCAGCTGAGAGCACATTTGTTCGCGATGTGGCAAAAGGAGAAGCCGGAATCTCTACTCGTAGAAGCGGAGAAGGTACTGCATCCGTGGAGCGAAAAGTTTATGCACTGCAAAAATGTCTGGGTCTGGAAGGTTGGAAGTTGTCATGCTAAATCTGAATCATGCAAAAATCTGTGCTGCATGATTACCACATGCTGTCCCCTTTTGATCAAGTTCAGAGGCAGTTTCCCATGCAGGATAGGCATGATAGTTATCTCACGGAATCTGTCATGCTAGGTCCCGCATTCCAGACCTCATGGGTCATGGAAAATCAGCATGACAAGTTTACATTCTTCCAGACCCAGACGTATTTGTTTTTCATAGAGCTGGGCGGCCTGCAATACGAGGAGGACGTCGCAGATTGGCAGGAGTGGGTAAGAGAGGTGCTCTACGAACCCAGGAAACAGAAGGTGAAGCAGGAGAAAAAACAAAAGAAAGGGAGTGCAGCTGCCGCAACTGCAGGAGGAAGTAGTAGCATTGGCAAGTATCAGGACGACGGTAATAATGTTGATATCCTGTGCAAATAAAGCATGGCACTGGTGTGGAAGGTCGCAACTACTACCCTGAATGTTGACAGTAATGTACTTTCCATTATACCGAGGTATGCTTATGCATGGATCAAATTTTGGGCATGGAAATTCTATTTTCTTTCTATCATGATGGAAGAGCCCTTGTCATGCGAGTTTGCCTTAGTGCGTTGCTTTTGCTTTTGCGATGCATAAACGGCAATGACCAGCAACTCGAAGCGGAAAAAGCCTACTTGAAGGAGGTGCTGAATGTTGCGTCAAAACTGAAGAAACAGCTGCCGATGCGAAGTAAGTTTCTGATTTCCATATGAGAAAAATTGTCTTATTTTCAACCCGTCTTTCGGGATAAGTTGCCCCTTTTAATACGTGGCCTTTGTTCCTGTCATCGATTTGATAGATACAGAGCTTTAAAAATATTTTGTGCATGATCTTCTTCCCGTTCATCTTGGAAGGAAGTTCTTCTCCTGGTGCTCCGAAAAATTGATATAAATCTATCTATCAGGGAGTAGATCGCAAGCCCGCTCGAAATCCCGGGATCGGGGTGTAGGTCCGGAGCGAGGTGGTCGCAATCCGCGGGAGCCGTCACGAGGTCGCGTGGCGCAGCGAGAAAGAGCAGAAAGACGGCAGATGCAAGAAGAACAAGACGCAGAAGATGACGCGGTATGTTTTTTTCGGTTGGAGTGCAACTCGAAGAACTTTTTGCGCCACATTATGACAAATAAAAAAGATCCTTTTTGTTCCATCAGGAGAAATAAAAGCTAAACCGCACAATACTATAAACACAAAGGTTCTCGACGCGGCCGAAGCGCAGGCAGCACAGGAACGCACTGGGACTTTTGCACCGAGGGCGCTCTTGCAGAAAGTTGGTGGTTGGTTCGGTAACTTAAGAGGTGGCGGAACTGACGACAGTAGTCGAGGAGGAAATCTTCCTGCGCCGTAATTTTGTAGATTAAGAGTTCCGCGACGAGTGGTTGTTCAGGGTCTTGCTTTTTCAAAATGATCTATAATCATTCTACTGAATTGCAAATCTAGCAGGTTGCGCAGCTGCTGTGACGAGCAAACGCGCAGCGATATAGTTACGATAAGATTTTTAAACTTGAAAGCATGCGCATACAAAAATGCACAAGCGTCTTAATACAACTTTTACAACAATGAACGAGAGGGATAAAAATGAGAAAGATACTGTAGCTGTAAAGGATACAAGCACAACATCAACAATGAACCGCGCTACTAGAAGATGAACCGCACGGGATCATCATCATTCTGCAGTAGTGCTCTGCTTGCTACTCGAGCTGCTGGGCAGAATTTTTAGGAACACTATCACTGCCCTAAATTCAAGGAGCGACGACCAAGGCGGTGAGCTATGCATATGATAAGTACAACCATAAGTCTGACGAAGGGAAAGAGCCACCTGCTGGCGCCCATGCCTCTTGGGCTCATCATACGACGTCAGAGGTGAGGTGAGGCCACTTGCATCTTCAGGTAGTTTTTTTTTATCTGCAGGCTTGACTTCTTCTTGTAGAAGACAGTCAGCCAGAGTCTGTTTAAGTACTAGACTACCTTCGTCAATATTGCTTTTCTACGCACAGCATGTCTTCCATAAACACCTTTTTGGTTTTTCTCCGTTATTTATGTTTTTTGTCTGAGAATTTAGCAAAGCCCCTGAAGTAGGAAAACAGCACTGGCCACGCGCCAGTTAAGAATAAAGAGGTACGTCAAGAACTGCTCATCATAAAATTATTTGCATCTATTTTGCGCGCTTGCACGTGCATTGGATTTATGAGGTTTTTAGTACAAAAAATCAGAACACGGTGTAGCTCCATCATTTTTGTTGCGAAGCATGCGAAACGTATTTTTCTGTGCTCAAGATAAAGATGAAGATGAACCACTTCATCAACTTTCAGGTTTCACCTTGCGAAAAGAAAATTGCAGACAGATCGTGGTGGCGCCGTTCTTGCATTTTTGCTACGCAGGGCTTCTACTATGATCCAAAGCAGGAGCAAAGCACCTTTATCAATGTTCCTGTTTCCACTTGGATGGTTTTCATTGCATGTTTTTCAGTTCAGTCGTACAAGAAATGTGACTTTGATAGTTCTTTTTGTCACAACTCGGTTAACAGATGCAGCGACAAAAGTTCTCGAGCCATTAAATTTCTATGTCTAGTACTTCTTTGTGTGCCATCAACGACATGTTGAATCGCATCGGTAGTTGTACTCCATCGCGTCTCCGTGTCCGTCCATCTGATCGTGCTTGTGGTATAATGTTCGTTTTTCGTTCAATTTTGTCGTTCAACTTAACCATTTTCGTCCGCATCGTTTCCGTTTGTCTGTCTTTTTGCAACCTGGTGACCAGGTGGCTGTCGTCAACAAAGAAATGCCTCGTGCTGTTTTTCATCTTCATCGTGTTTCATCAACATTGAATCTACACGTACACTTCGATAATCAGTTCATTTTCTACCCCAGTAGTACCACTTACCCGCTTTGAATTCTTTATTTTCTTTACGCCCAATGCCAATATAATTTAAATTTTCTGTGAATTTGACAACCCCGTATCTGTGATGAAGGCCGCCCATTTATTATTGTACTATTGTTGCGTAGAAATCAGTTCGCATTGGTAGGTTTTGCGTATTGATTGTATTCAGGACGATGCCCGAGCCCGACGAGGGGGAGGCACAGATGAACATTACAGCCAAGAACCCAACTGAAGGGCAGGGTGACGTGGTCGACCAGGAGATGACAACACCAGGTCCGCAAGAACACCAGGTCGTCCAAGAGCAGCAGGGCATGGCCTTTGCGAGTCTGCTGCACAGTCAGGATATTTTGCAGCAGGAGGAGGAAGAGAAGTTAATAGCAGTAGCACGAGCGTCATCGAAGGAAAGAAAGGTAGCAGAAGGCGAGGACGAGCACACGGCTGAGACAGTTGTACGAGAGCCTTCACCGGATGAGGGCCAGCAGGATGAAAAGCAAAATGCAGGATCTTCCCCGACTTTGATCGACATCGACGTCGGGGCCATGCTGGGCCCGATCTTGGATCACCTCGACGAGGAAGAGAAGGAGGTGAAGAAGCAGGTGCAGATCGCGGAAGTCGAGGAGGCAAAGACCACCGCGAATACTAGTAAGTCTGGTCGGCTGGCCGGAACAGCAGGCTTGTCCATTTTGGGGCGGTGGAAGAAGAAGGTGCGCCAACTGCAGATGGGCATGCGGGTGGCGAAAACCCTGGATGAGCTGCACCAAGCGGTGAGACAGAAAGACCCCGTGCTTTTGAACCAGATGGCGCCGTTGCAACGGCTGATCACGCAGGGGTCGGAGAAAATGATCACCGAGGTGGCGACCGCGGTGCCGAAGGACGACTTGTTCCGAAAGAGAGGGGACGAGGATATCAAATGCAAATATGTCTGGGTCTGGAAGATTGGAAGACTTGTCATGCACATTTTGCATAACCCATGATGTCTGTGATGAATGCGGTAGCATCACAGTTTTTCTGAGGGCCTCCTGATGCCTATACCGCATGAGAAATGCCCACTCGGCGTAGCAAAGACACGACTTCTCTTGCTGCTTATGCAATACAGATTTTTTTAGAATCCAAGGACAGCATGACAGGTTGCATCCTTCCAGACCCAGACATATTTGCAGTGCATAGAGGAGGTTGAGAAGCAACTCCTGCTGGACGCGCAAAACGTCGACATCCTGGACGTGCTCCAGGAGGTGGAGATTTCCGACCACCAGAAACAGATGGAGATGATTGACAAGCGGGGACGGCAGGCCGCGAAGGAGGAGCGGAAGCGGCAACGGCAAGCGAAGTACAAGCAGCAGGCGCAGGATAAAGCACTAAAAGTTTTATTCTTCGACCAGAATCACCATCCCTATCAAATGTAAAAATGTCTGGGTCTGGAAACTTGTAATGCTGCGTTGGGAAAAGTGAATGCTCTGTAATGCACGGGCAAGCATGAGACATCTCTGCGCTTCTTTGTGTTGCGTTTTTCGCATGACAAACTGCGTTTTTGCATGACAGGCAACAGGGTCTCTTCTTGGACACGCATCACAAGCTTTGTGGTCCTGCCAGACAAGCATGACAAATCTCGCAATTTTCCAGACCCAGACACTTTTACATTTGATAATCCCTACCGCCGGTCAAAATCCACCGGGACCTCGAAGTCCTCGTTGGATCTCGGCACGGAGGAAAGTAGGGACTCCTCGGAAGAAAAGATGAGAACAACCGGAGCTTCTCCTGCGCAAGAACAACCGCATCAGTTGACGGGGAGCCACCGTGGCACGCACCCAAGCACGACGGACAGCTCGTTTCAGTCCATGCGGAGGAAGTCGAAGGACCTGCTCGCGCAACAGCAGGATTACGTCGTGAGGCCGCGGAAGAACAGCCGGGACCGGCAGGTTTCGGGGGCGGCGTACCCGGACCCAAGGGAGCCGTTTCCCGTCACCCCCGAGGAGAAGCGGAAAGCGCGGTTGTGGCGGATTTTCAAGCGGTCGGAAGACGCCAAGGTCTCCGTGGCGAAACACAATTTGCGCGCGAAGCTGCAGAACAAGCCGCCCGCCCCCGGCGGCGTGGCGGACTTCCGGAAGGGCGCGAAACGCAACCTGCCCTTCCCCCGCGACGCGATCGCGCGGGCGGCACTGACAAACTTAACGTACCAAAACGAGCTGATATCCAAGAAAAACTCGCTGCAAAACAACCTCGGGAAGGTATCAAACCGAAAAATCCCCCCTCCCCATATCGAAAACGAAATTTGCGATGCTGGATTTGAGTACACAAATCGACTTGTAATGCTGGAAGGCCAAGAGCCGCAGTTGTGGCCTCGGGTGCAGGCAATTTGTCATGCTGTTTTCCACTTCCAGTTGCTCTCTGTCATGCTGAAGGCGCAAGGCTTTCCCACGCCAACCAGCACCACGCTCCGCATGTCTTTCCTTCTAGCATGACAGAGCTGATTTGTCACCACAAATCTGCATCACAAATTTCTAGTTTGGGGTGGGGGGATTTTTCATTTTTATAGAAGGTGATTGCGCGGCCGGAGCAGTTCCCGTTCACGTCGGAGGAGCTGGAGCTGGCCGGGTTATCAAACGTAAAAATGTCTGGGTCTGGAAGAATCCGAACTTGTGATGCTGCATTTGGATTCTAAAAAAATTTTTATTGCATGACCAGCAAAGGATATGCAATTTTGGCTACGCGGCGAGAGCATTTGTCATGCGGAATACGTATCACGAAGCCCTCAAAAAGTCTGTGATGCTTGGGCATGCATCACAGACATCGTGGCCCATGCAAAACGTGCATGACAAGTTTCAGAATCTTCCAGATCCAGACATTTTTACATTTGATACGGGTACGGGGAAAACGAAAACGCGGAGACGAACCCCTTTCCGGATGTGCTGCACAACATGTCGGGGAGTAATTCCACGATGGGGGGTAATATAGGCGCGCAGCTGGGGTCCTACATGGAGACCAACTTTGGAGACGAAAATATTACTACCCATTCGGTTGTTCAACATGACCTCGAGAAGATGTTGGAACAGCAGGCACACGCCCACGAAGCAGGTCTGAGCGGACCAATGTCCGTCGATTTGGAGCAGTTCCGGGATATTTCCTTGCAGTCCCTGGACCCCTCGGAAATCATGCCGGCTGCTGTTGCGGCCACGGTCACCCAGCAGGCGGAAAAGCTGCAGGAAACGCTGCGGAAGAAACCGGCAAAGAGGCTGCACAAGGACATGGTGCAGGAGTCGCAGGCGCGGTCGCCTTGGTCGCCACTGCCCAAAACGGACGTAGAGGAGATTCTGCTGGAACAACAGAAAGCGAAAGCGAACACGGGCATCAACCTGTACCACCCCCTGGCGAACCCGACGGACCGCTTTTTGCCCAGCTTTCTCTTCCCCCACCCGGCGGTCCACGGGGACTACGACTTTTTTCACGAAGACTTGCCCTATCTGATTCAGAAGCAGCAGCTATCCAATCGATGGAGCAAAAGTCGTGCGTTTAAAATGATCGCATGGTCGTATGAATTGCATAGATAAATGATAGGCAAAAACATGAAAATGATCCCTTTTCCTTTACTTAAAACTCGTTTTAGAATTACATCAACAATAAATAAAAATGCAATTGGTACTAAGTGCGATTATACCGATACATCACGTACTAGTACTTTTGCAATGCATAGCAGCACCAGAAGCACGACCTGGAGGACCACGAGTACTTGATTCTGCCCATGGCCCGGTTTGCTAACGAGCCTTTGGTCGGCGAAAACCGGGTGCGCTTGGTTTTGTCGAAACTGGAAAAATTCCCGATGCTCCGGAAGAACAACGGCATGTCCCTGCTACCCCCACTACACAAGAACATCCCGAAGGCGCCGAAGAAGAAGCCGAAGATCTTCCCCCCGAAGGGCGTCGCGGATATGTTGAGGAAGCGGAGGGAGAAGCCGCACGTAACCCACCCGCTGGCGATCTACCACGACGCGGTCGTGGCGATCGAGGAGCGGTGTAAGGCCATGAAGGAGGAGTGCCGGAACAAGCTGAAGGAAAACCAGCTGCGTTCGCGGCGGATTTGCATCAAGAACGCGCAGCTGCCGCATTCCCGGCGCCGGCAGGTGTTGAAGCAGATCGCCTGCAAGCGGTCGGAGTTGAAGAAGCGACAGTTTTTGGCCGTGAAGCCCGTGATCAAAGCTGCCGACCCGCCCCCGAAAAAACCCGGGAAGGCGGGCGGCCGCTGGCGGGCGGGCTTCGCGAAGATCACGGGCAAGATATCCTGAGTAAAAACGTCCCCATTGTACCAGAGTCAAGATGGGGAATCGGCTAGACAAGTCCACGAGTTTTGGCTGTTTTGCATGACAAATTCGGAGTCGCAGTGTAGTGCTGTTTGAGGTAGTTCAGTAGCATCACAGATCTAGTGCATCACGCTGATAGGCGCATTACAAATTCTCGAACACGACCAGAAAATGCTTCTCATGTGTCTCCGCATGACAACCATTTTGAGCATGCCGATTTGCATGACAGCTCTGGGGTCGTGGGGACGTTTTTACACAGGATACAAGATGCCGCCGACGGAGCGGCCGAGTTCGGGCGGCGGCAAGAAGTCGCTCTTCATGGCCGCCTTCACGGACCGGGCCGACAGCGACGAGGAGCCCATTGAGGACGTGGAAGTAAAACCGGACACGCGGCTAGAATTGGACAAGCTCGAGTCCGTCGACAGCACGACCGTGACCGCGCTGTTGAGTCCGCGATACGACGGTTCAACCATGAACCAGGTGGTGCGCCCGGCGGTGACCAGCGGGCCCAAGAACAAGCACGCGTGGCCGCTGCCGGAGGAATCCAACCTGACCGTCACCCCCTCGACGCAATTCTACCGGGACTTGACCCTGCAGGGCCCCTGGTACCAGGGGGGCATGTCGCGCGTGATTCAGACCATGCAAAACGAGCAGCCCCAGAACACGAACGCGGGTGTGGATGCGGCGAATCTGCTGAAGAAGCAGGACAAGCACCAGCTCCGGGAGTACTCCATCAAAGACACCGCGGACTGGTATCCTGAGTAAAATCGTCCCCACCCCGATCCCAGAGTTGTGATGCAAATGTGCAATGACAGCAACATTTGTAATGCGCAGTTCCATGAGAGGCATTTCCAATCGTGTTTTGGAATTTGTAATGCCGTAAACAGGATGAGAAAATGGCTTTCTAATGCGGCTCCCCTTGCCAACCACCACTACACTGCAGAGCGAAACTTGTCATGCACAGCTCCCAAAACTTGGAGACTTGCGTTGCTAGATTCCCAACTTGACTATGGGGTGGGGACGTTTTTGCTTGGGATAACTGGCGCATCCTGTTCGACTGTTTCTACCCGAAGGATCGGACGAAAAAGCCGCGGAAGCACCCGATCCTGATCCGTACGGAGCAGACGACGAACGCGAGGTTGATGTTCTCGGAGACGCTTTCGATGGTGTTGCGGTCTTTGCATTTGCACCCACTCGGGGACACGAAGCAGATGCACTTACAGGTAAAGGAGCTGGTGGAGTACCGGGCAAACGCGGCCAGGATGCAGCTGTCGAAGATTTTCAAGAAGGAAGTGAAGCAGAAACCGACCAAGTGGAACAAAGACACCTTCACCACCACTATGCAGATGTTCCAGCAAACCGAATCGCCCGCGATGTTCGAGCAGGCGCAACTGAGCACCGACTGGTACACTGGGCCCCGGGACAAGCAAGCGTCCCTGCCCACGAGCAAGGAGGTCCGGCGGGTGCTGGCGCGGCAACTGGACTACTACGTCACGTGCACGGACGAGTTTATCGACGCGTTTCGACAGGATTTTCCGCCGCTGGACGAGGATACCCAGGCCATGCTATGGTGAGCAAAAACGTCCCCACCCCAGAGTCAAGATGGCAAATCTGCTTATACAAATCAACCAGCTTTGGCTGTTGCGCATCACAAATTTGGGCTCGCAGAAGTATAGTCGTGTTTAGCTAGTGAAGCAGCATCACAGCTCTAGCATACCATGCGGATGCGAGCATCACAAATCGCAAAACACCAGCAAGGCCTGCTTCTCATGGGTCTCCGCATGAGAAACATTTTCAGCATGCAGATTTGCATTACAACTGTGGGTTGGGGACGTTTTTACAAATGATATATGCTGGACATGGGCTTGGAGGAGTACCACCCGAAGTTCTGCACAGTGGACCACTTTCTCGAGGTGTTCCAGGCGTTGCGCGCGAACCACGGGTTCAGCAACAACGAGCTGGACGGGATCACCTACTGGTTTTTGAAGCACCCCTTCTCCGCGGAGTCAGTCCGCCGGTTTTTGCTGCGCTGGGGCTACGCGACGGACTTCGAGGTGCTGTGGGACAGCGCGCGACAGGTGATTCCGGGAATCGTGAAGAAGGAGAAGTCAACGAACACAAACAGTACCCAACTACACTCTATCAACTGTAAAAATGTCTGGGTCTGGAAGGATCCGAACTTGTGATGCGAGTTGCGGATCATACAAAGATCTGTGTTGCATGACTGGCAAAAGGTGCTCACTTCTGGCCATGCTGAGAGGGTATTTCTCATGCAGAATAGGCATCACGAAGGGGCTGCAGAACCTGTCATGCTAGGCCCCGCATTCCAGACTTGACAGAGCTTGGAAAAACTGCATGACAAATTTCGGAATCTTCCAGACCCAGACATATTTGCAATGCATACACTCCGTGTCCCAGTTGTCCCTAGATGCGACGGGGGGCGCGAACAACCAAAGCCAGTTGCGCCAGGGCAAGGGACGGAGGTCTCTCTCCAAGATGGACAGCGTGGTCAGCAACGTCGACGAAAGCAAATTCAAGCCCTTCGAAAGCGTCGGCGACAGCTCGGCGTACTGTTTATTTTTTATTTGAATTTTGTATTTCGTATTCGTACTACTACTATTCTATGAAGTTTTTCTTAAGATGTCAACGTAGTGCACTCCCTTGTTGTGCTGCTCCGTTTACTCATCGGGTCGGATGGTCTTTCAAGTGCTATACACATCTGGAACTTGTAGCAATGAACACACATCACAGGTCTTCGAACAACGAATCCGCCGAAGAGTGGGAACTGCCGGCTAACTGCAAGCTGTGCGTTATGCTGAGCAAAAACGTCCCCACCCCAGAGTTGTCATGCAAATCCGCATGCCAAGAAAGTTGCTCATGCGGAGCCCCATGAGAAGCATTTTGTAGTCGCGTTTTGGAATTTGTGATGCTAGAATAAGCATGATAAGCTAGATTTGTGATGCTGCTGAAATAGCAAAACAGCACTACAATACGAGAACAAACTTGTCATGCCAAACAACCAAAGCTGGTTGTTTGTCTAGCAGATTTCCCATGTTGACTCTGGTGTGGGGACGTTTTTGCACAGGATATGCGTCCCCCAGATCGCGTACGTGCTGCAACACCTCATCGCGGCCCAGGAATTGAAGGTCCGGAAGGTTTACGAGGAGTGTGTGAAGGAAGACCAGCGGCAGCTGCTCGCGAGTGGCAAGTCCGGCCCGGTCGAGGATTTGCCGAGGTTGAGCGATACCCATTTTGACGAGGACTTCCCGCGGTTGCGGTACGCGCCGATTCCGAGTGAGACCGTTTTGTCCCTGTTGCCGTTCTATCAAATGCAAAAATGTCTAGGTCGAGAAAGTTGGAACTTGTGATGCTGGCCTTACATTCCTGAAAAATCTGTATTGCATGACCAGCAAAAGACGTGGCGTCTTCTGTCATACAAAAACGCAGTTTCTCTTTTGCAGAAAGCGTATGAGAAATAACCGTTCTGCAAACTTGTCATGCTTGGCTGCATTGGGAAGCGCTTTCATCATGAACAGTTCAGCATCACAGATTTCCAGACCCAGACATATTTGCAATGCATACGTTCCCGCCCTACGTGTCGTTGATGCAGCCCGTGCCCGCGATCTACACGCAGGACGCGCTGCGGAAGTTCGTGCGCCAGGTGATTCAGTCCCACGGCTTCTCCACGTCGTTCCTGATGCTCGCCCGGAACTGCTTCTACCGGATTGTGGACAAGACGCCCGACCTGATCGACCTGAACGCGCAATTCTACCTACCGGAGGTGTTGGCGACGGACGCGGATATCGTCTTCGACAGGTACCACACACGGGAACAGCGCATCAAGCCGGAAGACGGGTCCTTCATTCTGCCGCCGAATAGCCCGCTGCTGCCGGATGCTGCGGCGAGCGGAACTGTATTAGGAAACAATAGCAACTCAAGTGCGACATCAATATTACATAGCGCGAATCAGGATGACAACATGAATTCTAGTCCGCTGACGTTGAACCGGGAGCAGACGAGCCTAACGCAGCTGTCCACCATGTCGGCTGCGAGTGTGATGACGACGGGAACGGACGGTAGGCCGAAGAAGCGGTTTAAGCGCCAGTTGTCTTCCTCCCCCAATAACAATCCGGACCCGACTTTTTGGTCGGACACCTTTCACATTATGGAGCGCAAAAAGTGGGACAACAAGCACTTCCTCCACCCGCGATTCTTCTCCTGGTGGATCCAGAAGATGGGTTTCAACAGTTGCAGTGTGTACGATCTGACCTTTCTGCAGCGGAGAAAAGAGCCGTTAGACTTGTACGACTGCCTAGAAATTCTCCGGCCTTTACTGGAAAACGAAAAGTTCATGATCTCTCAACTGTTTGTCCTCTATGTGATCACGCCGCCCCGACCCCTCCGCACCTACATCTCCGGACCCAAAGAGTTCCCGGAGGCGGACGCGCCGCGCGGGTATTTGTTATTATCTTTCGACGAGGCGCAAGAGATGGCGGCGCAGGGCCACGACCCGCACAAGGTCGAGGTGCTGATGGGGCTGCGAGACGACGGGAAATCCCGGGTCGACATGGACGTGTTGTTGCAGATCTTCTTAACACTCACCGCCTTCCCACGGGACCGGATGGACCAGGAGTGCCTCGAGGACTTCAAGCTCGATTTTGTCAACGCGTCGATCGAATCGACGGTGGAAGCGGGGGAGAAACAGCACGACGGCGGGGAAAAGATCGCGCTCAACTTTTTCAACGTGGTCAAGATGCTGAACAAGATCCGGATCGCAAGTGCGCTGGACGCGGAGAGGGGCATTTTGAAAACGAGAAAGAAAAAAGCGATGAGCAAGGTCAAGGCCATGATGAAAATGGGAATTCTGGGCGGCATGAAATCTTCATGAGGATTTTTTACTCGATAAAAATCATATTGAAGACACGAGTCGTGATCTCGTTTCTGGGGCATAGTTGTAGCGAATTTTCAGCAGATTATTCGCGCTTTATTCACTTTTTTCTACGAATATGTTTATGTTTACTTACTTGTTTTCGCCTCTGTTTCAGTTCCTGTAAAACATTTTCCAACTCCGAAGTGCGAGGAGCGTGCGCTCCTAGGACAGAGGGCAAGTAAAATAAGTACTACACAGGGTTTGTTGATGTTTATGTGCAACATTCAGTTGAGCAGATTATTCCATGCAGAAACCCGTATCAAATCTTTTTGCTGGTGGGTGGAAGCCCCACTTTCACCCACGTTTTTGCCGAATGGCTTCTGCTCCTCCCAAGTTTTATTCCGCTTTCTCGTTGGATGGGTGTGGAAGATAGATTTTGCGCTGCACCATTGTGAACCTCTTTAAACTCTATTCCGGACGGACCCCGTCGATGCATGCGAGAAGCAAGAAGCGCTGGAACAAGATTACTTTTGTTTTCGTCATTTCCAATGGTTAAGTACTCATTCAATCACGCTTGTCCAAAAGCGGCCCGTACTCATTTTTCGGGGTATTCAAATCATGAGTTTCTGCCAGCTGACTGTTCCTGTTCCGCGGGTGTCTCGTGCTTGGTAACAGCCAAAAAGTCTCTCTCTTGCCTGAGATAGAAGAAAGATGCAAACCGACCGGAGCCGCGATGAGAGCAAGGGGAGGAACCAAATTTCCGCATATATTGGCAAGCTTATATATTGTGAAACTGGATGAACAGCGGGGAAAACGAAAAACAAAATACTAGCCGAATCGTACCAACAAGATCACAGAAAAGATCGGCCTGGTTTTCTTCTCACGACCGTTCTGCCGCGATTTGTTTCTTCTTATCACAACAAGGCGAAAATCAAAATTGACACCGAGAATGACGCACTCGGGCAACGATCGGTTCTTCCACGCGCTGCTGCGGAATGACGCGCATCCACTAACGCTGAAGCATACCAAAACCGCCCTGCCAACAAACCGACCTTCGACATTTCTTAACGGCGGGTCAAAGGTATCTGTATACGATCTTGCGTTTGTATGTTCGTGCGGACCTGCAACTAATCAAAATCTTGCATGCGATCGAGCCACGATGTCCTTATCGTGATCCTGTGTTTCCAATCCAACTCGACAGCGCACACAGCCACCTGCACGGGGCCCTGGTTCGGGCGCAGCATTTGTTGACGGCGTCCCGGAAACAAGAACGCCCGCAAGTGGCGAAACTGCGCAGGCCTCCAAGCACTCGATGCTTTCCGCCCAGAGCGCGGCATGCATTGCCTCGTATGGATTGCAAATATGCCTGTGGATCCGGAAAACAAAGTGTAAACTTTTGATGCGTCGTGCGGGGCACACAAAAATCAGTCCTATTTGGCTATTATACCTGCAGTTGGCGGCCCCTTTGATCTCAATTGGGGAAGAGTTTTCTCATGCAGGATTTGCATTGTCAAGAGCTGCTCACAGGTGAGTCTGTGATACTAGACCCTGCCTTTCAGACCTCATTCTCGGGCATGGAACACCCGCATGACAATAATCCTAGCGGGAGCACACCGCTTCGACTTCCAGAGCCAGCAGACGTATTTGCAGTTGATACACCGCGCATGAGCACCATGTCCACCCGGGGGAAGCCACGGTTTGTGCCAGGTAGTAAGTTGTACTTGATATACTAAAAGTTGCTATAATGTGGAATTGGTATTGTGCGTTCTCTGCTCCACTCGCTCTCTGTTGCCGCACCGTGTGCACTTGCATGAAAAATGAGCAATAAGGGTCGTGTCAGGTGGGCAGACTTTTTGTACTTACCGTATGAGAAATGTTTCGTTTCGAGAACAAGATGAAAATCACTCCAAGGTTTGCAAAGCAAGGAACTCCTGAAGATGGAGCACAAAACCCAAGACTTCGAGTACATGCAGAGGAGGCGGGAGGAAAAGCTGCAGGAAATTCAGCGGCTGAAGCAGGAGCTGCAACGGGCAAAGCAGAAGGAGATGCAGGAGCTGAAATTGCGGTACCAACAGGAGCGGCAGTGGCGGGAACACGTGAAAAGTTTGAAACAGCAGAAGGACAGCGATGTGCGCAATTTCAGACGGAGCATGCAGAAGGAGGACCAGGAAATGAGGAGGGACGCGGAACTCTTGATGCGTACAGAACAAAAGTTTTAATCGTCCAGTTTTACGATGATTTTTCATGCATGACGATAACGCGACAAAGAAAATCAGTTACTTCAATGCCAGTGTGGGTCATTTTGCTTTCCAATCGATTTCCATAATATCCCAGGTGAATTTGAACACGAGCAGGCGAAAGAGGAATGGCAAGTGCGTATGAGAGTGCACAGCTTGTTTCCTCTCCTTCATTTAGCATACAAATTTCCATGTCCACTCTCAGCTCTGCTCGGGTGACATCAGCATCAGGAGGTCGCGTATACGAAATGTAGTGCTACAATCGTCCATGATGTGCCACGGACTTCCCGTTCAGAGACAGCATCTTCATTTGCGGCCTTGGTGTTCCTGCTGCATCTGCCCTTCGAAAAATGAAGCGCAGTGGGAGCAGGTGTTGTGCACTCTCATATTGCAGGCTAGTCAACACGCGATCGTGGGCTAGAAGAGCGCGGCTGTTTTAAAGCGGTTTCGAGCTCGAAGTATGTATGGCAGTGGACAACTTCTTCCTCTTCCCGGCGTTTGTGATGCAAAAGACCGGTTTCGCTTCCAGGTCCAGCGCTTGGCAACGTGAGCATCGAGGAGGAGGGGTTGTTCACTATCATGCTCTAGGGCCCGCCTTGTTGTGGAGTACCTTCGTGTAAGATTTTTTCTACGAATTGCAATTTTCTGTACCTAAATGAGTTGGATTTATTTCGGAGGATGAAACACTCCCAATATCACTGCAGTATGCTGTCATGACCCCATTAGCGGCCGAAGCCGAATGTAAAGACCATGAGATTTTTGTGCACTATTTACGGAATGAGCAGAAATTGACGTTTCCCTTTGTACGATGGTGGACAAGAAGAGCATCACGTGAATGCGAGGTAGGTGACGACTCTCAAACACAAGAAAAATCAATGCTAGTGAGAACTGGTGGTGCACATGCCGTCCGCTACAGGCGGCGGTGGGAAGCGCAGAGATTTGAATGATTGGTCATTCTGTTCTTCGCTGTCTGTTCGGGCGATTTATTTTCACAAATTTGGATTTTGTCTTTCGGTAAAATGATGATCCCATTGTGTGTTTCTCTTCTGCTTTTGGTAATTGAAGAACGAAGCTTTTGTACTATTTTGATGTTTTATATTTATTTCGGATCTTCCTCGAAACCAACAGGTGCAGGTGTCGTCAAAAAATCAATTATAACTTCGTTATACCAATCGTCACAACAATCGCCTCGATAAGATGCGGTCAATCGCAATGCGAACCTTCTGTGCGGGCGCTGTTGGGACCGTCCTTGCTGATAACGCGACAACGGCGGACGTGATCAGAGCCGAAGTCGACTGGGGGGGGGAGCGGCACGGCCGAGAAACGGGGGCTCGGCCCATTGCCGCCGCATGCCTTTCAGAATACCACGGTGAACAACGCGGCGATCTGCCTTGCAGTGAAAACGCCGCTGCTCCAAGTTTTCGACAAGATGATCGAGCCAGACCTAGCTTCATCCGATCAGCTCGACGCCATGGACTGCGCCATCCTTGCGCAGCGGATCAAGCGCGCCGGCCGCGGGGACGCGAACAATGATGGCAACCTTAGCCGGGCCGAGAAGGAAACTTTCTGTGGGAAAGTAGCGCTGTCAGAAGGTGAGCGCATCGATGGAGGGGTCACGGGATCGTTTCTCGAGTTCAATGGGTGGGGTTTATTCGACAGCTGTCAGCGCTGCATGGGATTTTGCAAGGCCGACGAGGACACGTTTGAAACGAATCCGGAAAAAGAGGAGAAAAACCAGCAAAAGTCCGCTACGTGGGGAACGATCCAGTACGGAGAGCCGATAGGTCAACGCGACAGGGCGGTTGTTTGGTTCGGCACCGTCTATTTCAAGACGGGTTTCGGCGACGTCTCCACAGTGGAGTTCACGAACGACTTTCGTCCGGGAGATATCCTGGTGAACAAAAAGGACATCGTGTCGCATGCCCTGCTCCTCAAGAAAGCAGCGATCATGGATGGAGCAAGAGGATATCATCTATGGGCAGACAAGCTCACGATGCCGGCCTTCGCTGAGCTGCGCGGAAAACTACGATTGGTGGCGAGCTTGGGGACGGGGTTGAACAATGCCTGGACTTCCATGAAAGGCGGAAGCAAAGTGTACAGCAACATCTCGCTCGCGAGAGAACTCCTTGACGAAATGGATAAGTCTATTGAGCATTTTCCGTCCTGGCTCAGAAACCAAGTGAATGATTTTGATACCAATCCATCAATTCAGCGCAGGAACTAATTCAAAAGAACAAGCGGAAAGGGCGCGGCAGGAACTGATTCAAAAGATCAGCGGCAAGCGCTCGCGCTGGGTGCGTTTACCCAGCCAACGAAGGGAGGTCTGGCACCTCGAAGAAGAAGACCAGGTGCCTCTCACCAGTACCCGATGTTACGCATGTCTGAGCGTCGCTTTGGTATGCGAACTTCTGAAAGATCCATCAAGACTCGTTCTTTTCTCAATGCGAGACAGACTTTGTTGTTTGAGAGGCTGATCTCCGATCTGGAAAAATTTTCAAATTGTTTCAACGGTGAACATCTGTTCCGGAAGAAAAAAAACGACGACGTTCTTGTTCAGATCTCGCCTGTTGCTCTGTTTGGAGCATACTATTCTTCCGATCCTTTACTAAATGCTTCGTCTTAATACGTTTATTTTTTTACAATCGTGCTGATCCCAAAAAAAATCGCTATTTTTGCAACGGAAACGTGCTCCTCCTCCGAATCCGAAATGAGAATAAAACCTCATGTCAACACCAGTTTCCGTAGTCGTGATCCGAATTGCATTTGCTAGACGCAAGTTTAGTTTTCTGTTCGAAGACTCAAAACCAACCCCACTCTCCTTCAAAATGGCCAATCCGAAGGTTTTCTTTGACATGTCCATCGGCGGCGCCAACGCCGGCCGCATCGTCATGGAGCTCCGCAAGGACGTCGTCCCGAAGACCGCCGAGAACTTTCGTGCTTTGTGCACGGGCGAGAAGGGTACAATAGGTTTTTGAGTGTGTGGAAGGCATGATATTATTCGCAATAAAGTGCATTTGAATCATGTTGTTCGAAGGAGAAAGAGATGCATTGACAACTCTCGTCGAAGATGCACCAAAGATCGTGAAAAAGAACAAAATAGATCTTGGTTCATCGAATAATATCCGACACGAACAGGTATGGGCAAGTCCGGCAAGCCGCTGCACTTCAAGGGCTCCGCTTTCCACCGCGTGATCCCGGACTTCATGTGCCAGGGTGGTGACTTCACCGCGGGCAACGGAACCGGTGGCGAGTCCATCTACGGTGCCAAGTTCGCCGATGAGAACTTCCAGTTGAAGCACACTGGACCGGGTACTGGTTTTTTTATGAATTTGTGTTGCGGATTTTGACGAGGGATGCATTTTGTGTTGCAGATTTTGCGTTTAGCAAATTCTTTTGTGTCATTAGGAAGAGGAACTAACGTATCAATGCGTGATCTAAAATCCCAAATCGAATAAATCCGCAGGTATCCTCTCCATGGCCAACGCCGGCCCGAACACGAACGGATCCCATATGGCGTTCTCAACTGTTACATTCTCAACTGTTACATGGATTTGTGATGCAAGAACAGCAAAAGTGAAAGGGGTCACCTTGCGCGTCTTGCGTGACAGATCTGGCAAAGATTCTCAGCCTGTTTGGCTCTTCGAGAATTTGTCATGCGAAGCAGCTCGATCGTGTCAATTCTGATTGTGATTTTGCATGACAAATCATGTAATAGCTCAGAATGTAACATTTGAGAACGCCATATCCCAGTTTTTCCTGTGCACCGTCAAGACCGCCTGGTTGGACGGAAAGCACTGCGTCTTCGGCTCCGTCGTGGAAGGTACTTATTATATCAGGACTGTGTTGCTATCGTTGTAATTGTATACGAACAATTTAGGGCAGTGACTTCTGCTTTTGCGAAGTAGAGATACATCATCACGGGATTGTGATAGTACTTAAAAAGTCGCCTTGCACGACCAGCCCTACCGCAATTGAGGTCGTTTTTTGATTTAACAATTCGCAATGCAAACACACTTTTCAGGTATGGATGTCGTGAAGAAGATCGAGTCCGTCGGCTCCCAGTCCGGAAAGACCGCCAAGCCGGTTGTGGTCTCCGACTGCGGGCAGTTGTAAGCTGTTTGGCATGCATAGCTTCGCATACCAGCGCAAGATGAGCTTGTTACGGTGTAATCATAACAACGGTGTAGTACTAATCAGGACTAGCTGCCGCCGCGCGCAGGTGGACAGAAAAAATTACGCAAGAACAATATCTCTACGCGGTTTGTATTACATCCTCAAAATCTTTTTTACTTTTTCAAAAGCGCTCGCCTAAATGACGGCGCAATCGAACAACGTCTCCTCTCGCAAGAGTAGGAGTTCCTTTCTACTTACTTCTTCGAGTGGCGCTCTTCATCTGCCGGCACTGACGCTGGCTCTCGATCATCAGGGCTGTAGTAGTACCTCAACATACTAGTTTACGGGTCGTGTGTTGTTTTTCTTGGAAAGCAATCACACAGCCGCGGCTGTATAAGAGGATGTAGTGGTTGGTACCAGGCGCAGGCGTCTAACCTAGAGATTTGCTGTCGAGCACTTTTCGTCACCAATTCTACCGTACTGTTTACACTCTCAATGAAAAATGGTCTCGCAGTTATGCCTGTGTATGAATCTAAGACTTGGGAATGACGCTTGTATACAAGGCGTTTGTAATTTTCGCTTCTCCACAACCCGAAAGGAAATGAACTGTACTGTAAGAATTTTTCGCTCCCCTCGAATAGTTGGCTACGAGTACGATGTGCGTTTTTTTTCACGGTCGGGAGAAGAAAAGGAACGTTACAACACGTCGATGTAAGAAGTTTCACCGTAACGCTTGGCGATCCATTTTTACGGCTGAAAAAGTAGAAGCAGTGCAGCAGTGTAGGCTACAGGTGAACAAATTAAACGGGCTTGACAATAAGTACACTGAAGAACTTGGAGCCACTTTCTGACCGAGAGTTCGCTTCTGGAAAGGAAGTCAGGTTCAAAAAACTGAAAGTGTGGTTTCACCCAAGAAAAGCGCAGCTCGGCAGCATGAAGAGAAAAAGAGGAGAAAGTCGGGGACCGATTCGTCCGAAGCGGTCACAAGATTTTCATTGGCGGTGACGCTGAAGAAGATGCGTGGTTGTTCAGTAGATAAGGGTCTCTTCGTTGTGGTGCGCTAAATTGTTTTTTCCTTTTCGACGCGAGCATCTTTTTGCTTATTTCTTCTACCGAAGATTTCAGTGACGAGTGAGGTTTTCTTCAACCTTTTCTTCCCCTTCCGAGTCTAGTCTGACCGCGCACGACACGTGTTGCAGTGTAGTTGCTTGTGAATTATATTTGTCGTCGTTTTTACCATGTTATTTTCCTTCCCACCTGTGGTAAACACATCCGCAGATCTCAGAGTGGCAAGAGACTGACAAAAAATCTTAGTCAAGAACAAGATCGAGAAGGAAAAATAACAGCATCTCTTCAACCAGACCGACAAAAAATCCAAAACTTCAAGATGGCGGGCAAGTCGCAGGAGCTGATCAACAAGTTGCTGCAGGCCGAGGATGAGGCCGAGAAGATCATCAAATCGGCCCGTGACATGCGGTCCAACAAGCTGAAGGACGTGAAGTCTGCGGCGGAGGAGGAGCTGGCGCCCTTCCGCATGAAGGAGGAGCAGAAGTTTTACGACGAGCAGCGCGCGGTTGTATCCTGTGCAAAAGTGACGTATTCGTATTGCAATCATGCATTACAAATTTTGTTCTTCAGGTAAATCAGCATTACAAATTTTGTTTCTCATGCTGAGGAAATTTGTAATGCATTTATACGAGTGCGATACTTTTGCAATTCATAGGTTGCGGCCCAGAACAGCATGTCGATGGATTTGGAAAAGTCCACGGCGGGGGAAATTGCCGCGGTATGTTAAAAAAGGAGTGTAAAATGAGGAGGGCGTTCTTGTGATGCAGCGCGAATCTGCGTGCACTGTGTTGTCTATCCGTCTGAAGTTACATTTGAGTTGCAAAATATTTCGCCTTGGAAAATATTTCGGCTTGCAAAATGTTTCGACTTGCAAAATATTTCGGCTTGCGAAGTATTTCGACTTGCAAAATATTTTGAGTTGCGAAATACTTTGAGTGGCGAAATATTTCGACTTGCAAAATATTTTGAGTCGCGAAATAATCCGAGCTGCAAAATATTTTGAGTTGCGAAATATTTCGACTTGCAAAATACTTCGAGTCGCGAAATATTTTGAATGGCAAAATATTTTGAGTCGCAAAATATTTTCTATTGGCTGGGAATCAATTGGGCAGAGGGAGTTGGGAATTGGACGATGGGAGTTGGGCGACGGGAGTTTCGAGCTGGGCGATGGGGGTTTGGAACGAATTGGGCGATGGGAGTTGGGAATTGGGCGATGGGCGGCGAACGATTTCGCAAATTGCGACAGTTTTGAAAGTTTGAAAATTGCAAAAAAATTGCGGACGCGGACGAAAAAGATTCTTGTTAGCAGCTGAAAAACGCTCCGCGCTGGAGGCAAAACGGAGGAGAGGACTCTGGTGGGAGGCGAAAAATATTCCTTGTTCGAAAGTTTTGCAAACAGGAGAAAAGAACTCGGGGGATTTGGGAAAAATGAAAAAAAAGCGGGGCACTTGGCGGAAAAGTTTTCAAAGTTTGGAAAATGGAAAACACAACGCGCGATGGACGATTTCGCCACTTTGCAATAATTTTCGCAAGTTGGAAGATTGCAAAAAAACAATTGGCGCGGGCGATTTTCTTTCCCGTTGCAAAATTTTAACTCGCACCGCTCAGCAATAGGAGTTACAAGGCCGCAACTTATGTCGCGCAGTGGGGGGGTGAACGAGTGGACGGGGGGGAAAGAAAAACGCCAGAGGGGCAAGGGAAAAAATTTTTGATGCAGGGCGGGGCCAGGCATCTGCGCCGCGTCTTGCTGAAAGAACGAAGGCGGAGCGCCATGGCGCTCGTGGTTCCCGTCGTCGTGCGAGCGCGAGGGCCCCGCCCGCACTGGGCGCGCGTTTGCGTGGCGGCAAGCCTTAGGCCCAAGCAACAACGCAAAGCGCGGCAGCGGGCGGCCGCCAGTGGACGGGGGAACAGGCCGCGCCATGCGAGGCGCTGGCGGCAGCGTGACGCCCCGCCCGCGCGTTTGCGGTGTGGCCCGTTCGCGCCGCCTGCCTGTGTGCCCCGCCCCTGTGCGCCTTGGTGCCCCCCCCGCCCTTCTTCCGCGCGCAGCCTTGCAGAACGAGGGCGCGTTGGGGCCCCTGCCGCGCGCGTGGATGGAGGACGGGCGCCGGGGCGGGGCGCTCATTGCCCTCCAGGCGCAGGGGCCCACCACCCTCCCCCAGCACCCCCGGACAACAACGGCGCCCCCCGTGTTAGCCCGCAGGCAATCTGTTGCGCCCCCGCCTGCTTCCCTCGCGCGCACCCTCCAAGACAGAGACGGCGGATGGTGGCGCCCTCTGCCGGCCTCTTCGTGAACAGAGGGAGG